TAATGTAAATGATATTTAAATTTTACGTGTTAAACATGTTAATAAATGTGTATAAAATATATACAGGGCCCCTGTTTGTCCAGGCTCAGTACATCAGATTATGTCCTATTTTAGTAGCTTACGCTACAACGGCAGTCTAGTCACTTGAACGGTCGTATGCTTGACCGCCGCCAAATTTAAGCCTTTTATACTTTATATGTCGGGATTCGCCTTGTCCAGTATTGAGAAACATTTCTGTTATCATGATTTTGTATGACTTCTGCTTGTTGCCTGTATCCATCTACCCCGCTTGTAGCCTCGTTATATAATCTCGGCATGGACCGCATAGAAATAGCCGCCACCAGTAGCTCTATTTTTGCATATTTATTCGTTGCCCATCAATGCTTGTTTATTTAGCTGTTACCTAGAAGCGGACAATTTCTTCTGGCTAAATTATTCCGGCTTCCAGCTATATGCCAAAGCACCTTCTTCAAATAGTTGTAATTCTTGATCCAGAATGATTTACTGAGCCTGCAATATTTTAATCAATGACAAGCCTGTTTTCCTGGAACAAGACTTTTCCAAGTGACTTGTAAACTCAAGACCATAGTCAGAAAAGAAACACTCATTTGATTTATTGCCCGAGTCTTCTCTGGCGTACAACCGCATTGCTTTTTGTTATAATTGTTTACATCTGTTGACAAACTGCAGTGCGTATTGCGAATTGTTCAGTGTACAGTTGCGCAGCATATGTCCTTGGAAAAGTTTCCACACTGCACTGTCAGGGAGGTCAGGGAGGTAGTCGCAGTAAAGATGACGGCCTGTCTGGCTCCCACACACAGATCCCTGGCCACATACAAAGAGACGGGTAAATGCCCGTGTTTGCAAATATAAGCACTATGTACTATTTTCGGGTTGGTCAAGCTTGTTGGTACAGCATATTCGCTGAGGGGTCGATGGGTATTGTAGTTCAAGAAATTTCATCGTTGTCACCATCTAATACTGCTTTTGGACCCTAATTGAAAACAGCAACACGTAAAAAAAAAGGCCGCACCATAGCTCAAGCGGTTAGTCGCTGGCTTTCCACCGCGGCGGCCCGGGTTCGATCCCGGGTCTGGTCAAGTGGAATTTGTGGTGGACAAAGTGGCGCTGGGGCAGGTTTTCTTCGAGTACTTCGGTTTCCCCTGCCAATCTTCATTCCACCAATTGCTCCAAAATCACCCTCACCTATCATCTGGGGCTGGTACAATAGGCCAGAAATGACCGCAGTACAAGGGACATAGCCCCCCCCCCACTAGCAATAAAATCTCATATTTTTCTTGATACGACACGGACCGCATAGAAAACGACGCGCCCGACAATTCTTCCATTATTACGTATACATTCGTTGCCGCGGTAATGTCTTGACCGAACCGTTGCTTAGCAACGATAGGGGGTACACATACAGGCACACAGACTGATGGGAGGGATTTATGAAGTACGCCGCTGATATGGGCTTAGGTGCCATGATATACATACCAAGTTTCATAAAGATTGGTTCAGCCATTCAAAAGGTTACACTTTGTACTGAGTGACTCGAAACGTTGTGTAACAAATCTGACGACGCAAAAAGCGAGAACAAAGAGAAATACTTGTGGCACGCTGGGGAAAAAAGGAATGTTGCATGGCTAGTTCTGCCTTTTTAAAAGCTTATAAAGGACTTCTGGTTCGAATACTGTTCACCAAAGACAAAGAATTATAGACATTACTGTCTTCTAGCATGTGAAGAGGCGCAAGTAAGCAAACCAAAGAGAAGGGAAGCAGTTTCCACCGAAACGTTGATACTGACCTACCAAACTACACGACATCACACCCAAGAAGGCTTCAATCTTAGCACTCAGCGCCACGAGAACCTCAAATGATATATAAGCAATGAAAGAATTAAGCATTTCCTTCAGGGCTATCGTCTTATCATGGAGACTTCGGCGCCCAAATGACCCAGAAAGTTATGCTGGCGGGAGTGTATTCACCTGGTAAAGCCACCCATGCAAGACAGGTCATAGGGTATGGGTCAGAAGAAGTGAAGTCCCTGGTCCTCCATGTTGGGGGTTGGGCGAGGGGCTAACGACTCCACCCCGGAGAAATTTGCTGTTACGAAACTATGCAGGAGGCCAAGACTTACACATGTTTGTAGTGCGAGTAAAGAAGATGTATTCAAATGTTAACTTTGGCCGCGCCATAGCTCAAGCGGTTAGTCGCTGGCTTCCCACCGCGGCGGCCCGGGTTCGATCTCGGGGTCTGATCAAATGGGATTTATGGTGGACAAAGTGGCGCTGGGGCAGGTTTCCTCCTAGTACTTCGGTTTCCCCTGCCAATCTTCATTTGCTCCACAATCACCCTCACCTATCATCTGGGGCTGGTACAATATGCCAGAAGTGTCCTCAGTACAAGGGACTTAGTCCCACCCCACTAGCAATAAAAACAAATAATAGGTTATTTACTGACGTTGTATAAACCGCAGATAGGCTGACGGTGTAAAGGTAAAAAAAGATAAAGTTGTCCCTGTGTTTAACTAATTATGCACTACGCCATAAAGGCGTATGGGGGGTGGATGTACGATAGAACCACATTTTCTTGACCTCGGTACTGGTTAGTGGTGAGTGGTCAGCTTCACGCCTCGGCCGCTTTACCCTCTATTAAGGGTCCTCGGTACCCATTATATAGGAGGGTGGGTGGAACCCAGAGCCGGTCTGGACGACATGAAGAAGTGAAAATTCTTGCTCCACCTGCACTCGAACTCCGACTCCTCCGTCCTCCAGCCCGTAGTCATTCGCTATACCGACTGAGCTATCCCAGCACCCAGGAGGATGGTGTACTTAAACTAATCAAAAATAAAGTAGGCTAGACTAATCTGGATCAGGCCAGGGGTCACTGTAATGAAGCCTCGGTTTTCACAAAAATCAGGGAACTTCTTGACTAGCTGAGCCACTATTCAGTTATCATGAAGACTCTGCTGTGTGGAAGTAACACACATACAAGAACGTATACTTCAGAAGTTATTATCGTGGAATGAAGAGAAACTGGATTGCGCTGTGCTGTGACAGGAGGAGAGAACAAAAAGCATTCCGCTAAGAGCTTGTGCAATTCCTGTAACAAAAGAAAAAAACGGTAATGAATTCTTCGAAATTTACGTAATGGAAGAGTCAGGATAGCTCTGTCGGTATAGCGACGGGCTGCGGGCTGGGCGGCCAGGTTTCGATTTTCAGCAGTGCAAGATTTTTCTCTTCTCCACAGCGTCCAGAACGACTCTAGAGCCCACCCAGCCTCCTACCCAGTGGGTACTAGTGGCTCTTTCCCCGGGGTAAAGCGGCAGGGAAGTGAAGCTGAACACTCATCTCCATCTCGTGTTGAGGTCTTGAAAGGCGGAGCTATACCTGCAAACCCCAGTATGGCTTCTGGCTAGTGCTTAACTAATTAAGCACAAGGACAACTTTACCTTTACGTAATGTGAAGGCGCATCTGTAACGAGAAACACATAAAACTTACACGTGACATCATAGCAAGTTATATTCCACCGAGTTGGCTAGTGTAGCGGTACAGCTCTAGATTTGTATTCCGGCCGGGACACTGGCTGTTTCGTCTTATCCCTCAGTGCCTTGATCAGGTCACGATACCTTCCTTCTGAAGTTTCCAGCTAATACTTCGCCACTCTACCTACCACTCAACGTTGTGCAGTCCTGATACTGAGAGGGTCGTAAAACAAGCCATAAAAACTTACGTTCAGGGTTTTGCAGCATGCACTGTGCTGATATTGTATTACAGTGGTTTTGTTCCTAGCGTAAGCGATCGAATTGTGCTCTTCTTCCTATGTTCATGTATGTATACGAGAGCCGATCACAGAGGCCGCACGGTCTAAGGTATGAATTGTCTTCGCTCGCTCAAACGCTGGGATCAAGGCGTGGATATCTGTGCGTTTGTGTTGTTCTGTGTGTAGGCAGCAGGAATTGAATAACAGATTCGGCGCTGTACACGTAATATGTATTTTTGGTATTGATCTGCTAGAAATCTTTTCGAAAATGCCCAGTTTTATGCAAGTATTACATATGTATTATGCTCATTTTATGGATCAGTACAATTTCTGTTACTGTCATTTTTCTCTCATACTCGGAGAAACACTCAAAATGTATGCAGATTCTAATGCTGGCCTTAAAAATTAATTAGAAATGAAACTTACAAATGCTAAGTCCTATAGCAGAAATTTCATTGTTTGGCAAAAAACACACAGAATGACCATTTATGCCATGAAGTAAAATAGGCTTTAAATTGAACCAAAATAAGAATGATCCGACAAAATTTAGGTCTGCCATCCCAAGTTTCATCCATTCAGTCAGGAGTTTGTGAGCTCTCACTTGCATGGCAAGCTAATTGCTAGTTTCCAATTTTTTTTCAAAACGTGTAGTTTTTGTTATAAATCCTATCTGTCTGTCTATCTACGGGTATCTATGGCTCTGCAGCCCTTCTGGGCCTTGGCGGCTTTTAAAGTTTCTTACACAGTCGGTAGGACTCCTTGGACGGGGGATCAGCCCGTCGCAAGGGCGCTATCTACACAAAGAACAACACAAACACAGAATACACGCACACAGACATCCATGCCTCGAGTGGAATTCGAGCTGACGATCCCAGGGTTCAAGCGGGAGAAGACGGTTCATGCCTTAGACCGCACCGCCACTGTGATCGATTGTTACAAATCCTATTGGTCTGAAATGGTAACTAGACGTTCCGTTTTTAATGAAATCGTCCCGTTGTCCCGACAGAGATTAAATGGAACGCCACATAGTCATCCCCCCTTCCCAACAGAACCAAGTTAGTTCGAAATGACATTGTCTTATCCATTTTGAAAATGGTACTTGGTTGAGTCAGTCGTGTGCGTCATGTGTTGACTCGCATGCGCAGTGCATTACGTCGTCGTGCCTAGGCGGCCTCGCGCGGAATTGCAGGTACTTTAATGATCCGAGTTCATTGCTTCGCTTTATTTCTTTCAGAGTCAACTGAAAATTTGCCACGCTGTTATAAAAAATTGGAACTGACAGCATTTCAAGGTGTGAAGTAACAGAAGAACTTGATATTTTAGTAAACAAAATTAAAAACAGGTGAGATGAATGCTTTCTTACCGCAAAGCTATTATCAGGCTTTGAAGGTTATTATAACAATAAACAACTCACACATTTCTGTTTTATTTAGAAAAATAGAGTAAAAAAAAAAGAAAGAAGGTAAAACTATCCTTGTGACAGGCCGTGAAGTCCCATAGGGTTGTGAGACGTCGAGGCTCCCACATTTTCTGGGCTATCGGCTCACAGATGGCGGTAATTTTGTCAGCCTTACTCGCCGGCCGCCCTTTAACCCCCAGGAAGATCCCTGGTACTCTTTTCTGTTAGGGGCTGAGTCGACCAGAACCCAGAATTACTGCAAGAGATTCGTTCGTTCCAGAAGTTCAAAACATCTGCCCAAGAGGGTAACCAATTCCTTCAATATGAGATGGAAATGTGTGGCCAATGAGCGTCATATGTAAAAATTTATATGTGTGCCCTGTTTTTTTTTTTTGTTTTTACTTAAATCCATTGACCCTAGTCTAACGCATTTCGCGGTAACTTTGGGGACGCAATGCAACCTAGCGCATTTCCAGGGAATGTGCCCACGCCGCCACCTTGTTTGCCTACACCTCTAATCTCCAATGGACTGTGCAGCTGTTGTTTGTCTTTGCTTCAGATGGCTACCACTGCGTGGAGGTTGCTCACCCTACTGACCCTACTGACGGAGCTACCGCTTGGCCTCCAGTTCGAAATCGGTGGGGTCGATGTCGGTGCAGGACGGCTTCTTACGAAGGTCTCTTCAGAACTCATGAAAGGGCTCCAACTGCCCAAGCAGACGTCCACCGCCCCCCAGGACCCGCAGCACATGGAAACCGGGGACGATGACGACTTGGAGGATTCAGGTTCGAACTTCGATTTATGACAGACAGTCAAATGTGCCCCATACCACATTATTTTAATCTTCTTTACCTTTTCTTTCTTGACTCATTAATTATTATTTAATACGATCTATTTAGCTGCATGTCTACGCACATTTATCTCTATCTACATACGGTCATCCGTGTTCTAGACGCCCCGATGGACGAACAGGAAGCCGCTATGTGGCACAATTTGCTCGACGAAATTGTGAAGGAAACGGACCAACTAGACGACACTATTTTTGAAGAAGAAGAAGAAACTATAGGGACCAGAGCCGAAGTTCCGGAAGCTGTGGACTGTTACGGCTTACCGACGCCGATTTCTAAAGCATTAAGATTCCTGTTCAGAACGGACAGAAAGGAGACCGTTAACACACGTTACTTCTTGTCTACAAGGTAAGTACTTCCGGTCTACTGCTTGAAGGCACAGTCTGTCCGTAATTCTACATATTTCTGATTTAAAGGGCGAGGTTTCTTCTGTGCTCAGTAAATACCACGTCATGAACATGTATGGGGGAGTGAAGGTATGACTTCATTAACTCTTAACCTCGGTACTAGATGGCGCTCACATATCCGCTATTTTACATTCGGGGAAAGATGCCCTTGTATTCATAGAGCAGGAGGCTGGGTGGGCCCTAGACCCAGTGTGGAGATGAATAGAAAAAAATCCTTGACGGGAACTGAACTCTGGTAGCCCAGCCCGTAGGCTAGACGCTTTAATGACTACTGTATGGGTCTGTTCACTAATTACACTAATGTGATATCAACGACTATGGTAAACGCCAACACTAACTCAAAATCGAGTTTCTTGAAAGATTTGAAATAACTTGAATGCAAACACGCAGGCAAGCATAATAGTCTAATTGTAAGAATAAAAATGGTAAATGTGCTTAACTAATTTAGTACTACGCCATGAAGACGTATGGGGGAGTGAATGTGTAGATCCACAAATAGTCTAATTGTAAGAGTACAAATAAGAAGAGAATAACGTATTCAACTCTGATGTCAATTTTTCTATTATACAAGTGTGAATCATCAGGCAATTTCTAAATCTCTGTAGCGAGTACTGTGCCTCCATTTTGTACGATTACAGATTGTGAACGTAGTAAGTTGTTTAAATTATTAGTATCAGGCAGCAGCAATATTACATATCTTACATTCTGGGTAAACTTTCAAATTATTACAGTTCTACCAGAAGTTATATAAACGAAAGGGGGAGAGGCAGTATTCGCCGATTTCTAACCAAAGTCACGTGGACTCCTGATATCTGCTTTATTCACTGATACTATGGCTGCAGCGATTTTGCGCGCTCTGTAGGAAAAATTCAATTTATCATATAGGTTCAACATAAAACTGACATGAATGCTAACTTTTTCGTCACAAATTGTTATTTTAAAACTAAATTATGTCAACATAACACTTTATGATGCCGCTCCTAACATTTCATGGAGTGTTCAACCAGTAATATACTGCCCTTCTAAACACAACCCTGCCCGGTGCAAACGTTTTCTTGTCTGAATGAATCTAAATTGCTGTGCTGTCTTATGTGACAGAAAATAACGAAGAAATACAACTGCAAGATCCAAACGTTCTGGATAGCAGAATTCGCCATTGAATTCCGATTCGTCGCAGTTTCGCTCAATGGTGACAGAAAGCACCACACTTGGATCTGGGCCAATCCATCAGGCGAATGTTGAAGCTGCACCCGCTTTCTCGCAAATATTTCCCAGCTCAGCATTCATAAATACTTTGACTTCTCATTCTATACTATACAACATCTGGAGTTAAAGCAGCATCATTGAATAAGTTAAATATCCTTGTGGGGGGGAGAAAAAAAAAAACAATCACACAAATAAATATTCTTAGCTTATTTTTAAACATGAAAAGTATGCATGTGAAATCACCAGGCTGCGTGTGTGTTCGTGAATCCCCCGCCCCCCACAATTGACTTTTACTCGTAAATGGCTGAACCAATCTTTATGAAACTTGGCATGTACATCATGGCACCTAAGCCTATCTCAGCAATGTACTTCATAAACCCCTCCCATCGGTCTCTGTGTCTGTATGTATATCCCCTTATCGTTGCTAGCAACATCCCTCTTTTCATTGTTCATTTATCAATACACATGTTTCAGCCTAGACAGGCCATCACCAGGCGATTGTTAAGAAAATACACGAATGTTCAGGACTACATACATGCAAACTACAACGTTACTGGGAAACATTTTCTTTCCTTGTTACAGTTGGTCAGATTCGACATAATACTACATTTACTTCAGATTTTAAATTAAGATTTAAGAAACTGTATTAAAACGATGCAAAGAAAAGATCCCTGTGAGATCCCTACATGAGCTGTTTTGAAGCTGTCGTGGTGGTGGCGGTCAGATCTTCAGGTTACTGTGCAGCAGTAACAGTTCAAACAACCATGAGACGTACACACTTTTAACGTGTCTAAATTTCAGCAAATACAGTAGGGCAGCCTAAAGTCTGAGATGTCTTCAGCATCCCCCCCCCCGTTTTACTGTTACAGGAAGCATCGTGACACGGTGGAGATAAAGCAGGACCCAGAATTCAACTTTAACTCAACAGACTTCGACCCCAGGCGCAGCAAGACCGTGTTCATTGTACACGGGTTCATGTCCAATGGAGAAATGCAGTGGGTCAGGAACTTATCAGACGCCATGCTGAACATGGTGGGTGCAGATACTTGGTTCTCATAAATTATGCTATCCCTCATAACTTTTGAACCAGTTAGTAGGAACATCATGGAATTGGAACAAACCTCACCTTCATACCTATTACTTCTATACAATTAATTATTATTTTACTGCAATTGGGTGTTCACCTGGTGGCAGTAGAACTTACACTGATACAGATAAGGAAAGACTATAACATAAGGGAACAATAAAAAACAAAATACATACAATAAACAAGGTACACACAGTGCAAATCCAAACATATAAAGTTATAAAAGGGCATATGCTTGTGTTCGTTTCACTGCACTCGAACAAGGACACTTCACATTACTTCACTTGTTTCAATCAACTCCGCCTAAGGCCTCTGTACTTGCAACAGCTTTCATAATCCTCTTTCTAAAAGTGTTTAGTTTATGGGGGAAAGATGCTAGTATGCCTCCAGGTAAACTGTTCCAATCCTTTATGGTCCTATTTACAAAGGAATATTTGCCAACATCAGTCCTTTGTTTCCTGCTTCTGACTTTCCAAATATGATCTTCCCTACTCAGGTAGCATGGTTTAAGCAGGCTATCCCCTATCGCTTTCCAAGCTGGTCTCCTGCTGTATGCCTTGTAAAGGGCGCACAAATGGGCTATCAGTCTACGCTGTGCCAGAGTCTCTCAGCCAGATTCATCTGTAGGAATGGCAAATTTAGCTGCTCTTCTGAGTACCCGATTTAAAGCTCTAACCTCTCATTCTCTGTATGGGTCCCAGCATACCTAACCATATTCAACTATCGGTCTCACTAATGACGTATAAGCTAGGCATTTCGTGTTATTATTGCCCTGTTTCAAAATACACATTATTAAATGAAGAGACTTCCATGCTTTTCGTAGTGTATAGTTTACATGATCTGCCCATCTTAGATAGCTCCTAGGTACTTAAAGCTATTTACCTCCAAAATTAGTTGGTCCCCAAAATAATACGTCAGACGATCCTTCACCCTAGCTCTCGTGAAACTTACCGTTTTTCTCTTATCTGGATTTATCTTCATTTCGTTCCCCTAACTTATTTAGCTCCATCTGCAACTTGCCAATGTCACTACTATCCAATATTGTCCTATATATTATGTAGTCATCTGCGAATAACCGTCTATTTGAGTCAGTGTCCCTCCAAATGTCATTAAGCCAGGAAGAGTAGCGGTCCTAATTTATAAGGGAGAGGAGAGAAACTGGTTCCACTTAGATAAAGAAGAGTAAATGTCAACTGTCCTTGCACTGTGATGAGTTGTGCTCTAGAGCATTCCAATGCATTTGCATCTGATGTTGCAACCGTACTTATGTGGTTTTATGTATCAGTGATATTTCATCATGTACAATTTGGAAAAACCAGAGGCCTTCATGCAAAGAGAAATTCATTTGCTGAAGACACTGCTGTAATGGCATCCTGAACAAGTTTCTAGCTCACCTTTTTGTATACTATTACATTTCAGTATCTTATTATGCATTTATTGGGTTGGGTGAAGGAAGAAGCAACTTAGTTTGGTTTTGATGAGTGATAAAAGCAGCCACAGTTCCCTTAATCCCCGATTTCACATAAGGCCTTGGTCTTGAAAACCATGGTATTTTACAGGAACTTAACCCATGGTTGGCAAAAGATTGTTGTGTGTTTCCTCTTTGTTCAAGTTACTGCAAATGGGGGCTTCTTACAACTTCAGTGTCCTGTTAACACACCTGTTACAAGTCTTACACTTGTTCCTATTTAAACACAACAGTTCCCTAGTTCTGGTCTGTGAATACTCCTGCATGGAACATTTGCATATTTCTGTCTATTACGAGATTGAAGTGTTTGAAGAGTCTTCCAATTCCTTTTAGGCAACTCAGTTTGGCACACTATGTGCCACATGCTGCTTTAAACCATGTATGAGATTTCTGGTATTTTGGTTATGGTCTTCTGTTTTGTGACACCATGTAATCTTGTGTCTGATTACCAACGTTTCAAAGGAACCAGCTGCCTTCATCTTCAGGGTACATGAGACTACAGTGTCAGAATCCAGATGATGTAATAAATTTCAGGCAATCTTTTGCCCTTTACTCCACAATGGTTCAGCACACGTATCAGCGCTCCCTTAACACTATCAGTCAACAATGACACTGACAGTAATCCTGGAGTAAATATGTATTAATCGACATCAAGATTTTGACGGACTTATATGTTTTCAGCCCTTTGATTAAGAGAAAGTGGTTTTTGGTATGCCATCTATCTATCCTTATGTTTGTATGTATGGATGGACACCTCACTAACATCTGAAAGGTTGGATGGACTTTATTCATATTCGATATTTATGAGCTGCTGCATCATTTAAAATTTTTGTTAAATTTCAGTGATTTATGCAGACCATATCCCTAAATAAAACTGCGTAATTGTTACCTTTAGGAAAATAATGGTATGTATACAGCAAAGAATCCCTCTTTTTTCAGAGTGTGCCTGCCTTTCCTAGAGGCTTGGAATGTTCCCACTACTTTTGATATTTGTGAATTCTCCATTTATTCACTAAACTGCAGATATTTGATTACCGTAATTTCCTCTGTGCAGGTTGATGCCAATGTGATTGCAGTGGACTGGAGTGGTGGAGGTGGCAGTTGGATGTACTGGCGAGCAGTGGCAAATACCAGGGTCACTGGAGCAGAGGTTACCAAGTGAGTGATTCTGAAAATTGCACAGAGAGTTCAAAAGAATATACTCCATTTTATCACCTACAACAGAATTAGAAGAAAAATATATAAAACTATAACTATATCCACTGTGCAACTTGAATGTGAGGGAGATTCAGTAACAAAAGAATGATGAAAATTGCATAATGAGAAGCCGACGTCTCACAACCCTATGGGCCTCCATGGCTTGTTACAGGAACAGCTTTGACTTTTACCTTTTACCAACATAATAATAGGATTGCATATTTTTAGGTGTAGTTGCTACTTCTATTACGCTTCTCATTTACGAACCTGCCATCAACTTTTTACATAAGAATACTACATTCAGGGATGTAATGTCATGTAGTTTGATAGAAGTTTACTAGTTGTTTTGGGGAATGCCTTCGTCTTTAGGGTTAAAGAGTAAACCCAGGAAGCACCAAGCTGGTAACTTCAATCAGACTATATGGCATCACATTCCAGAAGGCAGTACACTTCATGGTCAATTCCATGAGAACCTCAAATCCAACATTAGTATATAATTAGATTCTAAAGGGTTCTGACGATGGTGGATGACACACAGAATTACTGGGTTTCTGGACTTTTCCCATTGTCCGGAATTCTAGGTAATTGAGGACACTCTAATTAATAGAGGACACGATGTTTCGGAAACTGGATCTGTTTCCGTCTTCCCCTTAGAAAGAGCTAATCTCAATCACTGGACCCAACTGAGTAGGTGTCTTCCTTTCTCACCTGAAGATGGAAACAGATCCAGTTTACGAAACGTTGTGTCCTATATTGACTAGAGTGTCCTCTATTATATAGAATTCCAAATAATGGAAAAAGTCCAAAAACTCAGTGATTCTATTAGTATATAAGCTTCCATCTAGGCCTTCCTCCACCAAGAGACTCTTTCCATAAAGATTTTCACCATATGCATCTCATTTTCCACATAAATCTAACCTAAAAAATATGACAATTTTAAAATATAATTTTAGACTAATTGAAAAGATGATGAAGATGGGCTTGAAGAACAAGAGTATCCACCTGATAGGCCACAGCCTGGGAGCCCACATCTGCTCCTACATTGCTGCTCATCTTGGAGGAGTTGCCAGGATCACAGGTTAGCTCAGTTAGATGATGTTGCCAATAATGTTTACCAACTCCTGATGACAGAAAGATTAAATATCCCTCTAAATATTTACTTTGGGTACATGCAAAAGCAGCAACTGTCATAAATGATCACCAGATATTCACTACATATAAAGTGTAAGAAGAAAAATTAATAGCAAAATAAGGAAGCAGACAAATAACAAAACGTTTATTGGTAACAACACATATAGCCATTGTCTCTGGGTATCACATCATGCTAAAGCAGCAAATCTTACAAATATATTCGGGGAACTTACTGCTTCCTTCTTCACAGTCAAAGACTGTGGAGGCAGAAATTTCCTTAAAAATGTTAGCAGTTTTCAACATTTTAATCCAGTGTGAAACCTAGAAGACAACACAGTAAATATGGACTACTGTGAAAACCTCAAGCTCCATGCAGATATTTTCAAAATGTGATTTTCTTAATCCTATTGCTGCAAATTCGACTGAAGTCGATCAGGCATCCATTACTGTATAATGTGATATTTGTCTTTAGTTCACATCAAGAAATAATCTTCTCCTTTCACCATGTCATTCAGCTACATTCACTCTGCTGTGAAAATGGTGAGAAAATAATATGCAGTGAAAGTGTTAAGTCACTCTCTAAGTTCAAATTCCAGAAGGAATACTTGTGTTTTATAACCATGAATGCTGAAAGAGTGTACTTTTTTATGACGTGTGGGACATTGCATATAATTTAATTATCTGTCCTAGGACTCGACCCTGCACAGCCCTGCTTCCAAACTGACAGCCCTGACATAAGACTAGATCCAAGTGATGCAGACTTCATTGATGTAATCCACACAAATGGGAGGGTACTTCTGAAAGTGGGACTTGGGCTACCTCAACCCATAGGTGAGATGATATATTCTACTTATGGATGTACAGTTGACCCCGATCTTATGACCTCCCACATTTATGACCATTTTTTAATGCCAGAATTACCCTGAAAAAAAATGTAACTTATATCAGCAGTCCACTTTTATGACCATGCCGAATTATTCTCTACTGGTTTTGTCCAATAACCTTCCCACTCCACAAATTATAAATTATGTAACAGAAAAGAACTGAAATTTTATATGATTTTTTAAAATGTTTTAATTTATTTTTGCATAGAATGTGCATTTTCATTTAACAATAAATACCTGTAAAGGCAAATAATTTGTGTTTTACTTAGTCTTCATTCATTTTTTAGTCATTTTTAATAATTTTATGGTATTTAATGGGTTTCCTGGAATGGACCTGCAAGTTATAACATTGTGCTTATGGGAAGTATTGGTTTGACTTACAGTGGCTCTCCAGAAACCAATTAGGTCATGAATGTGGAGCACTCTGAATACAGCTGCAATAATTTTTTTAATGACTGCCTTTCATTTCATGTGGTAAATGTTTAGGTGGCTCAAAGTTATGCAGAGTATCAATCTATCTGAGAAAGCCAAAACTAAAACCAGATGGAAACATATTTCAATAAATAAACTGTTGGTAAAAATACACAATCATCAATTCCATACAGTCTAGTTCATGTCTTGTCACAGAAAGAATATTTAATGAAATCTCCATTACTCCAAGCTGATGATCACTAGAAAAAGCTGCATGCTCACTTGTCTTCGAATCCTTGCCATCCAGTAATACTGCTTCCTGTGTACATTTATTTTTTGTCACATACAAAGATGAATATTATGTTTCAAGCTATCATTTGCCTGAAGCTCCACTTTCCCAGCCTGAGATTTACACAACCGGAACAGGGAATCTTGAATATAAGCACTTAATAATGCATTGCACAGAAACTCTATCTAACCAATTAAGCACAAAACAACGATAAAAAAAAATTACTACAAATTATAACTAACTACTCAAAAATACACAGAATGTCCACAGAACAAAAGTCTAAATGTGTGGCTGTGGAACAAATCATCAAAATCAATTAAACATTAGTAGTAGTAGTGGTGGTGGTGGTGGTGGTGGTGGTGGTAGTAGTAGTAGTAATGGTAGTGGTAGTAGTAGTAGTGGTAAAAGTACCTGCCACATATTAGTTCCACCTGATTTCAGAAAAAGTCGCCCACAGTTCTGAAAATATGAATACAATTCAAAATGAAATCAAATACTCAATGGAGTAAAATTAAAGCTTTGTCATGTTGAATGGTAATTTAACTCATGTCTATTTTGGTGGTAATGTCGTTTCCATTTCAGAATAACTGATACACAGTGCCCCACCAATGAAAGAAATATCTGAAAAGAGTTGTGTGTTGACAGCTGTTTCAGACTTTAGATGAAGGAGGGCGTTGCTTTGTATATGTTACATTTATATTTTAGTTCATGATAATGAAGATAAAGTTGTCACTGTTTTAATAAATTAGGCACTATGCCATGAAGATGTATGGGGGATTTGATTTAATGATACTATCATTCACTCGAAGTGTATGAATCAGGAAATTGAAATCAAACACCTCGGTTGGTATAGTTCGCTTGTGGACTATAGGCCACAGATTCTTTTATCACTAACTCAAAGTACACACTGTTAAAAATAAGATTATTAGTGAATAATGAATTGGAAATCATGTGCAATGAAGTGGCCATGGGCTAATATAAGGTATTACTCCAGTATCTGCCTGGACAGACTATGAAAAGTATATAAAAAAACATACACACACACACAGTCAAAATAGTTAGTGCCAAGTGTTAATGCTTGCTACATGTTGCTGTCTCAGTTGTGTGTATATATGTTCATGGTGCACCATGAAATTGTTAACACTGTGGAATGTGTGTACACCAAGGTCAATGCTCTTCTGTTAAGCATACCATCAGATTTATGGCAAAATTCTTATAATGTGTCCATTCTGACAGAATAATATTATGTCCACAGGTCATGTGGACTTCTACCCTAATGGGGGAGCCAAGCAACCTGGATGCTCCAAGAAAAGGAACAAATTGCTGTTCCCAGTCCTTGGTTTCATCAAGAGCAGTAAGTATGCCATATACAGTGCAATTATTAACTGTGGCATGCCTTTATTCATATGAAAAAGATGTGCCTAACTGGGTAGAATTCTGTACAAACGATCTGCCTGAAACTTGTCAAACAAATTTCATTTAGTGCCCCATTTGTTCACGTTGCCACCTACCAAATATAACAATTCTGCTTTTGCTGCCTACATCAACTAAACCACTTGTCCAGTACTCACGTAATTAAATATACTTAACCTAATCTAAAACGTCTCTAGCAAATTATATTTAACCAACAGACGTACATGAAAGTTTGTTGTAAATGCATCCATTTGTGACATGCTGTATTTTTCCCAGGCCTGTTTTATAAGCTGTATTACAGATACAATCAGAATTTCACGCATATGTTATGGCTATGTTCCAGGGATAGAGAAATCAATTTGCAGCCATGGTCGTTCATATATGTTCTTCATTGAGTCTCTCAAGATGTCAGATAAATGCTCCTTCTGGGGTCACCGCTGGGACAGGAATGAGAGGTAACTGTGCCTTAATACACCTGAAAGCAGCAGCTGACTTAATGTCTGTCAGTAGTCATTATTTGTATTACAGAAAAACAGCTGGAGAAGTCTGCTAAGTTCTAAATGCATACATTTTCCAAATGTGTTTCTGTGATTTTACCCACTTCATTCCTGTTAATGTTCAATTACTTCTGATGCAAATATTATATTTCTTGTGTAACTTCACTGACTTAAATAATGTACACATATTTTCTCTGAATTAAGTTGAACTATCTGACTTCAGTAATCTTTGATATCTATCTTTCGATTCCTATATGCCATCACCATTCACATGACATAATACGTGTATTTAAAACTTTAACAACTACTATCCATGCAGTGAATCACATAAGTCCAGTAGCTTTTAAATACAACTGATTCAAATTATTGAAATCAATCAGTATAGAATTACTGATATGTATTTCTTCAACAAAAAAACCCCTCCAAAAGTCCATTATGACTCAAATATAAATGCACTAATGCAAAGATTAAAGAAAAGTATTTAGAGTAATAAACGATTTCCTTATGTTTTTAGGATATAGTGCATATAATGGGAGCAGTCTACACAACAGTATTCCTGAAATACAAAATAGACACTACTATATCAAAATCTGTTTTATTTTTCTGTTGATGCTACATGTTTTGACCCTTATATTGGGCTATCATCAGGCGTACAATGATACTAGTCCTAGTTCTTGAATTGCATCTAATTTCAGTATGGATCCTTATTGTGCTTTTACAATACTTTTACAATATTTTGAATCATTTCTGATTAAAAATTAGTTTATTTTCCAATATTTAAACCTTATTTACTCTTTTAACTCCCAAATTCACAACACAGTATTATTATATACACTTTACATGCATGCATGTGCACACAAACAGAAAATTCCCAATTATCTGGTATCCAACATCTGAAACTCTTATAAAACTGGCAACATTTTCAAGGAGAATTTACCATTTTTGTAGCTCACTCATTATGTGGTAGTTCTCCCAGTTGCCAACAACAGTACTAATTTTCAGCCTCCCTCATGTAGATACCATTACAGTAGAGGCTAACTGAATTTTGGATTGCATTACAGTATTTGTATCCAAAAATCTGTCACCCATCAATCCAGTATGTTTCCCAGAATGATTCCCACTCCAGAACTAATGGGTTTCTACAAGAGTTTTTCTCATGCAGCATGCAGTCATGTACCTGACAGATTTCAACTCTCAGATAATGAGTTTATAGGTAAAAAACTGTTGCCCCTGTGCTTAATTAATTAAACACCACATGATATAGATATATGGGGGAGTGGAGGTACAACTCCACCATTTTTGACCTTGCCACTAAATGAAGGTGAGTGGTCAGTTTCATGTCCCTGCCACTTTAGCTCCAGGAAAAGAGCCCCTGGCATCCATTGTATAGTAGGCTGGGTGGGCCCTAGAACTGGTCTGGATATTATGGAGGAGAATTGGGAACAGAACCTTAGCCATCCAGCCTGTAGGTATACTGATTGAGCTATCCTGGCTCTGTTTATATATATATATATATATAATTCTTATTTTTTGTTTAAAAAAACAAATTGAATCCAATGTTTCTACATTTATGAAACATGTAACTTCATATTTTTTCATACACTGTTCCAGAACATTTAACAGAGTGTGCAGTTTACACTTTCATAAATATAATACCTTCTAAGCCTGGAAAGAATGATGCTAGTCAGAATCTTGAATTTAGGAAACCAAAAACTGAAGTATGCCACATTTCTAGTTAAAATAGTGAGGTAAAAAGAAACACATAATATAACCCTGTAGAATTAAACAGCATGTACCAACAATACATCACATCAGGAGTGCTATGTTTCTAGTAATCAACAATATTACAGCCATAACAGAAGGATCAGGATTGTAGCATGGCATGACTCTATTAACAGTCAACCTCTTTCTCTGTCTAGTGATGCGAATACTGCAGTGGCAGCACCATGCACTGCAGCTAACTGCACTGAGATGGGTATTGAAACAGATATCTTTCCTGCCAGAGGCAGTTTTTATGTGCCTACTCAGGCCAAAACTCCATACTGCAGTAAGTATGCAAAACTGCAAGACATTTTGGAGAAAACTGTTCCTTACATAATTCTGTTTTAACAGAAGTTACTTAAAAGCAACTTAAAAATATATAAACTATTTTATATCTATAACATGTGACATAGTATCTTGTCTTTTATAAAGATGCAAATTTCAAATATTTGAGAGCAATGTGCTAAAAATAATCGGCAAATAATGGATATGATCTAAGCTGTTATTAGAGGAAATAACATAATTACAACTCAAATGGTTGTAACCCTAATATTAATTAGGTCCCACATCACCATGGCATTCTGGATCTACAAGTTAGGGACACAGGAGATAGCTTCCAGATATGAACGGTAGCTGCACATATACTGAATAAGTTATGTATAGCTGATAAGATTTGGCCCAGTAGCTTGGACTTGGACCAGGAGCTAACTATTCCTTATGTTGATACATACCAGAATGCTACAAAATGTTGTATGGGGCAAAGTAACAGGATTTGGTATGAATGAATGTATAAGGGGTGGGCCTTCTTGGCCCTTGCACCATGACCTACAGTGATCTATTGTGCTTAACAGGATCTGGTAAATATGGTAATGGGCCTTCGGTTGTGAAAAAATTTATCTTCCAGCTGAGCTTCTCAAGAAAGACTTAGTTCCATTGAGTTATTAGATGTTAAACTTCTGTATTTTAAGAGTAATGTTAATTAGGTGCATCCATACATATTTTCAGCTCATGACTTGAAAACTGTCAACTATATTTGCACTTTCACCAAGGTTCAATACAAAACATATTTAATGCAGGGCTGTTTAATCTGTAACTCCTTTTGCTACATGTTTTATAATTTCTCACAATTACACTAAAAAGTAAATTTACATTTCATGCAGTCATCACTAAATATTACATAAAAATAAATTGTGGTTTTCTGAACTATGATATCCTGAAGCTGGAAGCAGTATGCTAGTGTGAAACATATGTACCTACCTACCAAGTTACAACAAGATAGTAGCATGAGATCTGAGAGCAGTGTTAAATAAACCATAAGTAAAAGACAAAAAGGCAAGGTGAAATTTTTTTCTGGGCTTTTTTAAAACACTGTCAGTAGCTAGAATGTGCAGTGTCCAGTGGGGGCTGACAGAAGAACAATAAATTGAAAAGGATTTAGAAGGAAGCCTACTAACATATCAGAGGAATGTAATGCCTCCATCTTCAGGGTCGAAGAATAAGCCAAGCAGGAAGTAAGTTGAGTGGTCTACTTGCTGCTTGCACCTTGTTTTCTTGGCTTACTCACTGGATCTGAAAATTTGGGCAGCGCTATTTTTTTTTAGTTTTCTATTGTTGTTTGTAGGTTGGAATGAGACTGAGTTAACTTGGAACATTGGCCACTACTGGCCCTATTGTACCAGCCCTTGGATGATGGTGATGATGATAGATGAGTGTGGGGCAGTTAGTGGAATGATAATTGGCAGAGGAGACCAAAGTACTTGGAGAAAACCTGCCCCAATAACGTTTCATTCACTATAAATCACACATGATCTGACCAAGGATCAAACCTGGGTGGCCGTGGTGGAAAGCTAGTGGCTAATTACCAGAACTATGGTATGGCTAAGGCAATACATTCTTCTGAAACATCATAAACTTCTTTCAGATTACATGATGTCACATTACTCTTCAGTCATTGCCATGTGAGCATCATATGTCACAAGTTGATTTTGGATTTTTCAATTTATTTTCAGTCCAGGATCCAAGAACTGATGATGAAATGGTCACCTCCTTATCCAAGTTGTACAGAAGAGTGAACCGTATAGACAGGAACGACGGGAACTAATGAAACACTGTGTCGGCATAAAGATGTGACGCAAATTCAGATCACAGAAGACTGTTATGTTCAGAATTTGTTCCTAAAATACAACCCATGTAACTGAACCTTTAGCCTGATCACAGATTTTGCATGGCTTCCTTATGGGTGATCAAGTTTGTTTTCAGTATCACATAATTTGTCATTAGTTCAACATTTTATGAAATAAAACTGCGATATGAAATGTGATTTGTTACGTTTTATATAGTTACGCAGTAAACACTTTGTCACTCATTGTGATGGATTTTATCATCACAATAATCATAATTAGGTGACTTCTAGGTGCTGCATCATAACATTTAATGGCATGAAAGATGATTATTTATTCTGAACAGGAAAATGTAAAATAAAGGAAGTATAGGACTATTTCAAGGCAATATCTTGGAATTAACCTGGAATAACTTAAAAATAAAGCACACATACATACAGACTGTCACAATTGTCACAACAGTCACAATAATCAGTGGCCTGACTGACATTTAAACTTAGTCCCTTGTATTAAAATTAATAAGAGTTTCCATTGAGTTAATCTGCAGCAATGAAACATGTAAATAACTAACTAACTCTCTGGCAATTGAAAACTAACATTACAATCAAAGAACCCTAAAGAGATAACTAATTCACAAACATGAACATTTTTTCTCAAATTGCAGTGCAGATTTTTCTGCATGAACATGCTAGTAAGTCATAATAATTAACAGGTCATATGTGCAGCAAAATATTCTGATATATTTCATTCCTACAGAATGAATTAAGTTTGATTTACTCCAAGATTTTCACAGTAAGTTACTGTTGAAGACTCAACACTTCTCTATCAAAGCCTGCTATATGACACAACCCTGAAAACTGAATATTGTCATTCTGTTAAGTGTATCAATGTAGCTATGTACAGCAACATGGAATACACAAATCTAAATATATAACCCTTTCACATTTCTACCAGATGCAAGAAGTATAAGCTTAAATAAGATGGAAATTATATGTTGTTTTGCATCAGTGTTCAGCTCCCATTACAAACCATCCTCTTCCTCTACTGAGTGCCACAATGAAGTGTTATGTAACTGCATGTTCACATATTCCTTTTTTATTTACACAGTGCTCTCTGGATCATACATATGCCATTTTCACCTAGGTTTTAACTGAAAAAGCTACCACCAGATGTCCTCATTTGCCACTTCTCACCTGTCTAAATTTAAGAAGCTACTAGCAGATGGTCTACTAGTACAGTTGGAAAAATCTGGAACAGTTTCTTTATTCATTCTGAGTAATATTTCTAAATTTGTGTATCTGTTAGTCCTTTTCACAGATCTGCAAAGTATGTTTCTTTCTTTAAAAATGTTACTGTAATATCCGAAAAAATTTCATATCTTAATTTGATAACTCCTTCTTCAACAGCCCACAGCAATAGAGGTAGAATGCAGTCATCACAAATATGTAAGAAACTTCTGACTTTGGACTGATAGCCTTCTCCTTCTGCCATGAGAGAAACAGTTTTACAGCTTCTTGATAATGAAAAGTATCTCTGGTCTAGCAGGAAGTCTTTGGTTACAAGAAACAGGTATAATATCATCAAAACATCCAGTAACTTCCTCACTGCATAAGAAAGCAGAGGTCTCTAATGTCATCATATAGATGTGTGTTTTTCTCTCTCTCTACTATGTCAGTATTTAACAACAATTTGTCGACCCTGTTATATTAAGTGGCAGGATGATTATGGACGGTGTAACAGGAAGCAGTTATGGTTCACTTTTTAAAGAACCATGATGGCATTAGCTTGGATGGGAAGCCAGTAAGTATCACAGAATACAAAGCCTCTGGGCTGAAATTCATACTTACAATTTGGAGAATATGAACTGACTATTCCACAACTTCTTTAATTAAATGGCTGATGTGCATAAAAACTGGCATGAAAGTCATGCCAATGGAGGCCACCATATACTTCTACATCTTTCCAGTTTCAGAACAATACCAAGATGATTGTGAGATTGAAGTAACACTATCACAATGGTTTAAAAATTTTGTAAAGAATAGGATAACATTTGCTTGAAGCCATTTTTATCCAAATCTAAGCAAGGATTGATTATAAAACAGGAACTGTTTCCAAAAATCTTGTAAGACAGCTTGTAAAAGTTTATTTTGAAGACCAAGATATAATTGTGTTACATCAGAATGGATATTTATGGAAAGTGATTGTATGTGCAGTGTCCAGGGGAAGCTTTTCTGGCACAGTGGTGGAACTTATGGTACCAAAATTTTAGAGAGGTGGTTAGTTATAAGAGGAAGATGGTATGGAATTTCTCAAAATTTTGTTTTAATTTCAGAGTATCTTCAGCCAGCCTGGCAGAACAAATGCATGCACAAATTGATTCTGGAGATAAGTTCTATTCAATTGAAATAACCCCACCTATATCTGTACTGGATTCATGTCAGTTGTTAAGAAGGTACTTAGATTTATAACATATATCAGAGTGAGAGTAGTTCCACTGAAAAGTCCGAGCAACAAAGTTCACCCGTTATTATTCCAGCCTTCAAAATCTGTACAACTGCAGTCCACTGTTCACTGCCATTACCTGGCACATCAAAACATCAGCCATGCCAGTGCCACCAGTGCTACCATTTGGTGAGTAGACACTGCTTTGTGCTTTACACCCAACACCTCTCTGGGGATTCTAAGAATAGGTTTGACATGTCATGAAGCAGCTACACACATTATTTTGGAAGGGACATAGAAGACTTTCGGATAATGTGACCATCATATATTCTGGCCTTAAACACACACACTTTGTTTCCTTTCTGGAAACATTAACAAAAAAGTGCATAGCATGTCAGTCTGTCCGCACAAACTACATGGCTCAAAATTGACATATTTTAACAAAATTTGATACAGATCTATACCAAACACTGTCAAATTGCATTTCAAGCCATGAAACACAAGACATACAATAATATAAACTGATTTTCAAACATAAATATTAGAATTATTTGAAATTTTGTTGTGTTCATGGCCATATAATAATACAACATAAAATAGTACTTCTGTTGGTCGCTAATGCCACAAAATTATTATAAACATTCCACAGCTGCCGCTTTCAAAATATTAAACCACCTACCTGAGGCTCTTTAAATTTTATGCAGTAAATCCACACTAAAAACTATCAAGTAAATTAGACTTTAGTCATCCTGGGCTAGCAGTTTTGTCAACATATAAATGAACAATCTGCTGTCATGAATATACCTTTTGGTAACAAACTTGTGTTTTTTCCGACTTTGTTAAGTGTAATTTTTCCTTGCCACAATTCACTTATCACATTGGTCACCGGTGTCTGTAACTGCCAAAGGTGAAGATTATGTTCTTGCCTTCTGAATATCATGGATCTAAGCAATAAGCTATGAACTTATATGGGGGTATGGAGTAAAGCTCCACACCTCTACATTTCATGTACAAGTGCACATTTCAAATCAAGCTGATAAAACTGTTGGCAGGCAAACTTCGAGCACTGAGACTTGGTGCAGAAATAAGCAACATTAATTCTGTGCTGCTTCATTTGTCAAGTGTGGGGCTAACCAAGAAGCAGGTTTGTCAGGTGCTTTGGTATATCAGAGACATGGGCATAAGGAATATATTTGCTCTTCGAGGAGGTGTGTATCTATTTTTCAAACAGGTAGGTTTCCTTTTGAACATAAGAGAATGAAGAAACTGATCAATGTTCCAAACATAAACGAATTCATTGCATGGCAACATAATTTTACAGGGGAAGCTGTGTACATCATAAAAAAGGTTTTAAACTTCATGAAATCTGTTAGATTTAACTAGAGTTAGTTGTTTTTTCCCTCAAATTCTTCACGTTGTTTTAAATAACTTCTTGAATAGTTATCAACTCATACCCAAAATTCTGAAACCAATATGCAAGGTGCCATAGGACCAGAGACAGAAAATTGTCTAATACGTGTATCTGTTATTAAGCCTAGATGTATTAATACCGTTTTAAATCTACTTACAGACAGACCAGAAAGAAACAATGACTTAAAATTAGACCGTGGTTTTCCTTATGCATCAGATCTTGTTTCCTTCATACAAGAACGATTTGGAGATTACTTTACAATCTGTGTAGCTGGTTACCCTTTGGGCCATCCAGAAGCAGTATCTTTTGAGCAAGATCTGGCTCATCTCAAAGAAAAGGTAATGCAACAAGAAAGTCCTTGGAGACCTAGAAGTGCTTAAAAAATGGGTGATCCTGAAGCAGCCATTACACTTTATTAAATAAGTTCTGTGTTTGAGTCCAGATGCTTGAAAATGCTAATGTTTTCTGAAGGGGTTTACTCATGACATTTAATCTTACTTTGAAAACATGTTCCATGCATCAGCAGAGCCTGAAATGTGTTTGAATTCCAGTTCTCTTCAGTCATACTAGCAGATAATACTATTATTTAATTTTTTATTTTTCAGTTAATAACTATACTGGCAACGCAGTGCGATGTATGTTTTAACCCCGACACTAAAACTGAGCATGGGAGAACCAACAAACACATTTTTAAAAATACTGGTTCACTACTGGGGAAATGTAACATTGTAGCCCACCAGGTTGGCGCTTTTTTTTTTTTTCAAACTTCTGTATGTGTCATGGTGACAATTATTTCCTTGAAAATTTGTTGAAATTTCAAAGTTTGTGGTCTATGCAAGATCTGAGTATCTCATGGTTGTCATGGTGAAGATTGCTGTCTTCTGGGATGTAACACCTTATAGTTACATTTCATTCTGGTACATTATACTCTGTGATGTGAGAGTGTGTAGTCTGGCAGATATCTACCAAATTAAATCCTCTCATATAACAGAAGACAGCAATTTTTTTTTTGTTCTATGCCTGCAGTTTTATTTTTTCACTCCCTCATAATATAGTATTTAGACATGGAAACTGTTTTCTTCATTCACTATTACTCCCATGTTAATACACAAATTACTTTTTCAAATTGTGCCTTCTTTTAAATTTGACATGGGTAAAGTCTTATGTCCTTTATATGTAATTTTAATCCCCTACATAATTTTCAGTCCCATAAATTTCCTCATGCGGTGCAAATTTGTGACATAAAAATAGCTAACAGAGCTTTTGAAAAAGTGGCACAGTTCAAATATCTGGGAAGGAAAGTAATAAATTAAAATTTGATTCAGGAGGAAATTAAGAGGAGAATGAATATGGGTAATGCTTGCTACCATTCAGTCCAGAACCTCGTCTTCTTGTCTGCTGTTTAAAAATCAGAATATATAGAACCGCAATTTTTCCAGTTCATTCTGTATGGATATGAAACTTGGTCTGAGACATTAAGGGAGTAACAGAGACTGAGGGTGTTTGAGAACAGGGTGCTGAGGAGAATATTTGGACTAAAGAGTGATGAAGTGACAGGAGTTTGGAGAAAACTGCATAACGAGGAGTTTCATAACTTGTATGTTTTGCCAAGTATAATTAGAATGATCAAGTCAAGGAGCATGAGATAGGCATGGCATGTAGCACAAAACTGGGGGTATGAGGAATGCATATAGGAGTTTGGTGGTAAAGCTGGAAGGAAAGAGACCACTAGGAACACCTAGACATATGTGGGTAGATAACATTAAAATGGTTTTTAGAGAGATAGGATTGCGTGGTATGAACTGGCTTTATATAGTTCAGAATATGGACCAGTGTAGTGTTCTTTTGTGAACATGGTAATGAACCTTCGGGTTCCATAAAATGTTGTGAAATTCTTGGGTAACTGCACAACTGGAGGCTTTTCAAGAAGGGCTCAGTTACATAGTTACTTAGAGTCAACATTCCATGAAACTTTATCATAAAGTTTTGTATGCATTTCATCTTTTCACCTGTGTCCAGGCTGCTGCTTCTCACCTGAACATCTCCAGTAAGTCCACTCAAGCAGATTATTCTACCATGCCATAAACAGAAAACCTTGCCAAAAAAGTCAGGAAATAGAGCATGGGCTATTTGCAGATAACTTATCCTGACAAACATTCAAACCAAGTATCTTCCAAATGAAAGACAATATTCTTGATTTCAGGTTGACAAAGGAGCCAGCTTTATCATCACACAATTCTTCTTTAAAGCGGGTGATTTTGTAAATTTTGTGCAGTGGTGCAGAAGAATTGGGATCACAGTGCCTATTATTCCAGGAATATTGCTTATACAGGTAATAAATCAATGGTACAGTGTCTTCATTAGACATACATTGATATTGAGATTTTTGCTTAGTGGAGGGTGGAGTCCAACTGGGTCCACTTGGCACGGTGGCCACTGATTGGCCTACTGTAGCCTGCCCCAGGTGATTATGATGGAGAATTTGGTGGAATGAAGATTGGCAAGGGAAACCAAAGTACTCGGAGAAAACCCGCCCCAGCGCCATTTTGTCCACCACAAATCCCACTTGACCAGACCTGGGATTGAACCAGGGCTGCCGCAGTGGGAAACCAGCGACTAACCACTTGAGCTATGGCACAGCCATTGATATTCAGATGCTCAAGAGGTTGTTGTTGATTGTTACAGCATCAGGACTCTACTCTCATTCATTTTCCAATATTCTTTATGGCTTATTTAACAATGCTGTTGGTAGTTCAGTTTATATACTGTTCAGTGATTAGAAAAGTAATGCATAATAATCTGTAAAGGATGTGAAAGGAAGCAGTCATGGCCTAATTTCTGGTAATATTCCAGAATTTTTCAGGAGGGACTATGGAGAATCATGAAAAATCTCAGTAAAAAAATTCTGTTTACAGGCAAAGACTAGAACCTGGGGCCTGCTGAATAAAATGCAGGAGCGTTAGCCACTTGACCATCACATTTCCTATCCTAATTCAATTCAAGAAGGTTTCACAATATATTTATCTAAGAAACACTTTAACATTTTCCTTTCATTTACACTCAGTAATTCAAGTTCTCACCACAGCAAAATACCAGTTCTTAGAAAAATAACAAACACTCTTGTATTTGATTTTGTATTGTATGTAACTTCAGTTCAAAATTCACAGTTACTTATTTTAACCCTTACCTGAACTATACTTGTAGATAATGCAAGATATATGTGTAAATACTCTGTGTTAAAGGTTAACTCACAAAGTCTGAAAAATGTATGTTCACCAGACAAGTGACTGATTAACTACCTACCTACCTGCATAACTAACTCATTGACAAAGAGACAGACTGACTGACTGACCAACGAACTCCATGGCGAAGTGTTCTTCAGAACCTAACAGTTGCTCAGCCACTTATGAAACTTCCATCATTTTATGGAATCTGAAGTTTCTTTATCATGTTCACATGAGTCTGGCACTGGTCCATCCTAATCCAAATGAATTCAGCCCACACCCACTCACCCCTTTTCTTCAAGATTAATTTTAATATTATCCCCCTAGTGGTTCTTTCATTCATGTATTCCTACCAAAATTTTGTATCCACTTCTCTCCCGTGTGAACTATACACCTTACTAAGCAATACTTATTTGATTAAGACAGTAACATTCAATGTTTTTTTAAATTTTAATTTGTAGAAAGTGTAACTATTTATGTAAGTTTTGAGGTTTTCATGGCGATGACTATGAAGAAAGTCGTCTTCTGGGTTTTGGCGCCATGTATTCTTCGTTTTGGCCGACGTTCCTCCGAAACGTCTGCCAAAACGAAGAATACACGGCGCCAAAACCCAGAGACGACTTTCTTCATGTAACTATTTATGTTTAATGCACTGTTACTTCAATCACAAAGTTCACTGGGTTCATCAGAAGATGCAGGGCATATTTTGTGGAAAAGACAACAGATTTTCTGCGACTACAATTATGTGACAGCTAATAAAATATAACAAATTGTGGATTTTCTGAAACTGAATTCAAGAATAGTGACCTCATATTTTGGACTATATTTTTCCTGTACTACCTTCACTTTCTCATTGCAGGATTACACGTCACTCATTCATATTTCGAGTGCATGCAGTGTGGAAGTGCCAAGGTCAGTACTGGACATTATTGAACCAATTAAAGACAATCGAGAGGCTGTAAGAAAGTTTGGTGTCCACCTAGCAGTGGAGATGGTGTCCTATCTCTTCTCACAAAACTACTCAAATGCAGCCCATTTCTTTACCCTCAACAGGTAAGAGAATAATGAAAAATAACCTACTAGCACTGATAATAACAAGAACTTAAAATTTGCTTTATAAACAAAACAGCAGAGAAAGAAATATATGGCTGTCTCCTGAAAATATAACCTGACAACCACTGCCCCAACATTGTCCTGTATCAATAAAATAAATAAATTACTTCTAGAGCTTGTGGATGTGTAAAGTCACAATTATTTTTAATTATAATTCTACCTTAAAACTAGACTACAAACAAAAATCCAACTTATAGCCTAGTCATGTCCATTAAACACAATAAGTTGGCTCAAGCAGTAACACTTCTGTCTAGTATTCATGGGGTTCTGGGTTTGAATATAGGCAAGGACACTGACTGCCCTGACTGATATTTCTCATTCTTTTCCGCATTCCTGCAAGGAAACTGTCGGCAAACCCCAAATAAATAGAAACTGTATCCACTAAGCATGGAGAAATGCATTCTCTGCCAATAAAACAGACAAAGTTATAATATAAGCATCATAACGACATGAATCCATCTTATTAATTGTACTCTGTGATTTTCCAAATTGTATTATTGGAAGAAGAGTTGAGGTTATGTGCCCACTATCAATACATGGGCTGTACCTCTTCAAATCATGTACATGAATGTAAATTCTATGAAGGTAATATTATAATATATTTTACAGCAGTGTAATATGAAACCCACCCCACAAACTTAAAATGCATCTCTAATTACAGACCAATATCCATATTGACTTCATTCTCAAAAGTCTTTGAAAAAGTTATGTATAACAGACTACTTGAACACTTAAATTCTAACAACATGTTAGTCAAAGAGCAATTTGGATTTAGGAAAGACCTAACAACAGAAAAAGCAACCTATGAACTAACTAACGATATTTTAAGTGCTCTCAATGACAGATTAATTGTGGGAGGGATTTTCTGTGATCTAGCAAAAGCTTTCGATTGTGTTAATCATGATATCTTACTATCGAAATTAAATTTCTATGGAATAACTGGCAAAGCTAATGAATGGATCAAATCATACCTCAAAAACAGGTATCAAAGAGTTGAAATAAATAATAAAAACTCCAGTCATAATGCATTTTCAAACTGGGGAATTATAAAGCACGGTGTTCCACAAGGATCAATTTTAGGTCCCTTACTTTTTCTTCTCTACATAAATGATCTATCTAAAACCATCAACAATAAATCTAAACCAATTCTATATGCAGATGACACTAGTATAATATTTAAGAACTCTAAATTTGAAAACTTTAAAAATGACATAAATATTGTATTTGAAGCCTTAAACAGATGGTTCGAAGCCAATTTACTCTCATTAAATTTTGATAAAACCCATTACATATCATTCACAACTAAAAACAACCACCAAATTGATCTGGACATCAGTTATGCCAACAAATTAATCTGTAAAGTACTTGATACAAAATTCCTTGGAATACATGTAGACAGTACACTGTCTTGGAAAATACATATTGAACAAATTATACCTAAATTAAATGCAGCTTGCTATGCGATGAGATCAATTAAGCCTTTTATGTCACAGGAAACATTGAAGATGGTTTACCATGCCTACTTTCATTCTATTATGAACTATGGATTAATATTTTGGGGGAACTCTTCACATAGTGTAATAATTTTTAAAATACAAAAGAATATAATTAGAATCATTACAGGATGTAGAAGTAGAGATTCATGTAGAGAATTATTTAAGAAATTAAAAATTCTACCTCTTCAATCGCAATACATATTATCGCTTCTCTTATTTGTTGTTTACAACAAAGATAAATTCAAATTAAATTCTGATGTCTATAACATGAATACTAGACAAAAATATAACTTCCACCTACCCTCATCAACTTTATCAGTATATCAAAAAGGAGTCTACTTTACTGGCATAAAAGTGTTCAACAATCTGCCACAAAGTATTAAAAACTTGGGCAATGATACTAAAAAGTTTAAATCAGAGTTAAAGAATTATCTACATGCTCATTCCTTCTACTCTTTAGATGAATACTTCAATGTAAATAGAGAATGATGTAAAATTAAGTTATATTAATTTTTAAGCTAAAATTGCCTGTACTTATGTATGTAACCTTTTGACTTGTTCTGTATCCAAAGGTACTAACCTGCTTAGGATTTATAGAATGTAAATAAATTCAATTCAATTCAAACACAAAATGCATCTTGCACATCAGCCCATCCAACATACAGTAGTACAAATTACGAAATTTTCAAAACCCTTCCAGCCATGTTCTCGTCCAACATACACAAAACTTCTAAATGCAATATGAAACATGCAACACTAAGTTCTCTCCAGAAATAAAATGTTTCTATAAACTCTTCAGCACTATGCTGGCTTCAGGGGAGATGGGAGGGTGGGTGTACCTAGAACTGGGTTGCTCATGACACTCAAAACTATGCTGACTCATAGCATACAAGGAGTTATAAAATATAATAGTATTAAGCGCCTTCAGATGACTCTTCCACCATTAAGAGAATTACTTTGCTTCCTAGGGGCAAAGGATGGTCAGAATGTAAGCCTGACAATCTCACCACCATCTGAGAGCTGACTGTCATGAAAAGGGGGGAGCCTCAACATTTCAGAACCCTATGGGCCACCAAGGCCTATTGCAGGGATAGCTGCACCCCAGTTTATTACTCTTTCCATAAACAGGCAGAATAAGAGATTCTTTCCACCACTACGACAATTGTTCTTTTTTCAAATATAATACTTCATATTGTGGTGGTGGGGATTTGTTGCACTGATCCCGCGATACCCTTTATCTGCTAAAGTTGGCACTAACTTCGCCGACAGGGCCACACCATAGCTCAAGTGGTTAGTCACTGGCTTGCCACTGCAGCGGCCCGGGTTCGATCCCGGGCCTGGTCAAGTGGGATCTGTGATGGACAAAGTGGTGCTAGGGCAGGTTTTCTCCGAGTACTTTGGTTTCCCCTGCCAATCTTCATTCCACCAAATTCTCCATCATCATAATTACCTGGGGCAGGCTACAACAGGCCAATCAGTTGCTGCTGTGCCGAGTGGACCCAGTTGGACTCCACCCCCCCACTAAGCGAACTTCGCTGACAGGTGGCGGTCGCTTGGTCGGTATAGTTCACTTGTGGACTAAAACCATGGAGTTTGTTTTTGATATTGTGGTCTTCCGGTTATCACACTGTTATAGTCTTGTAAACATGTTCCACTGTTTTGAAGGAATATCCTCCCCTGTCTGAAAAGAGCACTGGTATGTTACTCTAAAACACTGATGACTAAATTAGAATATTGTACAGTATTTCTCTAACTGAATCACAGGGTTTCTTAAAATCTACAAATGGGTAAAGTAATGATTCACTACCTATCCCTTCTTTGATACATCTGTCAAGTGCAGAAGATCTAATAAACAGCTGACCTACTGTGATGCAAGGCACACTGATCCACAATAATTTCATTAACACATTGTGTTAAATAAGTCAAAGAGATATTCCTTGCGAGTTAATGCAGTTCACTTAGTCTCTGATTTTTCAGGTAGGAACAATAATGGATTATTTCCATTGGCACATGAAAACGCAGGTTTTGGAATTCCATCTTTCTGTACATATGGATGTACCCCTCACTAGCACCTGAATGATCAGACAGGTTTTATTCATATTCAGTGTTTATTCATCATAGGTTGGTGCCCAGTGAATATGACCACACCAGCTCAAAAACAGCGGCTTCCTATGGGTCCCAATTAAAAAAGTTATTTTTTCTAAAATGGCTCAACTTTGATTCAATTTATCTTATTTAAGGAGACCACCTCCTTAAATGAGACTCCACAGGTGGTACCTTCAAGAAAACAATGGTACATATATGCATTAGGCGCCCAAAGGTGAAATGTCAATTACTGGTCAGGTGGAGGTCTTTGTTTAGTATTCAGCCACCACTAATGACCTACTGGGAAACAGGGCCCTAAGGTGAAATGTCTATTACTGGTCAGGTGGAGGTTTTGTCGTTTAGTATTCAGCCACCAACAATGGCCTACTGAGAAACAATCAATTTCATTTCCAAGTTAACTAATCAGGGTCAATCATACATGGCAAAACAAATGCCATATTTCTGCACACATTTATTTTACTGTTTCCAACCTACAGACTTTGTTTCATACCTTTCTTCTGATTTTCAAGAAAGGAGGGGGAGGCATATGGAACCAAAGGATAAGGTAAAGCAGTTAGCAGCCTTTTGATTGAAGGATGACAGATCAGGGATGTGTCAGTTTTAAAACAGTGTCACTAAATGGCCAAAATTGTCATTCCCACGTAAGGAAAAGTATATATTTACAGAGAGGTGATCTTAATACCATTGTGGAAATGACAAGTTTTATATTTATTTATTTAAATAAATACTCTGTTTCCTTCTTCCAATCATCATTTGACTGATGCTACACACTTATTTGTAACTGCTCCTCATGGTGTGAAACCAGCCAGCATGCTATTACAATCTGTATAGTTGTCAACATTACTTTCTGTACATAAATATACTGCAAGGAACACAATAAATAAGAATTTACATGTGAGAGTTCAGGTTTTCATGGCAGCAACTATGATGATTCCTGGCTTCCGGGATGAGATGCCACACAGTTTAGCAGACAGGTATCAATCAGTGTGAAGAAAGCAGTCTTCTGGGATTTGGCACCGTGTATATGTGGTGTTAACCGACGTTTCGGAGGAACGTATCGCCCCCATCTTCAGGGTTGAAGAAGTATAAGTAAATCTGCAAGTGACAACACCGTGAGACACGGTCAAGCAGTCTGCTTGATGGGGGGCGATACGTTCCTCCGAAACGTCGGTTAACACCACATATACACGGTGCCAAATCCCAGAAGACTGCTTTCTTCATAGTCACCACCGTGAAAGCCTCAAATCTTACATCAATCAGTGTTTTAGTGGAATCTGATGTCTTCACCTTCAGGGTAGAAGACTATGACATGTGTGGAGAAAGTCAATAACACAGGGAAGAAACCATGTTTTCTCTAACATTTTGTTCACTTATATAATTTTTTTAAGGTCAACTGTTGCTTCTTCGATGTTGTTTGGTTAATCAAAGCTTTATTGCATATGTAATTCAGAACCAAAGTTCTGCTTTATCCTAGGCAGCTGTCAGTGATCGAAACTTGCAAGTGTCTGGGGTTCTGTCTGCTTGAGCCAGCAAGACCACTGATGCACCATGAAAGATGCAAGAAGTCTAAAAGGATTGTTAAGTTACTTTAGGACCGTGGTTTCCAAACACTATGAATGAAGCCTCTTCAAGTCAGCAAAGATTCGGTGTTCTTCATAATTCTGTGTGTATAAAGAATGGCATTTTAATTTTTAAAATCAACATATATGAATATATCAAAAGTTACAAATGTGCAATATTAAAGAATAAATCTGTGACATTTTGGGAATTACAATCAATTCAATTTCATTACATGGGGTTTCCCAGAATATTTTAGAATGTGCTGCCATGTAGTTTGGTAGATAGGTACCAAAGTCTTGGAGGAGCCCACAAACCAAACTGTGTGGCATCATAAACCCAAAGACCATAGTCTTAATAGGTATCTAGATGTTCACATGGACCAATTCAAGAATATTATGTTCAGATTCTCTAATGTGAAACAAAGATACTGACATATTTGATACACGCTCAGAACGACTGAGCTAATACATTCCTGGCCAGTATAGTTGCAGTTTGTGTAGATTCCAAGTAATCCACCTGACTACTGGACATGATTAACAAGACTGCAAAAGAACAGTGTGTACACTTTACAGGCATGTGTGGCAGAAGGAATTATAAATGAAATAACCAAAGTATGATGAACTCTTCCCTTATAATAAATATTAAACTCAAATATAGCTATTCACTTATGGGTTATGATACTCAAACTGGTGAAAATACATAGGCCTACTAAATGAATAAACAATCAGTATTAAAGTTTCAATGTTTCCCATTTTACACAATCTAAATTAAAATTAAATATATGCAAAGTGTTTAATAAATGCTTTAAAGTCATACTGTAATACAGCACTATGCTCAAACAATAAAACAAATCTGATATAAAGCAGTTTAAACAGAACAGAAACTTCCTTTTGCATGTTTTTTCTTAATTGTGGCTGTGTTATAGAGGCCACAGTTAACTGTTGAATGTGAGTGTTCAAAACTGTACACACAACCTCGAAAACTGTAAGACTTACAAATGAATTGCACTGGATATATAATGTATGTTAATTTTTTCTGCAACATCATTCAAAACATTTTTCTCTTGGATAAATATTTAGTGCAATATGTGCAGAAACACATGTAGATATTCATGTGAAGTCATCATACATGGCTGATCTAAATGAAAACTGAAATGGCTTGACAATTTTTCTAAGACTCTCCAATATGAAATTTCACAAAAATCCATCCAGCACTTTTCAAGTTGCTTCATGTGTAAAGGTAGACAAAACTATTAGGCTTATTTTGGACTCTATTCATCATCTAGTATATATAAGACAAAAAACGACAACATTTTGGAGACTGGATAGACCTACTCAGTTGGGCCCGTTTGAAAGAGCTAGTCTCAATCACTGGATTGAGTGATTGAGTAGGTCTATCCTGCCCCATCCATCTGAGGATGGAGACAGATCCAGTCTCCAAAACATTGTTATTTTTTGTCTTATATATACCAGACGATGGATAGAGTCCAAAATAAGCCTAATAGTTCTGTATAGCATACTTCTTCGTCAGAACCCTTTAAAGTCTCTTTGGTTCATTCAGTCTCATATCCTGTTGGTGTCAGTGACTGTTTTCCTGTGGTGTAAAGTTATAAGAGTGTGAAGCTAATCATTTACCTCCATTCAGTACCAAGACTAAGCTAAGCTACAGCAGGGAGCTTCACCTAATGGCCCCATCACCATGCATACACTGCACAAGGGCAACTTTTACCTTTCATCTTAATTCCTTACATTTGTGTCTGCACGACACAGCATATGCCACAGAAGCACAATGTCTTAAAGGTCAAATGAGTGTCTGAACTTTCCAATTGTCAAACTGCAGCTGTAAACAGTAGCAAAACAGTCATGGATTAAAATCTGATTTACAAATTTTAGTAGGGATTTCCATTATTCAGTTTCATGAAATTCCATTCAAAAGGCAGAAATGTTACATGCAGGCAGACATGCCAAAGATAAGAGACACTCAGAGTTGCATTCATTCCTAAAAATTTAACATTCACATTATGAAAGATGGAATGAGTACTAAATTTTTCTGCACTAACATCTGGCAATTATTGCCTCAAAGAATTAATGCTGGTTAATTTGGTCAGACCTGTTCAGCATGTAAATGGGTGTACTGGGGAGTATCTAATCTCTAAAACAGAGGTAAGTGATCAGTTTCATGTACCAGCCAACTTATTTTTGGTCGGAGCATCAATGGTACCAATCAAAAATTGAGCAGATGAGGAGCCACTCTGTAAGTAGACGTAAGGAGAATAAAATCCACCGTCCTTTTCAGGGGCTGAGCAACTAATGACTGAAATGCAGACATTTAGATAGAATCTCAGAATTATCTTAAAATAACAGGCTCCAGGAACTGCTGATGCATGAAGTAAAATTTATTTGTCTGGTCAAGGCAAAACAATCCAGGAGATACCAAAGCTTAATTATATAAACCAAAACAACAGAAGGCAGGAATAAAACTTCATATGTATACCTTCCTTCAGTATTTGCAGAATACTGTTATGGAAACTTAATAATGCACTGTACGTAAAAAAGGTCAACACCTGAGACCAACAGTACATCCACTGAGGGCAATTCCTTTTATAACTTCAGAACCAGCTACTGTGCAGCTGATCCCATTTTGCCATGTTCACCCTGATACTGGTGACAATCTCTTCCACTTGCCGGTTCTGTCCAAAATAGTCTACAAATTCTCCATCTGGATTCACAAGGTACATGATAATTGTATGGTCAACCTGTCAAGCAACAAAACATTTATCCTCTTACTTACTGAAACTGAAAGCTTCAATTCTATGTGTCAGGATATACACAAGGTCTGAATAAAAAGTACAGCCACTGAATCTGTGAAAACTAAGAGACTGCACTTACAGTAATGAGAGGTAAATCCCCTTCAAAGTAAGCTCGTTTTGCACATACATATACTTATTCCACTGTACCTGCGAGTGTTGGAAGGACTTCTCAGATTGTTTCTGGAATTTTAAAAAACCGTTGTTTCACTGCATTGTAATCAGTTGTTTCTGCATATCTTTTGGCTTTCTAGATGTATTCAACTTTAGTAAAAAGAGAAACATGACAGGGAGGAATATCTGTTAGGCATGAATGCTGTCTCACTTGCAGAATACTGAATTTACCTAAAGTTGCTGCACAAGCCATACTGTGTCGGCAGGTGCACTGTCATGCTATATTTGCTACTTACTGTTATAACACACTGCATCACAGAGACATTTTAACGCTCACACAAGATGTGAGATGCCTACAGCAGTGAAGATTATATCATGGTCTTCTGGGTTATGACATCATGTATTCTGGAAATGGTTACATACGTTTTGAAGCAACATACTGGCACTATCTTTAGAGTAACCACATTTCAGGGGATCATACTACTTCTATATGCAGGGTACGAGGAAGATGGCGGCACTATGTTCTGCCGAAACAATGGTAACCGCCTATCAGACTATACATTGTCATAAATTGGAAGATCACAATATGATCTAACCATCTGTGAACAGAAATGTTGGTTAAGAGTTTGGTCTTATGAAAGAAACTCTTGGTGCCCAACATTGCAATTGAAAAAATCATCAGCATAACTTTAGCTTTATCAGACATAAGGCATGCTTTTCTTAGCTGCAACAAGGAAGAGTCTTAGTGTTGGAGTCATTAGAGCAGACCCATGTTTCAACAGCTGTTGTTTTATATATATATATATATATGTTTTAAGAATTCTGCACTGGCTTATGCACATTCAAGCAAGTCAGAAACCACAAACAAGTGGTTTTCTTTGTATACCTGTGTCAGCAGATGTGGAACAAACATGGCTCAGACATCCACAAATATTCAGCTAAAGTAACCTCAGGTCAATCTCTTCAGCCATTTAATGTAGTCAGTGTTCTATCATCCAGAATTAAGTCACATGCGTGAGCTACAGATTCATCATTTCTATTGACTGAAGGTGTTCAGGGTATTTGTTTCTCTTTAAACTGAAAGAATCACTGAAAAACTCATGTTTACTCATTGCTGCTTCTCTAGACGCTATCTGTGTCAGATGATAAGTTTTAATCACTGTCCTAATCTTCTCGCAAAATTGAATACATATGTGTTTCTGTAATCAGTGACATTATTAAACTGACAAATGAAAAAAAAAGCAAACAATGTAAAACTAATCACAAACAACTCAAGTGATAGAATGAGCTGTAAAAAAGCTTGGACACAGAGTAACATTATGTAACAGTGAGGCCACACTACAGCTCAAGCGGTTAGTTGCTGGCTTTCCATCGCAGCAGCCCGGGTTTGATCCCGGGCCTGGTCAAGTGGGATTTGTGCTGGACAAAGTGGCGCTGGGACAGGTTTTCTCTGAGTACTTTGGTTTCCCCTGCCAATCTTCATTCCACCTATTGCTCCACAATCACTCTCAACTATCATCTGGGGTTGGTACAATAGGCCAGAAGTGCCTGCAGTACAAGGGACTTAGTCCCATCCCACCAAAAAAAAAAAAAAAAAAGAANAAAACAAAAGACAAAAAAAAAAAAAAAAAAAAAAAAAAAAAAAAAAAAAAAAAAAAAAAAAAAAAAAAAAAAAGATAACGGCCATGACACATTCACAGCAGCCATGTTCTAGCATAGTGCAATTTATCTGGATTATGAGTTCAGTGACGATACTTTCAGCTCAGACCCCATATTTTAATTGATTATATCTTTATAATATGGTGGTCTGTGTTAGTAAGCTAGAATACTATGTAGATTCTAAAGGGTTCTGAGGATGGTGGATGACACACAGAATTACTGGGTTTTTGGGCTTTTTATATCGTCCGGAATTCTAGGTAATAGAGGACACGTTTCGGAAACTGGATCTATTTCAGTCTTCAGGTGAGAAAGGTAGACACCTACTCGGTTGGGTCCCTTAGAAAGAGCTAATCTCACTCTTTCTAAGGGGCCCACTGAGTAGGTGCCTTCCTTTCTCACCTGAAGACGGAAACAGATCCAGTTTCCGAAACATCACGTCCTCTATTACCTAGAATTATGGACGACGGAAAGAGTAAAAAAACCCAGTACTTCTGTAGAATACTTTGTGTTAGAGCTAGTAACTGTAACATAACACTGAATTTAATGACAAGTTAGTTAACTGTCTTAGGTAGGAAGAGATGGCTTATGTTAAGTCTACAAACTATAAATAAAACTTATATAAAATTAAAGTAAGTGATGTGTATACAGACAGGATATTCTAAAGTTGTTCCCTTTCACTATATTGTCATACATTACTGTGTAAAATTGATGTGAAAAGTACATACAACACATACAATTTCTAGTAGGAAGAAACAAAAAGAGATTATCTGAACACAGTAGACAAACGATGCTATATAAGCAGGTTTAATAAAGAAGACGGAACATATGGACATTTCCTATAGCAATCCTAAAGATGTCAAATTACGAGGAACAAAACAATTATGTACAATGAAGCAATATTTGAGGAGCCATATCAAGACTAAATATTACCCCCCCCCCACAAAAAAAAAGCACGACACTGTATCTGTTTAGTGAATGAAATACTATCCTTTTCTTAGGATTTAAATATCCTACATTTAGGTTCACCCAACATAATGTGAATAACTCACAATATAGTCCTTCTCCTCATCTCTTGGGCCTGCACTGAAGTACACTCTGTATGCTTTGCATGCCTTCTCCACCTGCTCGGTAGTCCCCGTCAAGCCCAGGATCCGAGAGGAGAATTCCTGTACATACTTTTGCACAATTTGTGGTGTGTCCCTCAGTGGATCCACAGTTATAAATAGGGGCTGAACTTTGGGGACATTCTCCTCCAAATCTAGAATATCAAAACATAAGGTAGGCAACAATCTATAAGTGTCATTACTTAGGGGGGGTGTTCACATTTTTGGTTCCACCTCGTGCCTATGTTAGTAGAATTTATGGTGGTATTTTCCACAATCCACACACAGTGACACTAGATACCTATGCGTAACAAAGAGTGTGCTCCACACAATTACTTTTATTTTTGAGAAGACTATACAGGTTATATTGCTTATATGACATTCTGAGCTCAGTATTAACACACTCTGGTTAGACTGATGTCACCTCTATAGAAGGAATCTGTAAGTCAGACTGTGGGGATCTTTTTCAAGTTCCTCAATTTGCCTGTTACCTCTGGATATCACTGATAACTTAAAACACATACAAACTGATTACTATGGTAAAGTTGTGCCTGTGCTTAACTAATTAAGCACTACTCATGAAGATGTATGGAGAAGTGGATGTATAGACCCACATTTTATTGACCTCAGCACTAGTTCGAGGTGAGTGATCAGCTTCATGCACTGGCCGGTTTTACCCCCATTACCCACTGGATAGGAGGCTGGGTGGGCCCCAGAGCCTCTATGGAAGACATTTGAAAAGAGAAAATTCTTGGCCCGACTGGGATTCAAACTCTGACCCCTCGACTGTCAAGCCCATAGCCAGTTGCTATACTGACTGCGCTATCTCGGCTCTTATATGATAGGACTATGACATCAATATGAAGATTATGGTCTTCTGGTCTGTAACATTCTGTAGTTCAGAAGATAGGTACCACACAACATGCAGTCCAATTCCAGGAAACCATAATCGTGTTATTTCTTGGTTTATGCAATTATACTGTGTTAAACATAACATTACGTGTGAAATGGCAGGCTGATATCAGAAGTATAAGTTTCAAAGGCAGCAGAGCTAAAGCTATCCCTGTAACAGGCAGTGAAGGCCAACAGGGTTGTCAGACGTCAAGGCTCCCACATTTTGTCTAGACAATTGAATCACAGATGGCGGTAAAGTAAAGGCAGTAGAAGTAACTGAAATCTGTGTATTACCAACAATGAATTTGTTCTGTATTCTGACTGTAAGACACAAACGTGCTTAGTTTCTCAGACACATATTTCTAAACGAACATCTTTCACTTTCCTCATGAGATTTCTGTGTTCCTCTTCATAGTACTTATTTCTTGTCTCCAATAGATCAATGTCACCAGCATACACTTCAGTACTTCATTCAGTTCCTACTCTAGCTCAGACAGCCATGGAAAAATGAAAGGGGTGGGTGGGAGGAGCCAAGTAAAGAAGTGCAGAAAATAACATTTAATTAACACATTAAAGACTGGTGATTTAAATATTTAAATCACCCTGGGGACCGGCATTATTAAACCTACTATCCTAAATTGTGCACTGTTCACTTTAAAAATTAATATAAAATCTCCTAATTAACTTTATGAACTAAAATCTTTGGAGAACACTTACCAATGCTCCTAGAAGTGCTTGAGAGTGTGATATTTCTGGAAACATTCCCCTTTGTGAAGTGGCATTACACAGAACTTGCAAATGTAGGCAGTCATACTCCTTTTTGTTTTAACTGCACAAACACGGCATTGCCTAGAAGGATGCTTCCCCTTGGAATGTTCACTCTTCACAATTTTCATGAGGGTATGTTTCCGCATATCACCTGAGAGTCTCCCAGGGGGGTCCACATGAGGCCTGCATGGGGTGGGAGTTGATGGGCCTGGTCGCACTAAGTCTGTGTCTGACTCTTGTTCTGCCGCCACCATCTGGTCTGTAGCCCAGGCCTTTGCCACATTCATCAGAAATGCTTTGTATTTCAATTTCAAATCAGGGTTTAGATTTTTGTAAACCAAAAATGAATTGAAAATGGCACAAATTATAAGCCACAAGGCAACTTTCTTTGTCCACTTTATTGTTTTCCTAAGAAGAGAATAATAGGCCAAGTATTGATCGGCTCTATCAACTCCTTTCATGAACATATTATACTCAGAAATACAAATAGGCTTCTTTACTTGTCCATGTCTCCTTTGAACATCAACCATGCTCGAATTGTGAATTGTGGAAATCATACTCACAACACGAGTATCCCTCCAGGACTTAAGAATATCCCCCTTCCTCCTGAATGTGGTTTCACTATGTTTAAAAAATTTAGTTTCCTCTTTCAGATCTGGAGGAAGGCCTCTGCTCACCCTAATTGTTCCACACACACGTACTTTTCTCGAAAGAAGGTATTCTGCAGTTACCACACTGTTATAATAATTATCTCGATAGACATGGTAATTTTGATCAAGATAGGGTTCCAAAACGGAAACAACAGTTTCTTGCAATTTTTTGCCTTCACCAGAATAAATTTCTGAATTTCCAATATAGCCTGAAGTGCTTTCACTACCTACACGAACAAGTAGGCATACTTTGTAAGTTTCCCAGGATTATATGTTCCATACGAAGCCTTCCCCTCCAAGGAATCACAGATTCGTTTAAAGACAGTTGTTGGTTTGGCTTATAAACTGTCTGAAATTTCTGAACGAAAAAGTTTAATAAGGGCTGAATTTTGAAAAGCCTGCATGTTGATTGTGGTTGCAATTCATTATTACTGAAATGCAACCAGCACCAAATTTGCTCAAATCTCTTATGGCTCATTAGTTTGGCAAAAATGGGAATTTCTAAAAATGGATCTGTTGACCAATACTCTTTTAGATTATCCCTCTTTGTATGTCCCACTAGAATGAGTTTTGCAAAATTTTTTTTCATTTCTGGAGTGACATCCACCCATTTCAACACCTTATAACTTTTCTCATACACTTCACGTTGTTGGAGATAGTATCTGTTAGTTTCCTGACATAACATGTCAAAGAAACTATCTCCAAAAAACAGTTCTGCTACTTCAGACATTTGTGTTGGGTCTGATGGAATTTGTTTCACCCCTGGATTTCCAGTAAACTGTCCCAAAGTAGGCATTTTGTCTACTTTTCCCATGTGGCTGTCCCCGCAATGCTACTACCTGCACTTTTGTCGGAGCTACTTTCACTTTTATTGACTGTGGCCACAATTCTTTGTTGTCCCCTGTTACTGTCACTGTCTGAGTCACTATCACTACTACTCTCAGAAGGCACGTCAGATAGCTCATCGGAGAACAAGTCAGATATTTCTTGTTCTCCGAGAGATCGCTTGGTCTTCAACCACTTCTGTCCTTGATTCATATTACACTACTAACTTCCTGCCTGGTACATAACAGCTTGAAGGGACAAAGATCACTTTCCTTTGGAGTGGGGAACCAAAACAGCGAGGTCAAGTTACTGACGACTAAGCAAACATTCTGAAGCTTTATTACTCAGTATCCAGCTGCGTGGCGCCAGAGCAAGGTATAGTGTGTTACAACCTAACGTGTCCTAAAATCATGATATCATGCGACCAGTCCGCCACATTTGAAAGCGAAAAGCATGATATCATGCGACCAGTCCCTTATGTGTTAAAGACTTCTCAATGTACATACCAAGCTTCTTCACAACAGCTGCCATTTTTTCAAGTTCATCGGGACATATATCTGGACAATGTGTAAATCCAAAATAAATCAGAAGCCATTGGCCTATGAAGTCTTCACTCTTACGAAGTTCATTATTATGGTCTACTAATTCAAAATGACCCCCAATGGCTGCCTTCCCAAGCTGCCGTTTTCGTTCCTTTTGAATTGCTGCAAGCACAAAATTATAATTTGTTTCACAAGTTCCATGGTTTAAAAGTCTTCTGGTCAGTACACAAAAACATTCTGGCCTTCTAACTAGTGGCACAGGAAAGAAGATACTGGCCATCACATGGGGGAGGGGAAAGGGCTGCATCAAAGGAAGTTACTGCATATAATATCTCAGTTAAATCACACAGTTTACCAAGCATTCAGAGCATTTTCAGTAACTTCTATCACCTCTGTGACACTTACATGAAGTTTGATTTTCACAAATTTCTAAATTATAGACAAATTTCATTTCAGGAATCAAAGTGTGTGGATTACTTTCATATGGTTATCCCAGTGATAAAAATCGTAAGACATTCTGCCAGGGAAACAAGATGCCCACTCTCCTAATGATTATGCTTTCACTGATCACATTATGCAGACTATGTGGGCTAGCCCGTTCTGCTAAAAATATAGGAAACTCAAGAAAGTGAATTTAATGAGAATTAGAGGGGCAGTGAAATGTACTACAGTTAAGGAGAACATCAATTTACAGCAGTGTTACTAACAAAATTCTTTCATGAAGCAATCCTCACCCAAAACCTGCTATAAAGTGAGTCTTTGTACCATGTGAATGCAAGTGTTTTTTATGGCAGGTAACAGGAAAGGAGACTGCATAATTTGTTTTGGGGTCTTCAATATAATATCTATTTTATTTCATTTATTCACATTCATGCACATGAGAAAATAAAACAACTCTAATCTTCTTCACACTAAAAACTTGCAGCCAGAATTGGTTACAAGCCAAATAAAGTTATAGTTAGTTTACAAGACACTACAATGGACAGAGAACTACTACTCTAACAACCATGGGAAAAATTTGACATGAGCAAACACTAGAATTTATTTTAAGATAAATTTCACTTGATACCATATTCAGAAGATGTTCCCATTTAGAATTTAAATATGAGAAGACATCCTACATAACAACTGCAGTTTAAATTTGTAGAAAGAAGCTATTTTTGTGCACACATTGTGACATTTAATTACAGTTACAAGGGTCTAGCTTTAAAATACATAACTTTTCACAAAGTTAGAATGGTCTTTTGTATACCTAGTAACCTTTAATAAAAGCCAAATTCAGTTACAGGTGACATATAGGGAGATGTTAAGTGGATTAGAATGGTTTATTTTAGGTACAAGAACATAAACTAGAACTTCAATTAAATAATAAGACATATGTGGTCACTATATTAAAAATCTGATTCAACAAAAGCAGGAATACAAAAACAGATATCATATTTGGCAATATTAGAACTCTTAAGTACAAACCAATTTCTTTCTCACGCTTCACATATAACATAAATGCCAACAACCCTCCTCCAATTACAGCTGTTACAGAAAGACTCCTCCAGGTTATGGGACTTTTCGATTCCTTGGGTTTTCTTGGTGGAAGTGTAGCATTGCAATATGTTCTTGTAAATTCAGGTGTGTCAATTTTTTTACGCGACAAAGAACCCGCAATCTAAGAACAGAAGAAATAGATACTAAAGTAACATATTTTCAAAATATTTGTGAAATAAAGCTTTAATGAAAACGACAAAATTTCACACCATAAGAACAAAAGTACATATATCTTTTAAAATGAATTCATAATTGAGAAAATCATGAAGATTATCATGTGGGCTGTAACGTCGTGTAGTCTGGTACCATAATAACAGGGGCAGTATGTTTCTCCGAAACGTCGGTGGATTTATACCGGACTATATACCATTACATTCCAGACGACAGCACTTTTCAGTCACCGCTGTGAGAACCTCAAATACTACAGGAACATCACAAATTCTGCAACTAATTACCAAATACTTACGACATCTCTGACATGTGAGATTAATCGTTGCCTTGTAATATAAAACGACATGATCTAATATGTAAAATTATAGACCACACTTCATTTGATAACCAAGGTTAGGGAACGTCAGGCTGTTCTATTAACTTTCCTCAAGACAAAAGTTCTTATTTAGTATACTGAATGTTACACAGCATTTGCAGACGTAATTCTATCTTGTAGTAATAATCACAAGGCATTTTAATCAAACCAGAGAAATAACTAATTTCTATCACACTTAAACATAACCCAAACGACCACAACCATAGATACCATTGCCGTCACGGATGACGTACATCTGCCTCAAACGACGCAAACGACCGTGCTGCCTTTCATTTGTGAAGTTTGTGACCGCTCCTAAACAGCACTACACCGTAGTAACCGATCATTTAGTAACCATAAGTGACCATGAGCACCAGTTTCGTGTCCATCGTACCTTTGTAAACAAATGGAAACGAAGTGGTAGTCATTGCATGAACCAACCTCTTATATTTGAACAGGAATATGGCGCGTCATTTGAATAATGAGCACCTTTCATAATATTATAGTTCTTTGATCAGTAATTTATAATGCACCAGCAGTCTGTGGAATCAAGTTCAGATCCATGTTATACAGACTGGAAGAACAAAATTGTGGGTAAGGGAGAAAGAAAATTTAAAGAAATTTTTTTATGATCACTTCAACAATAACAATAACACATAGTAAGGACAAGCAGCGGCACGCACACAAAGAGAGACTACACAGAATAACACCAGTACAGTACTAGAAACAAGAAATAGACGCTGCAGCACTATAGACATAGGGCAAGTAACCCTGACAATTTAAAATTTTAAAATTTAGAGGAAAATTGAAAAGATTTTAAAATTAGAACTGAAGATTTTATAAGTGCTAATTCAGAGAAATCAAAATTGACGTGTGTAAATAACAAAGACATCAACGAAGTAAATTTTAGTAATAAGGACGAAAGGAACAATCAGGAAGACCTGTGTCTTTAAAATTTAAATGTTAAACTAAGTGCAGTGTGACAGATACGAGAGTAATACACCTGATGATGGCCGTTTGTGGCCAAAACATGTAGTGTGTAGAGGAGAGCAAAACGAAAGACCTATAATATATGGTTTGCACTGAAGACGGAGTTTGTATCATGCATCGTATGGAGTGCAACAGGATGCTTAAATATAATATTGTAACCAATTTTATGTTGCTTCTTTTGTGTTATAAACGGATTCAATTAAGAAAAAGGGTATATTTATTGTTGCTGCAGTGCTGTTAACATAATATTTACAATGTACATTTCAGGATACTATCCACGTCTTTAATTGAACTTTCATGTTGGCATATAATAGATGTGAACATAATGTATGTAAGCTCATTATTTACTGTTCCAAGTGTATTTACAGCTTATGTACTCTGAAGTATGAAACATGAAAAGTTGTTTCATTCTTCTCACTGAGACTTTCTGGTACACATGACTCCTTATTGTGTGAATCAATAACTGACTGTTGCCATTACATCGTTCCTTCATTATTAAAAAAACAGCAATTTCTATTTTAAAAGATATTTCATTGCCATGCAAGGTAATGTTCTTCCTATGCTGCATATCAAGGCCAGTCATTAAACATTAAATCGTGTTTTGCTATGAGGGTGAAAAACAACATTCTGGGACGATTTTCTTTATCCTGTAAATAGTCTCCTCTTGCATGAACATTATGGTTCCTGCAGTTCTGCCACTTGTTGAAGCACTTCTGGTACCCTAGTATTTGGATGTTTTCAGATCTCAGATTGCTCTTTGGATGATTTCTGTCACTTTCTGAAATATATTTCTCTTTTGGGCACTTCTCATATTTGGGATTAGAAGTACACCTCTAGGTCCTAATTCCAGTAAATAAGGTGGGTCGGAAATCAGTGGAATGTTGTGCTAGGTCAGAAACTCCCTTATGAAGAGGGATGAGTAAGTCAAAGCAGTACTGTGTTGCAAGATCCACAAATTCGACTTCCATTTTACAGGTTGCCTGTCCCTGTGAATATTATTCCAAACACAAGGAGTTATTTCCAGTGTGTGGTGATGATGATGACAGATGACTGGGGCATGGTTCATCTTTGACAGAGATTCTACCCTTTCTGAAACAAGTGAATGATTCAGATTGAATGCAGCTCAGAAGTTATTCTGTAAATGGAAATTAAAGAATTTTTAGGTGTCTGTTTTCCAATTTATAGGAAGAATTGGATGCATACATATTATTTTAATAGTAATAAACCCTATCAGCATTTATACCTGTAGCAATTATTTACAACAACTGATACAAAGCAGCATCCAACTCCTGAAGGAGTAAAGCGAAGAAATTTTATCAGTACTTCGGTTTTACTCACATACAAGAAAATCAGTCCCAGAATTTGGTCAATTCCCACACATGCTGACACACTATATAGTCAAAATATCTTCAATCTATAATACTGATCAATTTGAAATCACAATTTATTACAACAAAAATACAATTATATGCTCATAAACAGTAATTTAGGATAACTTCTTATCTCTCCCTCTAAGACATTTTGACCAAGGTTTGAGGAAAGAAACTAGAAAATACATGTGCATAAATCTGCCAATTTTTGTAATATTTCAGAACTGTATCAAGATGACTGGTGGAAACAACTGAAGTTCCATAACAAACAATCTTATAAGGAAAGACATTTAAAGAATACAACTCCTTGGTATATTTTAACACCTCAAGTTGTTCAATTAATATTTTCAATATCAGAAATGCTTCATCAGCCTCCAGAAGTACGATATCTCACTGTTGAAGTCTTAGACAGGTAATGTAATTTCAATTTTACAGAAAATAAATGCATATTCACATATATACATATAGCAATATCACTGGATCCCATCTTGATTATATTATCAGTCTACTTCCTGAAGACCCATCATAATCTTCAATTTTCACCTCAGTCTGTCACCCTCTCAGAGGCTCTCTTATCCAAATTTTGTACAAACATCTTGCTCCCCCCTTTAACTAACATGCACAACATATACTGCAAGAATAAGTAATTTCATGGAATCTTTTTAAAGGTTTTACATGGTACAAAACAAATTGAATATGCAATATAGCACAGGATTCTTCTTCAGCCTTTCAAGAAATTCCTTGCCTCTTATGAAGCCTCATGACTTATTACTGTGTTCACAAAAGCCTATCACTGACCCCTACGCTCAACCAAATGAATCCAGTCTACATTCTTCCACCCTAGTTCTTCAAGATAGATTTATTTCAATATTATATTCAGATTTATGCCTTTTTTGTTGCACGGTCATCTATCCCATGCATGCTACATGCCCTCCACATTTCAACCTCCTTCATTTTATCATCCTGATAATAGAATTGGTGATGAGTATAAATTATGAATGTAATTTCATACAGCCTCCTGTTACTTCCTTTCATTCTGGATCCAAATATTTTCCTAAGCATCTTGTTCTCAAACACCCTCAATTTAGTTTTTTTTCTTAATGTGAAAGACCAAGTTACACACTCATACAGGGCAGATAAGATTATAGTTTTGTATATTTTAAACTTTACATTTTTAGAAAACCAACATGGAAAAATAAAGTATTCTGGACTGAATGGCAGCATGCATTCTCAAACTTAATCTGCCCTTGGGCCACGCCATAGCTCAAGCGGTTAGTTGCTGGCTTCCCACTGCGGTGGCCCGAGTTAGACCTCGGGTCTGGTCAAGTGGGATTTGTGGTGGACAAAGTGGCGCTGGGGCAGGTTTTCTCAGAATACTTCAGTTTCCCCTGCCAATCTTCATTCCGCCAAATTCTCCATCATCATAATAATCACCAAGGGCAGGTACAATAGGCCAATCAGTGGCCGACATGCTGAGTGGACCCAGTTGGACTCCACCTCCCACTAAGCAAATTTTTTTTTTTAATCTGGCCTTAATTTCCTTATTAATGTACTTCTATCTGTTACTTCCATTCCAAATATTTTAACTTTTCCACAGTTTATAAGATTTATTACTTGTCTTTATAATGATTTATGATTCTGTCCTGCATTTTGAGAATACCAATAAACTGGTGTTAGAGTTTGTCTCATTCATGGCTTATAATTCACATTTTCTTTCAATTTTATATTTAAAAGAATTGTCTACATTGGGCTAAAGAATCTGTTCAGTTTCAAGGCTTTTAGGTATGTAACAAATAACCTCCAATTATGACATATGTGTTCCTTCATTAAGAAAATCTGGACAGACCAGCTATATAAATTGTATTTATCCCAGGCAAGACTGAGTGTCCTGATATTTGGTCTTGTTTTCATTACTTGCTTTCATGGTGTTCTCTGTGCATGCCAAAAATATATATTAAAAATAATAACATCAATGTATATGAAGTGTTGCTGTAATCCTGAACAGATTCCTGACCAATCAGTATCTGCAGTTACACACTTACATATGGAATAAGCCTGGTGCAGACAGTGAACATTTACAACGTCAGTGGGATCGTATTATCAAAAGAGTGAAGCATCAGTTGATTCTTCGTGCCATGTCTTGTATGCAGCTTGCTTCTAAGCTTGTTAACTCTTCTAAGGTTAGTTGCATTATAAAGCCGATTTCATGCATTCATCCAATTTTAAAGCTCTTATTTCACCTCATAAATTTGAAGCATGGTCTTGAGAGAGACATTTAATTAGTATGGAATTGAAGAAAGTCCATTACAAGGAATTTCACAATTGTGGTATTCTCAGAGAATATTTGAGTAATTAAATAAGAGCCTGAAATGAGCGGGAACATGTTGTACATGGATGACAGTAAAAATGCACTTCAAGTTTGGTACGTAATTGTCAGTTAGTTAGATAGATTTCTCTGTACAGTTTCAAAATTGAGAGAAAGAGATACTACGTGTATGTACTGTTTCTTATACTGGTATTTATTGTTTAAGTGACAAAGTTGGTACAGTTTACCTAGTACAGGGTGGGGCACAGAAACTTCCTTTTTGTGAAGACGCATTGTGAAGGGAGGGGAGGTAGCAGAAAAGTGAGGATAGGCTCGGCAAACGCAGCAGTCGCGGAAGTTTCTGTCTAATACCCCTCAGTAGGAAACATGAGGTGGATGAGTGATCAGCGTGCATTTGCTGTTGAAGCCTATTTTTCGAACAACCATTCCTACGTGGCGGTGCAGTGTGTGTTCTGTACTCACTTCGGAATTAAGCCCAGAGGTTCAGTTCCCGACCTGAAATCGATTGTTTTGTGGGTAGAGAACTTTAGGACAACCGGGAGTGTGGTGAAAAAATCATCAGGACAACAACAGACCGTTACGACGGCAGAAAATGTGGAGGCAGTTCGACAGTCGATTTTGAGATCTCCAAGACGCTCCGCTCGCAAACATGCAGTCACCCTAGACATATCCAATTGTTCAATGTGCCAAATTCTTCATGAACATCTTAATTTCCATCCCTATAAGATGGCTGTTGTACAAGAATTGTCACCACGTGATTTCCAGAACTGAATAACAGCTTGCAAAACGTTATTGGAAACTTTACCCCCTGATGCACTTTTCACCTATCCAAGCAACAAGCAGAATATGCACTATTGGAGTGGTAACAATCCCAGAGAGCTCCATGAGAGGCCACTTCACAGTGATAACGTGACAGTATGGTGTGCATTGTCGAGAGTTGGAGTTATTGGCCCTTATTTTTTTGAAGAAGACAATCATGCAGTTATTGTCAATTCACAGCGGTATGTGGACATGATTAAAAACTTTTTCGAACCAGCTCTTGAAGAAATGTATCTAGGAAATGTCTGGTTCCAACAGGATGGTGCCACGGCCCACACAGCCCGAGCTTCGATGACAGTTTTGAGGGCAAAGTTCCCCAGATGGCTCATCTCGCTTCGAGGTGACATCCCATGGGCAGCGCACTCACCTGATCTGACACCCTGTGATTTTTTTATGGGGATACCTAAAGGCAGAGGTTTTTAAATGTTGCCCCACAAACCTTTTTCAGCTGAAGAATGTTATTCGGCAGGAAGTAGCCCAAATTCTGGTGTACATGTTAGAACGTGAAGAGGGGAACTTCAGAAAACGGTTGTATCAGTGCATAGAGAACAGTGGGCACCACCTTCAAGATATTTTGTTTAAAACTACATGATTTAAAACTTTAAAGTATGTTCTTTCATTAGCTAAACATAAATTTTGTCTATCAGCAATAATTTTTCTTTCATTCACCTTCAAAAAAGGAAGTTTCTGTGCCCCATCCTGTATAATACATTTTCAAAAATTCCCCTGTCAACACAAATGCACTTTGCAACTTGTGTCAAGAAATGGCATGTTGCTCATCTGTACAGTGTACAGTGTATTGTGCAGTGGAATTGCTCTTTCTCGGAAACTGTTCTGAATAGGACACATTTTTGCTTAGAATGACTGATATTATGATCTCCCAGAATAGAGCAATACCTTGCATAGTCCGGGTAATCGGTTCTGCCAATGTCCCAGACTGTTTGAAACCAGACTAATCGAGGAACTAAATACATATAAAAAATAACTGGTTCCAAAAAAATCTGTTTTTCAATAAATAAAACATGATTAATAAATTCAAATGTCTTTATTAGAAATAATTTTAAAAAATTCATGTTCTGTTCTCTATAAACTGCAATATTGATGTCTGCACATTTTTCTTCTTTGGCCTTTTCTCTTCATAAATTTCTTTGTAGCAACGAATCGTATTGTTTATCGTTCGGTGAATTGTAAGGCTATGTTCAATATTGGGATAAACTTCCATAATATGCTCTGACATGGTTTCAACCATTCCAATAATTTTTTATAGTTGTTCAGCTGTTAATTCCCATGGAGGCACTTCAACACAGTCGTCATTGTCTAAGTTGTCCTCCCATTCTTCATAAGCCCATTGTTCAGCTATGTTAATAAGTGTTTCATTATCTAGTTCATTAGTGTTTGATTTGATGCACTCATTGTAATTGTAATGAATTGTAAGGCTATGTTCAATATTGGGATAAACTTCCATAATATGCTCTGACATGGTTTCAACCATTCCAATAATTTTTTATAGTTGTTCAGCTGTTAATTCCCATGGAGGCACTTCAACACAGTCGTCATTGTCTAAGTTGTCCTCCCATTCTTCATAAGCCCATTGTTCAGCTATGTTAATAAGTGTTTCATTATCTAGTTCATTAGTGTTTGATTTGATGCACTCATTGTAATTGTAATGAATTGTAAGGCTATGTTCAATATTGGGATAAACTTCCATAATATGCTCTGACATGGTTTCAACCATTCCAATAATTTTTTATAGTTGTTCAGCTGTTAATTCCCATGGAGGCACTTCAACACAGTCGTCATTGTCTAAGTTGTCCTCCCATTCTTCATAAGCCCATTGTTCAGCTATGTTAATAAGTGTTTCATTATCTAGTTCATTAGTGTTTGATTTGATGCACTCAATTACGTTGACGGAATCGAATTCATTGAAACCAAGTTGCTGTCCAATTTCCACTATGTTATTAGTGACTTCAGCAAAATGAGTTTCAAAACCAATGAAATCATTTGCACAATGTGGTATGATTTGTTTCCATACCACCCTCATATTGCTTGCCATTAATTCATGCCATGCTTTGCCTATATTTTTGATAATGTTTCTGATGTTGTAGGTCTTCCAAAATTCCATTAAAGTAGTGCTCTACCCACTTCCTCCAGCAATAGCTGTCAGAGCTCAAGAATGAATGACCCGAGCATAGGTACATACACATACAATGGGAAACCCCAGAAAAAATTGAAATATGTATCCTATCACACAACTTTAAAATCACATAAAAATAAACTGCACAAAAAGAGACTTGACTGTATAAAGGGAAAAAACCGATCGTTTATGTATTAAAAATAATTTTGTGTACATATTTTTTAGAATTTATTTTTATTTTGCTCAATTAAAATTTAGTTTGTTTTGAAATTTTCAAAGTGGACTGATCGTAGCTGGACTATGCGAGGTATTGCTGTACTAACCTTTCCTCCTGTGACACTCTGTATAATCACTGGGGTGGAGGGAGATGGGTGGATCAAGTAATTTATTTCAAAGTTGAGGTATTAAAAACCACTTCTTTGGCAATTCCAGAAAACTTTCTGTTTTATTTCAAAGTAACTTTGTGTTCATATAATTATTTTACTTGAACAGACTGTGACTCCTGTGGAGATTATGAACTTCCTCAAACAAGCTGGTCATGATTTCACCAAACAAAGCATCATTTCATCAGAGAGAAGAGTATTTAAAGCAATTCAATTCAAGGTAAAATTAAAGATTTATTTATATAAAAGTATATTAGGTTATACGAAGAAAGATGATGTGATCAAGATTCAATGAGGACCACTCTGACGTTTCAGAAATAAATACAAGTTTTTCAAATTAAGGAAGACATGCCTGTGACCCGTCTTTACACAAAATACTGGCAGATTTTATTCATTTCTATGTCTGTGACATCATAAAGTAAGGTATACCTGTAACAGGCCATGGAGGCCCATATGGTTGTGAGATGTTGAGGTTCCCACATTTTCTAGACAATCGGCTCATAGATGGCGGCAAGGTTCTCAGCCTTATGTGCCGGCTGCCCTTTACCCCAGAGAACATTCCAAGAATATTCCTGGTACTCATTTCTGTCAGAGGCTGAGTCAAGCCTAGGGCCATAGTGCAGCTGGAAGGATTAGGTCAATTGAAAATAATCCAATGACCTCATCAGGACTTGAACCTGTGACCTTCTGGCTTGTAGCATAGCACCTCAACCAACTACGCTACCGCGTGCCCCTTGTATATGACATCATACTCTTCAGATATAAATACACCCAAGAACTACTTCTCTACATAGCCAAGACATGAAATCAGAGCTTTCAAATTTTGTTTATCATATAAAGAATGTTTACAATCAGGAATGTTAATTTTAAGGTAAAAACTAGAGAAATGTCTTAAATCTACAAAGCCTAATACTTCAAAGCTTTAAGCAACATTTTGTTAATGAAAGCATTCAACAGTAGTATAGGCCAGTTCAGACATGTATGTAATCTAAGCGGTCTAAGGCATGTACTGTCTTCGCTCGCTTGGAATCCCACTCAGGGCAAGGATGTTTAGTTTGTGTGTGCATTCTGCTGTGTTTGTGTACAGGTAGAGTCCTTGCGACAAGCTGATCACCCGCCCAAGGAGTCCTACCGAATGTGTAAGATCTAGAAAAACCGAAGTGAACGGAGAAGTTCATGGAGGTAGGCCTAGGCCCACTGGGGCTGTAGTGCCAAGGAAAAAAAATGTAATCTTCAACTCATGAATGTGTTTCAAATCAAAAAATTTCTGTCTACATCAGTTTGCGTAATTATTGTAACATATGAGATTTCTGTTTATGACATATTAATTATTACAGGTTTGACCAACATTACAAGGGCCCTTCCTCTCCACTTACCATAACTTTTCCTCGCCCCCACTCTGTCAGTCAATTTTTCATTTAACTACAAAACTATGCTAAAGCACAAATACAAAAGACAATGTTATTTTAAGATTGTGGTCTTCTGGGTTATGACAGCTTTTAGGCAGATACTGACATTTAGGAGGAACATGCTGCGTCCATCTTTAATCCTGAATTTGGGGGCTGCATGTTCTTCTGAAACATCAGCATCTGCCTACAAGACTACACAGTGTCACAGTCCAGAAGACCACAGTTTGGGCAATTCTCACCATGAAAACCGCAACACCTATAACAATGTTATCCTGAGAGAAATGTGATACTGATTGTTTTACAGGTACCACTTTCTCACCCACTGACATATGTTGAGTGTCTAATACAACGGCTGTCAGATCCACAAGTCAATGTTGATTTAGACTCATTGTATTCCATTAGTATTAAAGTTTTGGATGTTACTTACATTCGACATCAAGAGATATACTTGAAACTCTTTCATATAATTACTGGCAGGTGGGAACCAACACCAAGAGAAAGGTAAGTGAATATAAAGTGATATTTTAATTATTACAGGCTTGATTACTATGCACAAACATTGCAAGGGCCCTTCCCCTCCACTTACCCTAATTTCGCAAACCCTCACTGTTAGTCAGTCATCATGCAAAAATTATACATTTAACTATAAAATTATGCAAAAGTACATATACAATGTTGCTAAGGGATTCACTGTGTCTTACTGCTATGCGAATCAGAGTGACCAGGTTTCCCAGGTTTATCTCATATACTTCCATGGATCTCTTGCTAGTAGTATGCAATGATATTGAACCCTTTGTCAACAGGCAAAAAAAAATTCCAAACCTGTTATTAAAATTTGGGGAATAAGGGAAGTTAAAATAAAGATTAAACCCTTTATTGTAACTTCGGTTTTTTGTTTTCCTTGCCTTTAAACTGTAAAGTATCACCTCCACTGAAAACCCTGTTAACATATTTGCACACCGTCTGTCTTTCTAGAAAGAAAGCACAATATATCATTCCATCTTACTACAAGCAGTTCCTTTATCTCACTGTTCATTAATACTTCATGCAAGAATACATGTTTTGGACACATGATATGAGCTGACAAATCACTAATATGGCTCTTGGTTTGTCTAGCAATGTTTGACAACTGCACTGGATATATGTCAAATGACAGTTTGGGAGGGCTGTGGAACAAAATTTTGACATAATTTAAAGTACTATTCCATCTGCAAGGACTGAAAAAATTTTCAAGATTATTGCTACCCTGGCCAAATATAAAGTGGGGGTGCTAATAATTACACTGCAATGCTTATCATGTCACTATTATGACCTACTTTTTTGTAGCAATTTGTTAACTCAAGGCAGGCAAATATTTCACCAAGAGTTTATCAATGTTTTTGTTTTACGTATAAACATAGGTATTTCTACCAGACCTATCTCACAGAATGCATTTTCTACCCATTCAGCAGACACTGTATTCTCCAATTGGATTCAGATGCAGAGGTAGAGGCCATATTTGAAGAATATCAATTTCCAACCATAGTTTGAATTCATTCTATCATTAGAAATATGAATGTCTTCACTATGTCCTAATATGGAGTCAATAAGCAAAAAATTTGGAGCATCTATGAAGGGATTCATTCTGCCTTATGGACCATAACTTTCCTATGTAGTAAAAAATTAAATCTTTCCATATTTTAGAGGTCTTCCTAACTGTATTCTTCCTCTGGATTGATATTTTCAAAATTAACCGGGTTCTTAGCAGAGCTCTAACATATTCTTCCCACCTTTCTCTGTCAAGCTGTATAAAATGTTATTGATAAAAACAATTGAAATGTTCTCTCTTCCCCATGAAATGTATTTCTGCTTTTTGACCATACATTAATCTTCTTTCTTCAGTCCGCCTTACTGAGCTTGCTTTACCCCTATTTGATAATGCTGGTTTTACACTTTCATTCATAAGACAAGCTGTAGCCTATAATATATTTGTCAAAATACCCTTCTATTCTGATTTCCTGAACATACTTCATGTAGGACAAACATAAAGTGAACTGATTACCTTATAAATGCATGTTACAGGCACGAGTTCCTGTCTGTGGAGTGTGATAATGTGTACCTGGCATGTGCAGTCATAGCATGTGCTGCTGATCTATCAGAAGCCAACAGCAAAACTGTTGTTACCAAACTACATCAAGAAGCAGGCATCCCTCTGAAGGACCTAGAAAGTTTAACATCCATTATTACTGAACTTATCCTTACTGAACAGTAAAATATCCACAGTTATCAGAAAAAAAGAAAAAGAAAATCGTATTAAAAGAACACTGTTCAATGTCAACAGGGTTCTTTATAAATTCAACAGAGTCAGTGGCAGAGTCAAAATCTCTACAACTGATGTATTGGGCTACCATCATATGTATCAAGTACACAGTTCCCTACTCTGTCAACTCAATTCTATTTTCCCAGAATTTGTCCCTAGAGATTTCTTTCTTTTTACAAACATGAAAGCAATAAAAGAAGTACAGCTCCATGGGGAAGGTACACGCTGTGATGACAGCATTCAAGACATGAGAGTTGGTTTTCATAACAGTGATGAATTAGACTGTGGTCTCTTAAATTATGACACCATGTAGTTTGGCAAGTGATTATCAGAGTTCATCAAAATCTTTGTAACCACTTACCACTTACTGCATATGTTGTCATAACCCAGAAGACCCCAAACCCACTCATGACATGCCTACAGGACTGCTTTCAGCAATTATACTTAATGGGGTTTATTCTCCACCAGTATGGATATACTTGATGAAAGCATTCTGCAAAACAAGTCCAAACAGAAACAGACTAAATGATGTATTTCAAATAACTCCTTGTTTCCTCCAAAACACTATCATCACATTTTTTTAAAATCAGAACTCCAATAGTGCTTATATTAAAATATTTTAAGGTGAAATGGCGATATGCCCATGGCCAACCCTCAGGCTGGCAAACACTCCTTGTTTGCATCTCTGACTGCATATTTAATATTTGTATATTTGCAGCTACCCTCCATCTTTTGAGGGTAATTAAAAGTACTGCAAAATGTAGTAGATAATAGCTTGGCAGAGGAGAAGGGGAAATGAGAAAGGAACACAATTTTGGCAGGGTACATTTTGGAAGACTGAGAAGATGAGAGCATAATATTAAAAATCAATGAAAGGTAAACAGATTGGACTGAACTAGCAAAGGAGAGGGTGCAATGGTAGGATCTGATATTAGCAATGTTGCCTTTTTGATTCAATGAAAGGGAATTATGGGAATGTTGACAATCCTGGCTTATATGAAAGAGAAGGAACTTTTCTAAAATTTTATTCAATTTGTGTGGCTTTGAACACAGTTGGACATTAAAGTTGACACAAGAGACTAACAAGTATTTAATCTAAATGAGGTAGTTCAGTCCTTTCTGTACTGACGGGTGCTAATAACAAAGTTCTGGGCATGAAATTCAGGGCTAAATTGTCTACACTGTGGATACAAAGACCACAAACCTCCACACACCTCTTTTTCTCGCCTATAGACAAAACTGAAACTGGAATAAATATGGTAAAGTTAAAGACAGAAAATCTTTGTAAGCAGACACCACTGCAGCAAGACAGAAGTCACAATGCAGAACATACCTACAATGCTTTCTTTATAAAACAAAATGAGGATGCTATGCAGATCTATGCTGCATTAATTGATTCTCTTTTGTATGATCACATCACAGCAAAATATATCAATCATTTGTGAAATAATTTTAACTGCAGTCAAATGTGGCCAAGATGCTCATTCTTGTTCTTTCCAATAGTTTCCAGAAATCAACTGCAGTTTTGAAATGAGGATATGTAAGAGCAGCAACAGTCATGGATCCATTAGCATTCATGTGATCAGTTAAATCTGAAAACAAAATAGGACCTGGATCAAGACTGTCAGTTTCTGGGCTGGAGATAAAGCTCCAAAAATGAGTTTAAATAGCCTCTTGTGTAGTCGCTGGTTTCAGAGTTTTTCAACTGCCAAGAAGACACATTTCAATGATTCAGTGAAATCCAGTAAACAACGATATACCCTGGCGATGAAACTCCACATTTGTTACAAATTGAGAAAAATATATTCAGTTGAAACTGAGAATCATTTAAGTAAAAGCTGGACTTTGACCTCTGTCATGTGAAATGGAAGTACAAATGCTGTGGCAGCATAGTGTAAGGATTTAAATTAACTGAACTGCTAATAGTAAACAGCAAAGGGTTATAAGTACGAACCTCATGCGTGTACATATTCCATTTCAAACAGAGTAACTGGTCAAAAAAAATCCTCTGATGTTACAGAACCTGTAAATTTATCACATCCACAATAACCTACCATGAGAGTATTCAGTGAAGTTTACATCCTTAAATTCTATTTCTTGCATTTTCATTTTCATATTATCCTCCTGTTTATATCTGGGTTTCCCAAAATAGTCTCTTTCCTTCAGGTTCTTCAATCAAAATGTTGTATGCATTTTTTGGTTTTCCTTGTACGTTACATTTTCACTCTCAACAACCTTCTAGATATAATCACTGTAACAATAATCAGCTTTATCAGCTGTGCATCAAACTACCATGATGGTGCATGTGTGGGTCTCTCAGGCCCCAGCACATCTAGTATTGCACTTTACATTATCAGTACCATTAGCCACAAGTTTAAATCTGATAACCATCAAAAGTCTCCTATTGTCAGACAATAAAGTTAAACAAGGAGTTCAGATTAAGATTGTCATGATATAATTTTCTCAATTTCCACACAATTCCTTTCTTTGGTATGTACATTCTCAATGCAATGTTCTTACCCTAGTACCTTCCCTCAGCCTGTGAAAGAGGGAAACAAAGTTTCACTCCCATACAAAAAACAGGCAAAGTTACATTTTTATACATTTTAAATACTCACTTTTATCATATTTTCAATTTACATTATACTGCAGAACTTTACTGTTATGTCTTTGCCTACATTCTGTTCAGGTGTCCAGATGCAGATCCTTACAATGATAATCAAACTACAGCACAAACTCAAGTTACAAGCACAATGAAACTTTCATTTATTTATTATGCTCATGAATTTTACATGAAGGCCTTTCCCGATTTGCTTCAGGTGTGAACACCAATGAATTTAATAATCATTTGCCAAGCAATATACAGCAATATTAAATGTCTTGTCATGCTTAATGTACTGAAATGTAGTATACAAAGAGTATTTAAATTAACTGATCTGATACCATCAGATATAGTGAATGTAAACCTACCATGTGAGAACAAGACAGGGAACACAAAACACATACACAATTTTGGTTGATAATCTTAATGGATGGAACCAATTTGGAGACTGAACAATATGTATGGAGATATTTATTATAGGGTTCTTAGGGCAGTAAATTGTGAAGATGTGAATTGGATTGACGTGGTTCAAGGACTACACTGCAAATTTCTGTGATGGTCATGAAAAACTGCATTCTATAACATGAATTATCTTAATTATTGACTGCTCACTCAGACTTTGTACCAGGAAGTTTTAATAAGGTTATATTTACAATTAATTCTAAAAAAATAAGCTCTAATAATAATGGAAAGAGACTAAATGGAACATTAAGGTGGATACTAAAATGGATCTTAGGAAAACAGGTTGTGAGAGCGTGAAGCGGACTGGCTTTGCTTCTTCATATGTTTATTACAATCTTGAAGCAAAATAATATATGAGTGTTTTCATCCCTTTGGAGTGGGAGGACAACCAGAAGGCAAAGTCCAAGAATAACATAAATGACTCTCATTAACAATCACCTGATCTGTCTCCAAGAGTTTAATATCTATCACTGTAACTGTGTCTATGAAAGAGATTATCAAATTAGTACTAGAATCAGTCAGCGGTTTAAGCACCAATTAAATATTCAACTTCATAGACCTAATTATCCATAATGGACTACAAGAACTACATACCAGAGAACTATCAAAACTATATTACAATACAAAATACCATCGATGTTTAAATAACTTTATGTAAGTTTAAAGTACACAAAATAAAATGTGAGATCTCTCATGACCTTACAACTCATACTTTTCCAATGACCAACATTAAATGAATCACCTCAGTATTCAGTTCAGATTATTTGCAAAGCAAAAGGGCCTTTAAAGCAAGGCATCATGTTGTTGGCTCATACAGCCATAATTTGAATCCTGTCTAGAGCTGGAATGTTTGTATTTGTTTCCTTGCCATCAGTTATTCTGTTACCTCTATAGCTCATCCACAGTTTTTGGGTTCCACTTGAGTGAGCCCTTCCTGATACATTTAAAACAAGGCGGTGGTGAGCTCTGGACAATAATGGGGGGTGGAGGATTAATGAATTGGTGTGCCCCTATTTCAAAGAAGTGCCTTTTTTCTTTGTATGATGGATGAATGATTGGCTGAATATTATTACAATTTGAATTTATTTCACAAGACTCAAATCTGTATCCATACCTGAAACAATAGTTAAGCATATTACAGTTTTCTATGCAACAGATACTGCAGTATGAAGCTTATCACACACCTCCATTAATGCCAAGAGTAATAATGTGTGGAGCTTTACCTCAACTCCCCCTTCATGACACTGTGATTAGGCACAAGGTCAATTTTGCCACCTTATACTCAGAATACATTTCCTTAAAATAAAAGATTTACCAGCATACACTTCAACATATATAATACAACTTCAGCATTTTAGAATGTAGAATATTTTTGGATGTCTTGTAGCAAAATTGGCCTCCTGTAAACTGTTCAACAGAAACAAGTTTGTTTTTTGCACTTTCCACTTATGAGACACAGAGAATAGATAACATGAAACCTGAATCACACACAAAGCATACTTATGAATACAAATATTTTTGTTCCTTTTACATTTTTATTTCTAGCTCACATTTTAGAAGTTAAGGTTCTCATGCTCATTAGGAGATATGTGCCCATTACAGGTTCAACAAACTTCATTTTGGGGGGAGGAAAGAGCAGGCAGTTTAAAACAAGCATTTTTTTGTTTCTATTTCTCTTTAATTCATGAGATAAATGATCCTGTTTCATTCTTACCATTCTTTTGTTTCACATTTAGAAAATATGCATCTCTCAAATGACTATAAAAATCTGGTTACTTTTATGGAACAAGCTGATAAAAATACACTATTTATTTCTTTCCTTTGAAATCTCCGATTTATTTTTCTGAAGACATTGTATGGTGAAAGAGAAAGAAATGCTTTGGGACTCAATCCCACTTTTCAATGGCTATCATTTTTTCTGGATATTAGCCAGCAATCTTTTATATGAGTCCTCCAACAGGATATGCTTTAAAACTGCTTAAACGATGGACAGAGATACTCTCAGAAATTATTAAGGAAACTGTAATACTGCATAACACTTTTACAAGTAGGAGAAGGTAACTGTCGTGCTGTGAATCTGAGAGCATCATCATATGAAAGTCATTGGGCTGGATCTTCTTATAATGTTACAATAACATTTTTTTTTATTTTGCAACTAATCAATAATTATTCTTTGAAAGAATCTAAATGGTATAAGCAGTCATAACAGCTGATCTTTAGAACTGGGTCCACTTTGTTTATAGTTGTAACTGTTAATAATTTTCATTACTTTTACAATAAAAACAATTGGTTTTTGAGATTTTTTTAAGTCACAATAATTGTACTGTTGAAACATTATCAAAACCAACAAAATAGGCTTATGTTTGGCAGGATCCAACATTTGCATTAATCCCTGTGACTGAATAAAATCTGAATTCAGTAACAGGTTAGTGGCCAGATAATTTAGAATAGTTTGAAGCATTCATGTCTTACAACATTTTATTCAATTCTCAGAATTAAGATTACAGTTTCCTGGGATGTGGCACTGTACAGTCTGGTGCATAAGTACCAATGTATGAGATGAACCTCATAATACTAACTGCCATGAGAACCTCAAATCCCAAAATGATCAGAGTTAGGGATCTAATTAGCTGATGGCAACCGCAATTCAGAAGATTATCAATAATAAAGAACATGATTCATTTTTATAACTACATCTGTTTATTGAGAAGAACTACTACCTTGTTTATACTACACAGCAGCTATATATCCATCTATCATGGAAATGAAATGGACTGAATTTGTGTTCCTGAAATTACGGGACATTCAATCAATTGAATCTGAGGATGCCACAACTATGTAAACAGGAAGTATCATCTCTTTCTGTATAATACTCTAATCATTACAGTGTGACTTCAGGCCATGCATAACTACTATGTAGTTAACAAACTTCTGCTTGATTTCTACAGCATTGGTTTGTAAAAGAACATGAATGCTTTATTTGCATGACAAAGCACCAATAAGTGATGCAACAGTCAACAAAGACAGTAAGAAATGTGTACTGTTCAAATTTTTCCAGCAGCTGCAAGAAAAGTTGAAGAAAAGAAGAAACCTTGGTATCCTTTTATTCTTTCATACTGGGGAAAACAAATCTTGATATTTTAACAGGTAAGTTTCATGAGCATTCCTATTGCCAAAATAATAATTGAATGCTGTTAACTATGTGGTTGCCTGTTCAAAGCCTGAACGATTTAAAAATTTCCTTGGCAATGTTTGTATCTAACTTGGGTGTCATGAGTAAAAATATCTTAAAAATAAGGACATTTTTCAGGAAGATTCAAACATAAAAAATAATTTTCTTAAAATCAGTTCTAAGAGTCTGTACTATATTTGACTCAATTATAGGAAACCACTTCTCAAATCACAATTCATACACTCCATGTCCCAATAAGTATGGTTACTGCATGGCATCAAACAGTTCTTTTTCTGGACACCTGTAACTGACATGAAAGAGTTTGTGCCATGCACTGTGGATCATTAATTAAATAACTTTATCAGACATTACCAATTTGTGAAAGTTCCCTTGCAGCTACTGGACTTTTCTTCTGTTGGTTTTATGAAACTGCACAAAAAGAAGCAAAATGAATTCAGTATAGCACAGTGCTGATGATTGCTGAAACATTCTTACAATGAATCTGGCTGAAAACTAATAGTACCTGGCAAGTCAGCAACACAAATGCACATAGAGAGCATCCTATATTAGGCGAATCAGTCATTCATTAAACTTACAAACACACTTCATAAAATTCGCTCATATATTTACCTGAATATTTGAGAGAGTTTTCAATTTTTGCTTTAAGCATAATATCTATACTTCTTGCTGGAGATGAAAATTTTGAACAGTAAACACTATGTGTGAAAGATATTATTTACATATGCTTGAGACAACAAAGTAAATACCAATATGAAAACATTATAAGCATAAATTATTAACTTTTTTAAACTGTTATCTTGTTTTATTTTTTTAATTAAAATATTTCACTATAACAAAGATTTGCTGTGTCTGCAATAAAATGAATTTCTTTTATTAATACGGGCATCACAAACTCAGTCTGATGAACACATTTTTCTCAAACAATACATGCTGTGCTGTGTCACACTCGTGCCTTAAAATTCCTGTTGGATTACTGTGAGGCCTGTGGTAGAGAAATACAAAGGGAAAACATAATACCAACAATTAACACAACACAAGTTCAGCTCTGTTTTAGGCAGGAGGAGGCAGTGAAAAATCTGGGAAATATTTTTACTCCCATGTCGTATGAAGGCAGTCTCTGGAATTTGTTTTTTGACAAATCTATTTTTTATACTGGTCATTCCACAAAAAACTGCAAAAACAAAAATCGTCCTTCATTCATGTGATTTTATTTAAACTTAGACCCACTGAGATATACAAAAAAGCATACAGGAGGCATTAGATCCTTGGGCCTTGTATTTTTAAAGTAACTGGGGCCTCAAAGTGGCAAAAAGACACACTTTTGATAGCAAACACTACTATTGATTATGAAGGAGCATACGGTAGCTATGCTACAAGCTGGAAGGTTGTGGGTCCAAGTCCTGATGAGGTCACTGGATTTTTTTCAATTGACCTAATCCTTCCAGCTGCACTATGGCCCTGGGGTTGACTCAGCCTCTAACAGAAATGAGTACCAGGAATTAATTAAATAATTTTCCTGGGGAGTAAAATGCGGCCGGCGTGTAAGGCTGACAACCTTACCCTTCTATGAGCTGACTGTCTAGATAATCTGGGGCCCTCAACGTCTCACAACCCTATGGGCCTTCACGGCCTGTTACAGGAATAGCTTTTTTTTTTTTTTTGAACTATTGCATGTAACAGATTTGATTTTGACATGGTTGAAGTGAGGCCAAAGAAGGATGTTCCATAAATGGCAGGTATGACGGTATTCAAGGCTTCACCCTTTCTGCTGTTACATTTCTCTCTGGTTTCTACTGCCCTAATAAATCAGCCCAAATGGTTGTCAGTAATGAAGGTTATCATCTGGTTATCACTATCAATATTCCTGCAAACAAAATGGTTAGATAACTGGAGAGGGAACGCGGGAAAGCATAACAACACAACAGAGACATGGGGACTGTTGATTTATGGACCTTCTTTCAGTGACCTCAATGTCGCTAATTCCATGGAATAAAATCCTAATAGTTTGTTTATAGCCAAGGCATTCTCCAGATTTGATGGAACCTAAGATTCATAACCACAGCCAGCTATTGGTGCCTATCCAGAGCTTTAATATGTATAAAGCTAAAGGTAAACTTGTCCCTGTGGTTAACTAAGTTCCCTCTAATGAAAATATATGGAGGAGTGGAGATACAGTTATACTCTTCTTAAACTTGGCATTAGATGCTGGTGAGTGGCCAGCTTCATGCTTCACCTGCTTTACACTAGGGATAGAGCTGTAAGTATCAGTTGGACAGGAGGCTGGGTGGGCCTCACAGGCAGTCTTCACACTGTAGAGAAGGGAAAACTCTCTTGCTCCTGATAGGAACCAAACCCTGACAATCTAATCTGTAGTCTGTTGCTATACCTATTGAGCTACAATTGCTAAAGACAGAGTGATTGAAAAGTCACACAACTCATTAGAAACACTATAATAAATGGCTTGAAACTGTTCCAAAAATTTTGAAATACAAATATATGACACACTATTTACTGTGCATCAACTCCAGCCAGACAGAAGCAACTGTCCAGTGGGTGCCGAAGATAAGGGGTTGATTCAAGCTGACAGGAGAATAATGACAAGACACTGTAGCAACTGCACTAGGGTGTTCCCATGGTTTAGCATACAGCATAATGCATGATCATTTGAAGTTTGGGAATGTGTCCATGGTGGGTGCCCAGAGAAGTGAAGGAATGAGAAAAAAATGAACAGAATGGGTCTGTCCTTGCCACATCTCCTATGGCATGCAGATGAAGGAGAACATATGCTTACCAGGATTGTTACTGGGGAAGAATCAGGGATGCATCACTACCAACCCAAATCAAAACATGCTTCAATGCAATGAAAAAATTGCAGTTCACCTTCAACAAAAAAGCTCGAAGTTTACGGCCACCATCAGCTGGAAAGGTTATGCTTACCATGTTTTGGGATTCTCAGGAAGTAATGTTAGCCCATTTTCAGAAGCGTAGTGAAAATGCGAATTCTGCATTGTACTGTGAGGTTCTGTTGAAGCTTCGAGATGCAATTTGCAGAAAATCTCCAGGCCAACTGGCAAGAGTGGCACTGATTCAATATGACAATGCCATACCCCATACAGCCCGAGCAACCCAGGAGAGAATTCTAGAACTATAATGGGAACTTCTTGATCATCTGCCTCACAGCCCAGACTTGGGACCTAGTGACTTCCACGTTTTGGTCCGCTAAAAATCTACATTGGTGGCAAACATTTTGCTGACAATGAAGAGGCTGAAATGGAGATGTGGAAGTGCCTGAGACAACAGTAAAAAAGACTTCTATGCTGTGGGTTTTGACAACTGGTAAAGCGATTGGCTAAGTGTATCAATGTTGGTTGAGAATATGTCATGAAATACATGTTTTTTCAAGGTTTGAATATCACGTTTTACATTTTATATCCATTTGTGACCTATTTACTGACTCTCCCTCATACATATAAAATTTTATGAGCATCAATCATCCTGTATAAAAGGCACAATCATATTTCATAAAACTAGTCAAAAAATAATAATTTAAAGCAAGAGATTAAGTCAAAGATTTAAAAGGTGACAATCAACTGACACTCCACTTGACAATCTGCTTACTAGAGCAGAGCACAATTTACTACAGTAAAACCCCACACAATGAAATCCAGGAAACTCAACATACTGTAGCATGTAGAACCTTTACTAGTCAATGACTGCGAGATAAGCAAATATATCAGAGTCATTACTGGGTAACACACGTCGCAAACAACATGTTCCCATGGAAACCATTTGAGCAACATCTCCACAGCAATGAATCAACACAAAACAATAGAGCTACTGTTGCAAGCGGTGTTTTCTAAGGTGGTTTGTCCTGACAAACTGAAGACTGAGTTCAGTCAGAAGGGAGCCATCATTCAGAGAGGACTTGAGCATGGAAGTTGAGGAATAGCCATTGCTGGAGCCACTACCAGGCAACTACTAGTGAAGACACTGCAGGCTGGAAAAGATTTGTGTGTGCTCTAGTAATTTGTAGAGTGTGGAAATTAGTAAGTTTTATAGTTATTTGTAGTTATGACCTGTAAGTGGTCAATAAATCCAATATCCAATGCAAAATCCCATTGAGAGTCACTGTAACATGTGACAATATTCTTCATATACCACAAGCCACAATTCTCTTCCTATGAGAGTAAAACACCCCATGCAGTTCTTATTAATTTATGGACTACTTACTGATGTCAGAAGCTTAGACTATGTAGCATTGGCTGAAACAACAGTTAATTGATAATGATGTGAATAGAACTGGTTGTGAAATGATTTCATGTACTAGCCTGATTTTCTCTAATGAGACTGAGGAAAACCACAAAAACCTCAGTCAGGATAGTATATGGGCTGAGATTTGAATCCAGGACCTCCAAAACATGAAGCATGAGTGCCTTACTTAACCATAATGCCCCATGCAACTTCATCTGCCAATCATAAGAGGAACACAGTATAACATGTTCTTAATTTAGTGTCACCATTATGAAGTGGGAAACAGAATAAAAGATTTCAGACTCCAGAACTTTTACAGACTAGAATATTAATGCAAAAGCATCTTAACATACAAGGAATGAGTAGAAACAGCACATGCTGCCCAGCTTTTTTTTTTCCAGAGCTTTCACCCATACAATGAATTAACTGTTCTATAAAAAGGAGGAAATTAAATTTGTGCAACGGACAGAAAATAAAATTCTGCAGTGTTATGGACAAAGACAATAAAACAACACATGCAACCAAAAGAACTAATGCACTGCACACCAAATGGAAGTTTTAGAAGAAGACCAACTAGAGCAAAACCCCTATTTAATGTCTCCCATTTTAAGATTTTGCCCCATTTACTGTTCAATTTCTGTGACCCCAAATCAATAATCTCAGTGCTAAGCTACCTCCATTTAAGATTTTTCAGTTTAGTGTTCAAATCCTGTTCGTTGAGGGAACACTTAATGGGGGTTTCAATATACAGGGCAGTTACAATTTACAAATGATGGCAGGAAAGAATTTTAAAGGGCTGTAACAATTGACTGTTATGAAATACAAGAATGGAAAACTCCAAGATGATGACAATTTACCTGCTAATTTAGATGGTACACTTATATACCATATCTGCCCAGAAGGCAAAGTTTGTTGAACTTGTATATAGCACAATTTACACATCACTTTTAAATTCACAGACCAGTTTTCATGGTTCACTTATTAAAAAAGTGGCACAGACTAGACATGCTATTGTTCACCGGGTTCACTTTGATATTAAATACTGAAAACACTGCCTATCATTGATGGCAATCTGTACAGATGAAAGAATTATACTCTCAGTGAATGAATTCCTCCAAAATTTAATTCTAGCAGCGTCAAGTAAAAACTGTTAGCAGTACGTAAGTCCAATACAATTCAGACATTCTAGATGTGAATAAATGTTCACTGTATATTATAAGATTCTGACAAAATGTGATAGATGTACATCCTGACGTAAGCAAGAATAGCTTGGTACAGTGACTGGGCTTCAACTTCCAGAAAGGACAAGATTTTTCTAAATAAATGGAAACCTTGTTCAGTCAATGTAGAAACCTCATTTCTACTCTGAAACACTGCTAAGGCACAACAATGTACACAAATTCATGTAGTACAGGCCTTTCTCCACTAGCTACTATAGATGACTGTACCTCAGTTCAACTGCATATTACTGGCTATTAATGTCTTTTAACTGTGACCATACGAGGACTAGCAACACGTCTGAATTTAATTTCAAATGAAATATGACAGGAATGATCTCTGAGAACACTGTTTTCTACATAATTTTACTATAGTATACCTACATGTAGGTCAGGAAAATCTGTGTTAGTTCTCCTTATCAGCCTTCTGATATTTCTGTTTAAGAATTTAGAATCTAATACTATACACAATTATGAAACTGTATTATACAAAGTATATGTATAATGTATAAAGACTAAAATGAACAAATACTGAATACAGTTTGTGGCTGTAATACTTAATAAAATAGGCAGAGGTTTGTCTAGGCTGAGGACAGGCCTATATGCTTGACTTAAAATACTATTTAAAACAATAAAAATTCTAAGACAAACTAAGTTGCAAATAGAGCATTATTCCTACATTAACGTTTAACCTGACACGATCTAAGGCCATAACTGTGAATCAGAGCTTATGGAAACTGGCAAGAAAGTTGAGATTATCCATCTCCCTTCAGATCTTTAGAATATTCACACAAAACAGAGCAAATCAATACAAGCTAGTACCTTCATTAAACCATAAATATATCTATATTCAGGTAAATATAGCAATTCACTCTTAAATTAAAGGCATGTTCAAAACATCTAATCATACACAGAGTTCACCCTTCTACACTTCCACTTCCACATAAATCCTGAATCCTTATCTCTACATGAAAGTCTCATTCCTTCCACATATGAAGGCATAAAATCCATCAATGGCAGAGTTTCCTGTATACAGTATATCATATTGATGAGAAGTGTCATCTCTCATGGCGTGAATTCTGGCAATTTCATCAGTTTGGCTTTGTCTTGCTCTGACTGGTCCCTGGCTATAAGCAAGGTGTGTCCTAAACCACAGGAGACCTGCAATATGTAAATACCTTCAAGTGCCTTCACTTCCATGGGAGTTGTTGATGACTTGTGCAACTCTCCAAAACCCTAAGAAAGAAACATAAAAACACAGATGAGACCAGAACAAATGTTAAAATTTTCAGTAACTAACTAACGCTATGGTATACAATCTTCTTTGATCAATTAACAGTAATTCAGCTGCTCAAGAAATTCTCTCTTATGGAACCCAAAGTTTCATCACTGTGATTAAAAAGACAGTCACTGGATCCTACCCTGTGTTAGTCCAACTGAGTTCAGCATAATTCACAACCTACACATCTAAAATCCATTTTAATATCATTTCAATTTGTGGGAATGCTGCTGAAGTGGTCTCTTCCTTTGAGGTTTCACATCCACGATTCTGAATGCAATTTCTTGACAGCTGCCTCTATTAGGATTTCACATGTTCACTGTTCCTATTGGTCAACCCTCCTAAACAATCTTTCCACATCAAAATTTGGCTCATGAAGGCAGCAGCTACCTCCATAATATTGGTAACTGTCTACCAAATAACACGGTTTCATGATCCAGAAGATCACAATCTTCAATGCTACTGTTCCTCAATATTCATATTTTAGGCTTTCATGGCATCTTTTAACTAATGTTATTTCCAGACTTGAGTGTTGACAGTGTTCTGATGAGCTGATCTGCCCTTCTGGGGATCCTGGCTGTCTCCATCTTTGCAGTAATTAAACTCAAGCTTGGTGCCAATACTTACAGGTCTGAGGTATATAGAAGTTGGAAATTCTGATGGGTAAATAAGGTGTAACCAGGGAAGATCACAATCTACATTCCTTTTCAAGGCAAAATTTTTACAGGGAGGTAATAAGACAGGTGGAAGAGACTGACATTCAAATCATCAAGATAATTTTAGTCAATCTAATGGTTTAATATTTGCACAACCTTCTCTCTGTTGCTTCACTGTCTGTCATATTGCCTCCCAGGCCAGACTAAGCTGGTAACATCAATGTATGATGAAGCTATAGCCTAATGTAGTTAATCTCAGTAACAACAAGAATGATTCTGCTGTTGGGCATTGTGAAGCCAGGCATGCCCTGCGTACAGTAAAGTAACAAAGGAGGAACCAGGGTAGCTCACTTGGTATAGTGACAGGCTATGGGCTGGACAGTTGGGGTTCAATTCCTGGCAAAAGCAAGAGAATTTTCTCTTCTCCAGTGTCCAGACAGGCTCTGGGGCACATTCATCCTCCTATCATATGGGACCTAGGGGCTCTTTCCTTTGAGGTAAAGCAGCTGAGGTGTGTGGCTGACCACTACCCCTAATGCCAAGGTGAAGAATATTGGATCCATCCATTCCCCCTATATGTCTTCATGGCATAGTGCTTACTTAATTAAGCACATGGACAACTTTACCTTTTACTTTACCAGGCAGAAAGGCTTGATCACCATGCCTATACTATGCACAGGAGGTTTCATTACTCTCTTGATTCCAGATGGACTGCCTGGCAGAGAGCATAGAACAGTATCAGGCAGTTCCAGAATCAGCAGCTAACACTTTTGGGAGACAGATTCAATGTTCAGCTGAATGCCTGCAAGCAATATCTGCTGCCTGGTGGCTGTGAGATCTGTATGGTCTGGTTTCCAACAAAAAGTGGTCACATGTCCTTTCACAGAAAGGGAGTGATGTCTAGTGCACCTCTTCAGAAGCACAGAGTTTCACACATTCCTTCCATTAATGATCTGTGTAGAGCTCAGTGAGTCTGAACAGACCAGACTGTACCCTGATTCTACAGCTCTGAAAAGGCCAAAAATTCAGTAGTAAATACTGTACTATAAGAGTGAAATTAAATAGACGCAGCATCTATTTGGAATATAAGTGTAACCAGGTAATCAATTCTTACATTTGTGTAGATGGTTATGTGATCTGGTTAATATTAAAAAGCACCAAATAGTGTGGGATAAAAGCAAGCAAAACATACACTTTCAGGCACTGAGCAGGATGGGATTGGGAACATTTCTGAAGCAGTAATCTCTGGATGCTATGCAGTTAATTCAGCAGCTCCTGATATCAGCTATCTGCTCAACAAGAGCACCTGCCATTGACAGCATATCACAGCAGACTGAACAGTGACAGATTGTGTACTGAAGCACAGGCGGCATATTCAGGTTGGGTTTGTAACTTTGCCATAGGGGAAGAAGTTTCCTCTGATCATTAGAGGGGCTACCTGATTCTGCATATGAACTGCCAAACTGCTTGTCCAGAACATCCCACTTGCAACATGGATCCGAGTGTTGTTCATGGGATTGATGATGGACACACTTTCTGATGCAGAACCATGTAAAAAAACACTCAAGTCAATTTGTGAATGAATACAGAAGAAAAGTGACAGACCTATGTTCCCACTCTTGACACTCCAGTTAAAATTTCTGAAATATGAAGGGGTCTATTGAATAAGGTTCCCAGGTCAGGCATGAATCCACTAGGCCTTAAAAATTTCACCAGTTAAATAAACGAATATTCACTGCCCCCCATTCTGAGACCAGAGTGGGAATGAAACATTTCATCCAGGACAAATGCAGGAAAACATACTGTCCTGGATTCAGGGAACGTAAATCAATTCTTCAGAGACCAGGACCATTCCAAGTTAATTGAAATTTTCTGTTTATACCCTGTAATTAGCCAGGACTGTGGATGACAGTATATCACAGTTATTCAAGTACAGGGATGACTGTAATGGCTGAGGGACATCAGTTATGCAAGTTACAGCAACTTGCATAAAAGCATGTCAAATCTTCTCTGATAATAGATGGTCAATGGTAAAGCGATGATGGCAAATATACACTGTAGGTGTAACAAAAGACCCCTCATTTCCACTATCCATATAAGCCTACAATTTGTCAAAATTTCAAGTGGCTTGAGCATACATGTCATCAGACACAGAAGTCCATCTAGCTCAGAAATTGGAATTACAATTTCATCTCATTATTACATCACTTTTGGAGAAGTGTACCTAGAGGCAGAGTCACACACCTTTGGCAACTGTGACTTTCTAAACCTAAACAGGTACAAACTACAAACCACATATGGAACCCCTTTCCACACTTTCAGACTCAGAGGGACTTTGCATGATAATGTGCTGTCCACACCAATCTGTAAGACCCAACTACCATCACTATGTAACATAACCAATTAACTGGCAGATTATGTTAAAGTAGATGGACTCTACAAAAGTATACATAACATGAACTCAGGCTGCTGTCCTAGATGCTGCAGACAGAGGATGAGGATAAATCAACCTTCAATTCTTTCTCCTTGGACCATCACAAGTTAGAATTCTGACCAAAAATAATGAGACAGAACTTTATCTAATACCTCCAGATATGGTTAGTGTTGTCTTTATGGCTTTCACTGACCTAGGAAAGGGTACTGAATCAATTTGTGAGATGCAGAATCCATAGCACACCTCAAGGATAGGATGCTGATTAGAATGACGGTCGGCAAAGAGAACATACAATTTAACATGAGCTCTGAAACAAAGGAGAGGGAACCTGGCATTCCTCACATTCCAAAGTTCTGTTTTTGCTAGAGGCACAGATGCCAATTTTTGGGCAGAAAATTCAGCACACAGATTTGACATAGGATTGAATTCAGAACCTTCTGAATGAAGTCCCATAACCTTACCCTGATACTAGCAAGTCCCCTGGTGGTTAGTAGTTCCTACATTATCATATAAATGTCTGTTATAATAATTACTGCAATTGGCATACCAGTTCACCATATGTAGGGCTAGGTCCCCAAGCAATAACACTGTCATCAGCTGCCATCACAATGCTGGTGAATCCACAGCCCACGCTGCGAACTGCCCATCCTGTCAAGTCCTGGATAGGTTTGGGATACATGTTGGCCTCACCAGTACGTTTGGTCTGACCAAACAAGTACACAGCACCTGGAACGTAACAACACCACCCCAAATATTTGATTCAACTGCAGACATTATGTGGCACTCATTAAAACTGAAAGAACAGTGGAGATGGATTAAGAAGCTGTCAAGGTCCTTTTAAACCTGCTATTATGACATTACTCTGGAATAAGTGGAAACATACATGTTATTCCGCAGTTTCAAAGTATTTGACTTTGACTTACCTAGTTCATTGATGGCAAGGCTGAATGAACTACCACAATGGACAGACTTGACTCCACGTGACTGAGTGTCAAAGAATTTTATCAGTCGTGGAATCATCTCATCCTTCTGTTCTGCATGACCAAGGCGACCAAGACCTCCCCAACCCCATGAAAATACTCTCTTGTGTGAGTCTACTGCAACCTAGTGATAAACATGGAAATAAAAAAAAATTGTAAGTTTGAGAATTACATTTGTAGTTACCTCAGAGTTCTTTTCACTGACTTAATTCTTGCACCTCTTCTGAGCATACAGAGTAAGTGTGAAAATGATGCAAGCATTTCCTAATGAGTTCAACCAATGTTTCCCAAACTGTATTCTCTGAAATCACTGCAGTCTGCATAATGAGATGGAGGGATATATGAGAAATGATCTATGCCAGCAGTTTCTTGTGGTTTCCCCTCTAAAGTACCAAAACAGCATTTTGAAACAAAAACACTTATCAGAGTAGTCTAGCATAGATTGTATAATTAGAATGTACAGAACATTTCAGACAATGCCAAGTGTGATATAATCTCTACTTGAATTCAGTATTTTCTCCTTCATATAAGTCATCTCTTCATACAAGGTTTGACCGGAAAGTAATGCAATTAAGTTTGTAAAACAATTTATTCAAGATATCATTACAAAAGTTTAAAATTCTTCAAACTACTCCCCTTAGGCATCCACATAATTTTGCCGGCGACTTTTCCATGCATGCTACGCATCCTAGAAGGCCTTGACAGGGGCCTCGTTTAGAGCCTTTGTCACGGTGGTTTGGATCACTTCAATGGTTCCAAAATGGGTTCCTTTCAGGGTGGTCTTGATCCCCGGGAACAAGAAGTCTGCGATCACTCGCGATCGTCACTCGGTTGTTCTTGTGATTGTCAGTCAACAATTTGGGGACCAACTTGGCACACACTTTCCACATGTGCAAATTCTCAGTAACGATGTCGTTCAAAGTGGTTTTCGGAATACTGAGATTCTCTGCTTTCATCCGAATACTCATTTGACGATTGGCATTTAAAAGATCATGAACATGGGACACATTTTTGTCACTCTTGCTGGTTGACGGTCATCCAGAGGGGGGGGGGGGTCATCCTCCACCTCTTCCTGGCCATTTTTAAACAACTTCAACCATCTGGTGACTTGAGAATAGGACAGAGCAGAGTCCCCGTAGGCTTCCTGAATCATTTGGTGGGTGTCGGTGAGGCTTTTGTTCAGTTTAGCACAGAACTTGATTGCGTAATGTTGTTTGGTAGTTTTCTCCATTGCGCGTCGTGACACAGGCATTAAGAGGAGGTTCATGGAAACAGTGATCCTGACGCCCCGAGAGCGTAGAGCAGATTGAGCTTGGAAGCACTGTGAAGCTAAGAGTCCTTCCCCCCTTCCCAACTGGTCCGAACACGCTCCGACCAGAAACAGTGGCGGGAAAAACAAATTGCATTACTTTCCGGACAAACCCTGTATATCTAGCGCCAAGGTCAAGAATGGTGGAGCTATACCTCCACTGCCCTATGTGTCTTCATCGTATGGCACTTAATTAATTAAAGGCCATGGATAACATTATCTTTTTTATATCTCATATCTTTAGCTTTCAGATAGTGGCATGTCACTAAGAACTGTCTGGAGATCACAAGTAGATCTACAGGGCAATTTGACATACATACATACATAGTGAATACTGATATACTGGATTCATAGTGAACAGTATAATTGTTCATCATTAATAGGTATTAATGAGTCAGAATTTTGGACCCCATCTGCAGAAAACAAAAAATATAAGTTTGCTCTCCCAAGTGTGTGATTTCCTTGTTGAAATAAATTCTGTTCTCAATGGAAGCATCTGCAGTGCAACTGCAGAGCACCTACATAACTTGGACTCCAATCCTCTAGAACAGGGGTCGGCAAACTCCGGCCCGCCGCTGCTTTTTCTGCGGCCCGCGCCCTAAGAATAGATTTTACATTTCCAAACTCTTAAAAATGTCAAAGTGGGATAATATTTCATGAAACAAGATAATTATTATAATATGAGTTTAATATTTCTGCGTCTATGAAGCTTTATTTATAGGAAGAAACCTACGTTTTTTCGAACATATTGTCTATGGATGATTACGCACTCCAACGGCCGACCTTGAGTTGAGGAGTTGCGAGAATTGCCGTGTGTGGCGCTCCTATAGCTTCCCATTCACACGTTCCTTTGTGGCCCCAGCTGTGATGATACGCAGTGTTACGAATGCCATGTGTATCGCTGTTCTGTGTCGTTTTAATACCAGTGGATATCCGTCATGTCGCTGTCGAAACCACAAAAGAAGAGAAAAGCAGACTTGGAATGTCGTGCTTATAAGGCAGAGTGGAGTGAGAATTATTTTGTTACTGAATTAGATGGCAAAGCATTGTGTTTATTGTGCAGTGATACTATAGCTGTACTAAAAGAGTACAATATACGTCGGCATTACCAGACTAAGCATTCGGCACAGTATTCCCAACTCACAGGGAAGGAACGATCACAAAAATTAGAAACGTTGAAATGGACTATTTCATTACAACGCAGTTTCTTCACGAAAATAAAAAATGAAAATAAGGCTGCAAGTAAAGTAAGTCTACGAGTAGCTCATTTGTTAGCCAAGGAAGGAAAACCCTTTACTGATGGTGAGTTAATTAAATCATGTTTGATTGTAGCAGTTGAAGAAATGTGTCCAGAGAAAATGGATTTATTTAATAATATCAGCCTTTCCACGAGAACAGTTGCCCGAAGAGTTGAGAACATTGGTAGCAACATAACTAACCAATTAATTAACAAGGCAAATGATTTCGAGTGGTTTTCCTTAGCTCTTGATGAGTCGACAGACATTACAGATACTGCTCAATTGCTGCTGTTTATTCGAGGAGTCAATGCTGACTTTGAAGTGACTGAAGAATTAGCTTCTATGAATAGTCTGCGTGGAACAACTACAGGCGAAGACATTTTCAAGGAAGTTGAGGAAATGTTAACGAAGTACAATCTGAAGTGGAATCAGCTAAAATGTGTGACAACTGATGGTGGTAAAAATATGTCTGGAACAGGTAAAGGCTTAGTTGGAAGCATTTACACAGCTTGTGAAAATGCAAGGTGTACAAGGCCTATGGTTATTCATTGTATCATTCACCAGCATGTACTTTGTGGCAAATATCTTAATCTGTCGTGTGTTTTAGAACCAGTCGTGTCAACGGTGAACTTCATTCGTTCTCGTGGGCTGAACCATCGTCAGTTCCGTGATTTTCTGTCAGAAGTGGAAGCCGAATATCCTGACTTACCCTACCACACAGCAGTTCGATGGCTCAGCAGTGGTAAAGTTTTATTAAGATTTTTTGAACTCAGAGCAGAGATTGAAATTTTTCTCAATGAGAAAAAACGCCCTCAACCACTATTATCGAACACTGAATGGCTTTGGAAATTAGCTTTTGCTGCTGATATCATGGGATTTCTTAATGGATTCAACTTGAAGCTACAAGGCAAAACAGTGCTAATATGTGAAACTTATACTGCGGTAAAATCATTTCGACGACAACTGGCTTTGATTGAGTCACAAATCATGTCAAGCTGTTTCGTGCATTTCCCATGCTGTCAAACATTAAAAGAAGAAGTGGATTCCCCATTCCCGCACGAATTTGCAGGTGATATATTTTCTGAGCTCAAAAAACAGTTCCAGCAACGTTTTTCGGATCTTGATGCAAGTGCAGAAGACATTTCCAGATTTGAAAATCCATTTAACTGTACAATTGAGGAACTTCCACCTAACCTTCAATTGGAAGTGATTAATCTGCAGTGTGATAACATGCTAAAAGGCAAATTCCAAGAGAACAATCTAACAGAATTCTATAAGTGTCTTCCAAGTGATGAATATGGTGAATTAAGATCATACGCTCAAGGTTTGATCTCTGTATTTGGTAGTACCTACCTGTGTGAAAAGACATCTTCAAAGATAAAATATGTAAAATCTCAATACAGGTCAGCATTAACAGACGAACATTTGCAATCAATTATGATGATAGGGAGTACTAACTTTGACCCCCAATTTGAAGAAATGTTATCTAAAAAAAACAATTTCATTCATCCCATTAGTAGCCTAAAGCTGTGTTTCAAACAATGATTGTAGTTCCTTTTGTATTTTTATTATGTTACATTTTCACCAGTAAATTTGTAAAAACTTGTTTTTTAACCTGTTATTTTAACTGTACCGACCTTTAAAGATCCTCGAGTTTGCCTCTTGGCCCTCCGAGTGTAATGTATTTTATATTTGGCCCTTTACGAAAAATCTTTGCCGACCCCTGCTCTAGAACAGTGGTATTCAACCTTTTTTATATGCATAACCCCAGAAATAATTTCTCTTCAACTTGTACCCCCAAAGTAGATGGTTTATAATTCAAGTTAGGCAGTCTATAATCCACATCTGAAGCCAATAAATTACATCGAAAGTAATGTATTAAATAATAAGTTTCAAATGAGGATAAAGCTATTAAATACCAAATATATTATTGCCTATTACATAAATATTAATAAAGGAACAAAGGTATTTTAGCAGAGCAAATTTAAACGATTAAATAATTCATCAGTTATTAATGTGATTCTGAACTGGAAGGTCACAGGTCTGAGTCCCAATGAGGTTGACTTTTTCAATTTACCTAATTCTTCCAGCCACACTATGACCCTGGGGTCAAGTCAGCCTCTTAACAGAAATGAGTACCAGGAATCTTCCTGGGGGTAAAGGGCGGCTGGCATGCAAGGCCAACAACCTGAGAGCCATCTGTGAGCCGACTGTCTAGAAGATGTGGGAGCCTCAACTTCTCACAACCCTATGGGCCTCCATGGCCTGCTACAGGGATTACCTTTTTTTTTTGTCTTTTACATATGAATGTCATGATAAGGCTGAAGGCACAGATTATATGGATGAAAACAACAGTTTTCCAGTACTGACTTATAAATTATGCAAACTCGATTATGCATGACACTTTTAATCAGAATATTAAGTACTAGGAGATTGTACCTCTTTCTCTTCCAACTTGAGAGGGGGGAGGGAGGGAGAAAGAGAAAAAGAGAGCGAGATCAATCTCCCAAATGTGAAGACACCAGTCTTAACACTCAGTGAAATAAAAACCTCAAATCTTATACAATAATCTATTACTTATTTACTCAGTACACTACAGTACGCTTCATAAAGATAATATTATAATACTAATTGGTACTTAGGCATTAACGGGTAACCCATGTACCTTCAGAATTTATTATTACGTTGTCCAATACATTAGAGCTGCCAACCTCATAAGTTTACTTGTGAAGAGGAGCTCAAAGCCTAAGCTTAGAATCTGACTCCAACACCATGCCCACAGGGCTGGACTTTTTGTTTTGTTTTTAAAATGTTAGGCCTCTACTTCCATTTTGAAAAGGTTAGGCTTTGGTTTTGTTTCTAAAGAAAATATCTGAAAATCTTCTAAGGTTAAATTTTGGGTTTGTTTTGACAAATTTCTATAGCTAGCAGTACTAACATGGCAGACAAAATGGCCATAAAGTTTTACAGTCACATGGGCCATCTGTTAACACTAGTACCCAGGGCTTGAGGTGGGGCGGTATGCAGCGGGATGGCATCCCGGTTCCTTTCTAAATGGCTTAAAAGTATCCCATTACTCCTTTGGCAGTAAATGCATTGTACAATACCTTTTTTGTTAAAAGGGGAAAACCATCCCGGTTCTATTTTCATTCCACCTCAAGCACTGCTAGTACCTATTAAGTTTCCTAAAAAAAAACATTCATAAAGCATCAGAAGTCTCACTGTTGTATTCATATATAATATTAGAGCAAAAAGAACAGAAGGGAAACAAAAATATAAGGAGTAAAATGTAATGGTGAAAATTAAACAACATATATGCCACAGAAGGTCAACAGCTGTTTGTTGTAATGCGAAAATTATGGGATATGTGGACATTTAATACAACCTGCGTGCTTCTCATCTTGGCTGCTAGTTCTGCATATCTGGTATATTATCAATCACTATGAACATAACAATAGTACTACTCACTGTGTGGTTCGATCCACAGGAGAAATCTATAATCTCCACCACCTCCACAGGGGTGATATGACCATCTTTTGCCTTCTCAATGTAGAATACAATGCGTTTTGGAGCTGTTTCACAGTGAAAACCAAGTTTATTGCATGTAACAAAGTACTTCCCGTCTGTATTGTGACCTGAAAAGATAAAAATGGTTAATGATACCACACAATTTAAGCAAACATCTTGACTGGCATACTCACCATCTTCTGCAAGAAAAAATAAACAAACAGAAACTTCAAAATAACGTCCATAAATGACCCCTTAACTGCAACAAAGACTCCATGATTTTAGTGCGCAAGTGAACTATACTGACCCAGCGACCACCACTTGTCCGTGAAATTTAGTGTCAAATTTTGCGGATAGAGGGTGTCGCGTGGTCAGTGCAACGAATCCTCATGGCTGTTAATTTCGGTTTTCTACACCAAAGCCGCTATTTCCTTCAAATAGCTCCTCAATTATCATCACGAGGCTGAGTGGACTTCGTTCCAGACCCACTTCTCAGAAAAAATCTGGTTGTGCCGGGAATAGAACCTGGACCTCTGGATCTGTAGCCAGGAATGCGGACCACTAGATCACAGAGGCAGTCACTGCAACAAAGAACCCCTTCAAAAACACATATAAAAATGCTACAGCAATGGTGAATTGCAGGGGACCATCAAGTGCAACATGTTGCTGAATTTCAAGGACCTTACTACTCTACTCAGTCATGTATTATGAAATGTAATGACTCAAGATGTCTCTTATAAGGATATATAATGATATGTATGGGACCAACCTCCTATAAGAGGGTCCATATCCAATAAAGCAGATACTTTTAAAGAAGTTTTCCAAGGGTTTGAGAAATACAGACTTCTTAAATGGAAATATCTTAAGATGGTAGGTCTCAAAATGTTTACAAAATTAGTTATATTCCTTGCAGAAAATTAAAGGACTAATATTATATTTCAGCACCCTAATGCTAAATTGTTAATGGAAAAAGCATTATATTTTTACATGGAGTAGGCCGCTATAAACATTTGAAATGGTCGCGCCATAGCTCAAGCAGTTAGTCGCTGGCTTCCCATCATGGCGGCCCGGATTCAATTCTGGGTCTGGTCAAGTGGGATTTGTGGTGCACAAAGTGGCGCTGGGGCAGCTTTTCTCCGAGTACTTCGGTTTCCCCTGCCAATCTTCATTCCACCAATTGCTCCACAATCACCCTCACCTATCATCTGGGGCTGGTACAACAGGCCAGAAGTGGCTGCAGTACAAGGGACTTAGTCCCACCACACTAGCAAGAAAAAAAAAACATTTGAAATACAAAGGCTTACAAATATACATTAGATGTCTCTATCAGAGTTAAGTAGAACAGTCTATTCTGAAATGTCATTGTCTTAGATCACTGCTATGCATTTATTGTCTATCATCAGAGTACTCCTAAATAATGATGACTCCTGAGGGACCTTCCTGGTCTCTCCCCAGTTGGAATATCAATACCATGGAATATTACACACATGCATGCACACATGGCAATACAGTTACGAGTCCAGAACAATTTACAAGAAGATCAGCCTCACCAATTAAGGAATTACCTGGGGGAGAATCTGCAACTGATTCTATACATTGCATACAGTTGTGTGGCCATGTAGCAGTGATGCTGACCATATTATTTCTTAACAGTCCTGACAGAGAGGTTCAAATTTTTCAAAGGATACATGCTACATAGCACAAAACTGAAGAAAGCCATTTCCCTGTGGTGACTGAAGTCACATGGACTGACTTGGCAAAAGAGGTTTGTACATGTTAATCCTCAAAAACAGTAACCCAAAATTATACAATTATACAGTTTCTGTAACTCTGATCACAAAACTTTCGCTTTTCCTGTGATTAGGGCAATGTTAGCTTTTGAATAAATGGCTATACATCTTCATTCAAGCTTCTATTCATTCATACCTTCAAAAGTGGAATATGCTTACAGAATTCTAAAAACAGATGAGATAGTTTTGTGTAAAGTTCTCCCAACAAACCAAGCTCTTTGCTCCACAGTCCCCACAATGTGAGGGAGTCCTGCACCAGCAAGTCCTGCATACTTCCAAGGCATGATGACTTACCAAGCTGTCCATATTCAGGCAACCCAAATGAATGCAATGCACCCTTGCAGTCAAGGATCATACTGAACTCTGCCCCACAGCCCAGTTTCACTATTGGAGGACCTTTGTAGCTGATCTGGGCATAGAGAAACCATGTCAGTCAAGATGACAGCTATACACAACCCAGTAAAATATCTAAAACAAATTACATTTCTTAAAACTGAGACCAGCCATCTACCCATACCCTTATATCCTGAGCCACGTGAAACCACTTCACCTCCCATGTTTCATATTTCAAAGATCCATTTCAATTTCAATATCTGCCCTCAAACTTGGTCCTTCATGTAATCTTTTCATTTTATTCTCCTACATAACATGGAGTGGTAAACTGATAAACTTTATCTCCATCCACCTTCTTACCTGCAGGCAACATGATGCTGAACCTCACATGAATTCTGAATAGTTACCAACCTGAGGCTGAATCCCAGTAACAGCATCTTCATAACTGTACCCAAAATAGCCCTGGAGTCCACCAAGTCTCATGTATAATAGGCTCTTGATGTCTCTTCACAAAGAGTGAAACTGACAATTCACCTATGCATCTCCCTGAATCTCCACACTATAACTTTTAAGTTTTGTAACATTTAAAATTAATTAACAAACCAATCACCTCACTGACACAGTCTTTTTGAGAAACTAACAGTCACTCAGATATTCAAAGACCCCCCCGCCCCATTTATGGAACCCAAAGGTTCACTGCTGTGTCCACAAGAGCTCACAGCTGGACCCTATCCTTAGTCATCAATCCAGTCAACACACCTCTGCTCCAGTTTTTTTAAGAATTATTTTACTATATTCTATCATCAACACCTAGTCTTCTGAGAACTATCTTCTCTTGAGGCTGCTGAAAATTCACATACATTTCCGACCTCTCCCTTGCCTGCAACACCCAATGCCCATATCACATAACTGACATGATCATCATCATTATGTTTTGTAGAGTATTCATATTATGAATCTCCATTTATTCAATTTTCTCTAACCACCTGACACTTCCACCCTCTTAAGATTTTGTTCTTGAATACCCTAAATTTATGTTCTTCCTTTTGTGGGACAGACCAAGTTTCACACCAATACAAAACTATAGGTAAAATGATAGCATTGTATAATTTTATCACTATGTTTTTGGACAGCAGATGAGAAGACAAAAGAATTTAGAACTGGATAGTTGCAAGTAGTCCATAAACTTAATCTGCTCTTAACTTCCTCATAAATACCATCTGTTACTGTCATTCCTAATATTCAATCTTTGCCACATTTTCATAGAATTTATGAGAGATCTTTCATTTTGTCCTGTATTCTGATGATAAGACATGAATATACACTTAGTCTTCTCTTTGTTCACTTCTAGACCAGCCTCCTTAATAGTGTCTAATAGAACTCCTGTACTCTTCTTTGTGGTATTTTTGTTTTTGCCCATATAAATTAAAATCATCAGCATAGACTAGAAGTTGATGCATCCATATTTAATATTTGAAGTCTCGAACAACATCTGACTTTTCTTTACAGTACTGGTTTCTAAAATTCCTGAGCTGGCAATGGCTCTTCTGCATTACAAAGCAAGTACTAAAAACAAAGCACACTCACCGCAGTAGCAGTAAGTATGGTTGGGTTCTGGTTCCCGACACCACACTGCCCAAATTTGTTGTCTCCACATCCAAACACAACACCAAGATCTGTACAACAAAAACACAGCCAAAGTTCTGCATATGCCTGTCACTACACTCAGAGCTGAAAGAAAAATTATTGGAATACTTGATTACACATTCGTGTGACTTTAGGTATAGGATGAGGTCTAAAGAGGGGAAAACAACCTGCTGCTATATCATCAATCAGAAGTGTGTGGATAATTAGTATAGATCAGCATTCATTAAAGGAAAACTATGGTAAAGGGCAACTTGTCCCTGTGCTTAACTACTTAAGCACTATGCCATGAAGATGTGTGGGGGAGTGCATTCATAGTTACGTGTATTCTTGACCTCGGCACTAGTCAGAGATGAGTGGTCAGCTTCATACCCTGGGCAAAGACTGCCCTGGTACCCAATGGATACGAAGCTGGGTGGACCCCAGAACTGGTCGGGATGAAGTGGAAAGAGGAGAAAAATCTTTCCCCTACCCAGACAAGAAACTCCTACCCCTCAGCCATCCAGCCTATAGCCAGTCACCATACTGACTGTGCCATTCTTGCTCATTACTGGAGGGAAACGAGCAGTATGTAATATGGATTCTAATAGCAGTGATGCATGTGACTGTTTTCTCCAGCTCCACACAGTGACACATTATCTAAAACACATACCCAAGTTCTCAACTGAGCTGACAGGTAGGTACTAATTCTTTATTATTTTAGTTTCATGCCTGTCCTCTTTTTCATTCCTGTGGACTGTACAATGAAAAAAAAGCTACCCCTCTAACAGGCCATGAAGGCCCATAGGGTTGTGAGATGTCAAGGCTTCCGCATTTTCCAGACAACTGGCTCATAGATGGCGGTGAGGCTGTAAGCTTCATGAACTGGTTCTGCCCTTTACCCCCCAGGTAGATTCCTGGTACTCACTGCTGTTAGAGGCTGAGTTAACCCCAGGGCCATAGTGTGGCTGGAAGAATTAGGTCAACTGAAAAAATCCTATGACCTCACTGGGACACGAACCCGCCACCTTCCGGCTTGTAGCATAGTGCCTCAACCAACTATGCTACTGTGTGCCCCCCCTGTAAGCGAATTGTTTTAATACTAAATTAAAAAAAAAAAAAAAATTAAATGCAATTCCAAATGCAGAATGAATATGAAAAGCACTTACAGTTACTGCTAACTGCTCTGCTGGATTAACTTCCCATTATCCCTCACAAAATTATTAAAAGATGGCAAAATTTGCAGTCGTTCCTTCTGGCAATAATTTCATGCACTAATATTTGGGGCATGTGCTGTTCCAATCCGTAACAAGCAAAGTATGGTGCGTACAGTTTACTGTCACACCTGTCTGCAGAGCTATCTTGCACGGACCCAAGTTAGCCAATAATTCTGGGTGCACGTTTCCACATTAATTTACCTTATTTCATAGATGGGTCTTGAAGTGACCCTCCATGCATTTAAGCATGCCTCACATCGTGAAAATATGTTTCCAGACACATGTTGGAACTGCTGTATGGGGGAGATGCACACAAAGAAAGAAAGAAAAAGCTGTCCCTGTGCTTAATTAAGCATCAAGCCATGAAGATGTATGGAGGAGTGGAGGTATAACTCAATGCAGCCAATAAAACTAACTACAACAAAAAATGTTCTAATCTTTCATTTTGGCAATGAAGCAATTCATTCAATTGTATGTGGTATTTTACAAAACACCAACCAATGAATCTGTAATACATTCACAAGAACCAATCAAACAGAACATGAAATGGTGATGATAATGAAACAAGAAGAATGGTGCGGTGACTGGAAAACTTCACATACACAAGTCCTGAACAATGATGCAAAACTTTTATTAAGGTGTGGGATAAAAACAGTGTTAACAAGGAGAGCATAGGAGTTAACAGAACATTTTCATGGAACAGGCAAACCATCTAGGTATGTCTGTAAGGCAACCAAAATCAAGAGCTTACCTGTCAGGATTAAAGTGTGATTCTTCCCACATGCCGCTCCAACAATATTATGATCTTTCAAAGCCTCGATAACAGTTGGAACATCTCGGCGCTTTGTGTCACCAACGCCAAGTTGTCCCTTTTCATTACGACCTGGTGCATTAATAAACTCATTCTAACAACATGCTTGTAGTAATGCAAACTACAATTAAGAAAATAAAGCTATTCAAGTATTTAATAATCCAATTCAATTCATCCTTCTACTGTACTGGAGTGGTCATCTTTAAATGCAATCCATACTTAATGGAAAAGGATATTTCATATAATGTAATCAATATATATTAAATGTTAATAACACATCTACAGAATATTCTTACAGCATCTTCCTTCCAAAGGTGGTACAACACGCAAAACATCACACTGCATTCATTAATGATTTCTCCGTACAAAGAGTACATAGTGCAAATCAAAGAGCTTAAGTTATCTTCTGATTTGAAGGGTGCTGCTAAGTCTTACCTAAACTCATAGCCTTCCCTTCCTCTGTGACAATAATACTGTGAACACTACTGCTCCCTGATGCCACAAGTCTTACCCTCACACCATTCAATGGCATAAAACGGTGTGGGGACCACAGATTGCGCCCAGTTGCTCCTTTTGTACCTGGGCAAAATGAGGTACAAAAAAAATGATAAAAACAAAATTCAATAAAATCTGAAGAACAGAGAAATGAACTGAACTGGAAACTGAAGAGTATATCTGTTATATCTAAATCTGGGAAACTTTATTCTTTATTCTTGAAATATGGAAACAACTCAGAATGAAATTATTTATATCAAGCAGAAAAGTGGTTTCTTATAATAAACTGCAACGCAAATCAAGCAATAATGCTGTTGCTATTGCAAAACAACTAATGGACACTGCTTCAATAATTAGGGAAGGCTTAGGGAGGGTCAGTCTGTAAATGAGTATATGCATTGCATTTTTATACTTAAGATGTAAATAACAATGTTTACAGTATCACTAAAGAAGTCCTAACAGTCTTAATGGACATGTTAAAACTTACTTAAGTGACCATTCTCTAAACTCTGAAAATGATGGCATTTATTCCAAATATATTCTTGTTTATGCTGGATTTGGGGTTCTCACAATGGTGATCACGTACTGTATGATCTCTTGGGCTGCAATTCAGAGGAAGCTCAGAATTTCCGGGGAAGATATAAACAAAAAGTAGACAACTGATGTTACTAGACAATGACCATGAAAAGCAACAGTTTGTTACTGAGAGTCAGATGAATTGAGTTAGTTGGCTGATGAGTGACTGAGTTAGCCAGTCAGTCAGCGAGTTAGAGGATTGCTGCAGTTCAGTCATTGTGATTTGTTGCTGTGAAAAGCTGGTAGCTGAGGCCAGAGACTGGTCAGGAACGCAGAGGAAGGGAACGTCCACCACTGTGTGTGTGTGTGTGTGTATGCGCGCGCATGTGCATGCATGTGTATTAGTGAACTGTAAAGTGTAGTCACGTATTTTATCAAAGAGTCCAATAAATCTGATCAATCTAAAATCTGTCTACAGTCAAACTCATACATGTGACAACATATATTGTCATGTATTAGGCGTTTGTGTGACTAATAATAATGGGTTCTGGATTGGACGGTTAGATTTATTGATACCTTCTGTTACAATCACTCTTAATTACAATCAATGGCTGTCTAAGACTCCCTCCATTAATTACTGGACTATGAGTATCTTCTCTTCTACTGACTGACTTGGTTCTGATTTACCAATCGGTCACTTCTTTGGCTTCTGTTGTATGCTGGTTAACACTCCACAGCTGAACACTCAACTCAATTACTGAACTCTTGAGTTCTCTGGTGAGTGAATGGCTGCTGAATATACATGTCCCCTTTCCTTACATCAGGGATGACCAAATATAGGCCACCACCCCCAACAGTTCCTCTACTATTCTATATTTATCCAGTGGTGCAGAAACATGTGTTAATTTTGTAGCAATGGTTTCGTTTTCACAAGCCTATTCATTGCTGCGGAAATGTGCCTAGCGAGCCGTTGTCTAGCAATGAACTATTCTGGCTTTCAAGCATCATGTCACAGTAGAATCATGAGATTTGGTAAACAAATGAGGCAACCATGACTAAGAAAAATGAAACTTTACTGTAATTACAAGGGAATAGCACTTCTCACTCATTGTTGACACTGGGCATTTGACAAATATGTGGTCACTGTACTTACTTGTATATATATACACATTAAATAAACTTCACACGGGCTACAAAGAAAACATCCTTTGTTCTTGTTCTTTCTGCAATGCACTCAACTGAAGGCTGTTTACAGGTCGTTGCAGAGAAACGGCGATTCTTCTATTGTTGCCTTGCGTGTATTTGATCGCGAGGTGTTTATATATTTTGCACATTGGTCAAGCTTGAGATAACTATAAATATCACAATATCTTATACAATAGTGATGACAACATACAACTGTAAAAACTGTTAAAATAAAATTAGAAAGCAGTGGAATGAGTTAAGGCAGCATCCTCTCACCAACCTTGTTTACTGCCTCGATGCATGAAATTGCTAATAAAGTTAGTGCAGTGATTTAAAGATGACATACTGATCCAGAGGTGAACAAAAGGAAACAAAAGGCAGACTAAATCACTGGAACCTTACTACAAACGAATGTGGACTGAAAATCAGTAATGATAAGACAGTGACTATAAGAATTTCAAAGAACCCTCATACAAACATCAGACCAAAAGTTCACACAGTGGTTGAAGAGGTGTAGAAATGCATCTGGGATGTGCAATAAATTCAGAAGAAAAACTGATTAGATCAATAGAAAAATAAGAAACACTTCTAAGTGATATTACAGAAAAGAGGGATCTCCAAACAATGTGAAATAATTTATGGAGTATATATTAAACCAACTGCATTATTTAATGCCAAAACATAGGACATACTGGGGGAAACACATGGCACAGAGTAAGAAATGAAACTTTTAGAGAAGCTGGAATCCAAAATTTGTTTATGGAATTAGAAGAGGTTTGGCCTTGTAAGAAGAATTGACACAATAAAGATTCCAAGAAGAGCTTCAGAATGAAGTTTTAAATGAGAGACCTATGGGATTACCTACAACAAGATGGTTCAACCAGGTACTGTATGGGATATCAAGAAGAGAGGAAAGAATTGGCCAATCAAAAAAGGAAAACATGTGAAGATACAAGAAACCGGAATTTTATCTCCCATGAAAGAGAAAATATGCCATTAGCAGTGGTCTGGTTATTAAGTTTTGGTTTGATTTGTATGTTAACATTATTAATACAAAACCATTTCTTGGTATAGGGTTCTAAGTCTTCTCTCACCCCAAGATCATTCTTGGTTGGCAAACTGATATACTTATTCAATGTATCTTCAGTTACTATCTGTCCAAAACATCTATGAAGTCAAAATCTGAGTAGGTAATGTCTGTAGAAGAAAAATACAGTGTGTTCAACAGTTTCTCTGGTACAGCAACTCTGATTCCCAGTGCATGCTGAAAATAGAACCTAGTAATTTTCTAATAATAATTTCATGGTCTGTGCGACTACCTGATGATAACACACCCTCACAGAAGATTCAGACATAGCTTACCCTAAATACCTGGAGACATGCAGACTTTTGGTGACACAACCTTTTGGTACGTGGCCAACTAGGAAACCAAGAAGCAAATGGAAGGATACCACTAAGATGGTCAGAACGAGATTATGGGAATGGGAACTGGATGCCACTGGCCTAAGACCATGTCCATTGTGGTCTTTGGTGCTGGCATAGTTGAATTTTTTAATTCTACTTCAAAGATTTAGATTTTGTTCCTGTACTGAGAACCACAATCAATGCCATTAAGAGTCTATTTTCATCCTCTTAACCAAACAGCATCTGTGGTTGATGAGATCTTCATAAAAATACTTCACTTAATATTATTATTATTGCTATTGGGGTGGGGCTAAGTCCCTTGTACTGCGGCCACTTCTGGCCTATTTTACCAGCCCCAGATGATAGGTGAGGGTGATTGTGGAGCAACTGGTGGAATGAAGATTGGCAGGGGAAACCGAAGTACTCAGAGAAAACCTGCCACAGCGCCACTTTGTCCACCACAAATCCCACTTGACCAGACCCGGGATCGAACCCAGGCTGCCACAGTGGGAAGCCAGTGACTAACCGCTTGAACTATGGTGCAAAATACTTCACTTACTGGAACATATGCAATAATTTCATCCCCCAATGGCATATCTCTGGGTTGCACATGATGGTATTCTTTTTCATCAGAACATCAGTAAACAGCATGATATTCTGGGTTCCAATACTATATAGTTCAGAGCAAGCCTGACTTCTGGGAGGAACATACTGCCTGTGTCTACAGGGCCAAAGCAAAAAGCAGCAGAAGTAGGCATCAAGGTGAGCAGTTGTTTGGCTCTCTCTGACCCTGTAGATGGAGGTAATATATTGCTCCAAAACACTGGGCTTTCTCAAAACTAAATGGCAGGATTTCTAGCCAGAAGACCATGTTGCTCATAGTCACCACCATGAGAACCTCAAATCCAACAGAACATTGATAAATTTGGACAATGCTACAACAATTGTAAAGAAACTTGGAGTAGCTTCATGACACATACCTTTTGGAACATTCTTCCGGCCTGTGAGATCCCAATTAGTCCCACCACATATCAGGAACATTCCACAGTCATCTGGGCCTTTAACTCTCTGTTGACAAGAAACAAGAACTTCAAACTTTCTGCGGTTAAGAATAAATCTCACAATAGTGGCAGTGGGAGGGTGGATATTCTGAGCTTCAAAATTTAGATTTTCAAGATGATAAGGTGTGTAATGCAGTACATTGCTCTGTAGTTACTAAACATACATGAAAACATGAAATGAATACAAGTATACTCAATCTGCACATCTTCAGTTTACATGTTTCTGAGTATGTACAAGTATGTGTATGGGGATTATTTTCTTAGACAACTTCTTATTTACAAGCCACATTCTGCATACAGACAAACAGTCTCCACTTCACTGTAAATCATTTCAAAGCCAATATTTTGCTATACCATTATAAGCAGTGTGCACATCAGTAGCAGCATGAACATTTTAAAGATGTCAAATATGTATATTTAAATGCATGTTCTGTGTTACAGCAATGTTAGGTCACTTTAAAAAAACTACAGGTCATAACCAGCAAGTTCAAAACTGCAAATATCCATTAAAAAATGTTACCCTCATTTATAGCCCTTTTAATGCCAGTCTCGAAACAATCCATATGTCAAACATATTTTTTCTTACTTTGCAAATGTTATGATATATGTGCTTTTATCTATGAAATGAACTTTTCTTGACACCGACGGAACAGCAACCTTCTGTATCTATCACCAGGAGTAACTATTGACAGTAGTAATATTAACCCCTTAAGCTGGCATTTCAACCCATACTAGTTGTACACTGCAGCAATATTTAAATGGCCCTGTACCATACATTTCTAACAGCAATTTTTCAGTATTACTTCTTTTAGAAATTACTAAGATGAGTTGTATTCTAGAGACACTACAGACAGTCTAAGCTTTCATGCAGCATAATATATCAGTCATTTTCAGGCCATGAGATGTGCTACGTTGCACGATTTTTTAAGCCACCAAGCAGCTGGTTTCAGGTTGCAAAACATTCTGTATAGCTCCTATGAAATTCTTCAGTTGGGAGAAACAACTATTATAGTGAAAACTACAATATTTGGAGGTATATTGCTTCAGTTACTTTGATTCTCTGCTACGAGATGGCAGGGCAATGACAATTTTTCTGTGAGCTTGCAAGTGCTTAAGACATACTTCAACCACCACTGACAGCTTATGACACAGGCTGAGTACGTACTCAGAATATTTGCTTGACGGTTAAATGGCAAATATCAGGCACAGAGGATAAGTATAATCAACAATGGCACTCAAGGGGTTAACGACGAGACTGCGGAAAGATAGTTCTCTGGCTCACATGTTTTCATGTTATGGGCCAATTTACAGGAAATAACCTGCCATTTTAATTCAGGTATAACTGCAGTCTGATCATGATCATGAGAATATAGTCCTGAATGTTTTACAGAAATGGATGGAGGTCTAAATAATGGCCCTAAACAAGTAAACAATAAGGTGGGATGTGATATCAGTAAACAGGTAAAGTCTGCTTTTGTTTTGGTGGAACATACTGCCTGCATCTTCTGGATGAAAGACTGAGCCAAGCAACAAGAAGACAGCAACCTCACTAAGCTTGCAGCTTGCTTGGCTTACTCTTCAGCCTTGAAGATGGAGGCAGTACATTCCTTCGATACACATGTGAACTTGTATCAGACTACATGGCACCATATCCAAGAAGAGAATCTCAAATCTACTACAAGGTGAAGAGTTCTATATTTTGGGATATAATGACACATAGTCTATTGACATTCAACCAAGGTTTTGAAGGAATGTGTTGCCGACGTCCATTTTGAGCCACAGCCTTCCTTAGATGATTCTGCCACTCTGCATCCGGTTTTCACTTCTTTCAATTTCATTACAAAGCAAGGTTATCAGCCTTGTGTCCAGTACCCAAGCTTGACGACCAGGTCCCCGTATTTATGTCCCCTACTGACAGGGTGGCCCAGTTATATACTCTGGCACTGGATTCTCTTTTCGTCACCTTCTACAACTCACAGGGCTATGGTGGAGGTATTCTAACCCGCCATATTCAGGGTCAAGGAATAAGCCAACAAGAAACCAGCATGAAGCAGTTAGCAAGCAGTCATCTTAACCACTGCTGTGAAAACCTCAAATCCTACATAATATAAGACAGACTGGATGTAAAGTGGTTTCTGAAAACACACAGTAATTTTTGTTTAAAAAGAAGCATTCTCAGCTAGTATAATTCCAGGATAGAGTATACAGCGCCAGAAACTTAATGAAAAATAAATATGAGGTGGAATGAGTGTTCATATTTTCCTACATGTGGAGCCTACAATTTGGCTGAATCAAGGCACTATCCTGGCATTTGCCTGGGATGACTGAGTAAAACCATAAATCCTGCCAGGAGAGTTGATGTCTCAGTGGAGATTTGAAATGTGTACCTCACAAAAATGAGTCTCTGGACCAAGGGCTACATCTTACAGTGACATCTGCAAGAATCTCTGTTTTCATACTTAAATATGTTCACAGAGGAGAAACAAAGACTTTTCAAAGTGAATGAATAATACAACCTCATTACAAAAAAAGAATACACACAAGACCAGATGTAAACAAGCATACTCCCATTTGGACTGAAAGTAAGAAATTGTCAATCTATTTGAGAAATGAACAAGGAACCTCTTACATTCAAGGCTGTCTGATCTGCAGCTCACTTGTATACATGAAATAAGAAATTATACCAATAACTATAATGTAATCATTCAACAGTATGCAGACATAAGATAATATCATATTACAAATATATCCTTATTAGCAGACCACATACTTTGCTCATAATGAATTAGGATCAACACAGTGTTAATATACCTCAGTAACATGTTCATTGCACCATCTATTCATAATAAATTGTCATCACCAACTTAATACACCTGAAATATGATTCTCTGCTATATGAAAAAGGTAACGTACCTTTCAACTGAACGCATCCCACCAGTAACTGCAACAAAGCCGGTATTATTTCACATTAGCATAATTTTGTTTTTAAACACACTTTTTCAATAATATTGGTTACAGATCGTTGAATGGGAAATAAATGATTATAAATGACTTGGAAAGGGCGTAGAAGTGGTTCCGGCATATTTTAAGATACTACCCCAGTATAGCGTGAAATGACCAATAAAGACAAGACAAACCCCAGCCAGGTGAGCCGATTTCTAAGTCTAAATTCGCACCTGTGACATCCTGAATATATATCGGTGGTAACCACTACACTGCGACAAACAAAAACCATCTGTAAAGAACACAATTTTGACATTGGTACTGACTGAAATCCTATCCAAACATACTGCACCGTGTAAACAACATACCAGAAACACAGTTGACACTAAATATTAAGAGAATTGACTGAATTTTCAAAATGAAACGGAGTTGAACTTGCAGCCATAGTAGTACTGTACTGAGGATTTGTATGAGCGGCACGTTTAACAGACGCATTAATGGAATATTAAACAAGATGCGATGTGCATGTAATTCTCTGTATTAGGTTAAAAGTGCGAAATATGTCTCACTGAATCCTGACAGCACCATTTAAGGTGGTAGATGAAGTGTCCAAAAAGAACTCAGATTTGTTTAATAAAAAACCTGTATACTCAAACACCTATTTGTCAGCAAGTAATGCAACCAGCACCACGATCTATACACATATAATTATATTCAACTTGCCACATCTCTGACGTCTTTTTTGTCACAAGTACCGGCTGAAGCAAATCCATCCTGACTTCCGTTCTCATTGTCATTGTTCGCTGAAGAAAGAGGAGACTCTGTCTCGCCGTTTTCTTCTTCCTCCACATTGGTATCTTCAATTCCTTCTTTTTTATCAATCTTATGTTGCTTTCTATCAGATTCTTCACCAACATCTTCAGCTTTCCTTTTCCCAGACATGTTCAAATTTAACAGTTTTTAACATCAAACGCCGTGTAAACAAAATTATCGATCGCTCATTCTATTGTTCTCTCCTTTACGACTTTTAACGCTACCTCGCGAAAAAATTTTGAATTCCTGCTTTTAATTTATAACCATTAGATGGCGTGTGTAATCATGTTTCGATAAGAGAGAAGGAGACCAAAACCGAGGAGTAGGTTTATGGCCGATAGTTTATATTTGTTTGTCTTTATTAGAATGATACATCAGATTAACATTGTGCGCACATTGTTTTAAAGTACACGTATTGTAATACGTGCGGTGAAGTATGCTGAAGTAATATTAGCTTTGGAATTGATTATTGCTGTTATCGAAGTGTAATGACCAAGTAGTTGATTCATAGTCCAAATAGGATTATGGTACTCCTGTACGAATGGATAGGATTATGAAATTAATACGAAGGTTATTTGAAATTTAATAACATTGACATATTCGTTATAACGGCAATTGGTAGTCATTATTTGAAACACAAAGTACCAATTTAATAAATAATGTCGTCAGAAAATGGATCTGATAGCCCAAGTGGTGACAGAAATAGTGACTTTTCAGGAGATCGTGTTTGTCGTGATTTCCTTCGTAAAGTTTGTCGGCGGGGGAAACGTTGCAAATTCGTTCATCCAAATGAAAAGGAGCAGGATGCAGGTAGGTAATCGTTTACTTTAGCAACCTGAAATTAATAGTGTAACGGCGGGGTCAGAGTTCGCGTCCCGGTAGGGTCAAGAATTTTCTCTTCTTTACGTCGTCCAGACCTGCTCTGGGGTCCACCCAGCTTCCTAACCAATGGGTATTTGGGGCTCTTTCCCTGGGGTAAAGCAGTAGACGCGTGAAGCCTACCACTCATCTCCAGCTAGTATCAAGGCTAAGAAAATGTGGATCTATACTTGAAATCCCCCACACGCCTTTAGGGCATAGTGCTTAATTAGTTAAGCACAGGGACTTTACCGTACCTTTTTGTAGATTTGATGTGTTTGACATATTTCAAGTATACTAGCACTAATATGTTTTCTGTGCTTTTTGTGTATATAATCATAGTATTTTGTCATGGAAGCAAACACACCGTAAATGAGACATCTCTTAAATATACAGAATTTGAGGGTTTGACAGCAGTGGTTTTGAAGAGTTCTATCTGCTGGGATGTAATGCCATCTAGTATGTTGAAAGTTAACCATTGCTTTGGAGGTACATTGTGTTCATCTTCATGGTTGACGAATAACTCAAGAAAGAAACAAGCATGAAGTAGGCAGCAAACAGAGCTGCTTATGTATATTTCATTGTTCTTAGTGCAGTGAGGCTGAATCCATTTGGTACTGTGGCCAATACTGGCCTATTGTACCAGCCCCAGATGATAGATGATGGTGATTGTGGAGCATCTGGTGGAATGAAGATTGGCAGGGGAAAACAAAGTACTCAGAGAAAATCTGCCCGAACACCACTCTGTCCACCACAAATCCCACATGACCTGGGTTTGAACCTGAGCCACTGCGATGAGAAGCCAACCACTAACTGCTTGAGCCAAGCTGCATACTTGCCATTTACTTTATGCTATTTTCTGCTTGTCTTACTATTCGCCCCTGAAGATGGAGGCAATGTGCTCCTCTGAAACATTGGTTGACTTTCAATGCACTGCATGATGTTATATCCCAGAAGATAGTACTTATTGTCTCAAAAAATCCTCAAGCTGCTTGAAGCATTCTTCAGTTACAGAGTTAAATTCGGTATATTGTTTATTCATTTTCTCTATATTTGTTATAAATCTTTCAGCTAGAATTGGCGGCTGAAGCATGCATCATGCACATGTATTGTGGTTTGGAAGGAAGGAACAGAGGGGAAGGAAGAAAGAAAACATTGCACACAAGTGGCACCAGTTGTAATATTGTGGAATGTTTATGTTTGGTGAATGTAAATTGTTCTCTTAAATGTGTTTGTACACAAGAAATAAATTGTGAATCACAAAAACTACATAGTTCGTAGTAATTAGGTGACCATGCAGTGGTTATGCAAATCAAGTCCTTTCTTTGACATTAGGAAACTACACAATGAGCAGGTGCAAACTTAACGAAACACAATACAGCTGCCAGTGCTTCTGTTTATTTATTTATTTCGTCTCTATAGATCATTGTTANACGAAACGGGGGGGGGGGGGGGGGGGGAGGAAAACCTGCGCCAGTGCCATTTTGTCCTTCACAAATCCCACTTGACTAGCCGCAGCGGTGGGAAGCCAGTGACTAACTACTTAAGTTATGGCGCGGCCTTTGAGAAAATATTGGTGAATTTGCTGATAGCACTGGTATAACGTTTCACTGTAAACTCTACACTGCAACATCTCATTACATCTGTTCTCCCTTCCTGGTGCAGCTTCTTGGCATATGCAGTCTCTAGAGTAGCCCATTCAGGTACATCTCCGACTGTGTTATCTTGGTTGCTGGAAGAAAGGGAAAACTGCGCAGTAGGGATTCCCAAAACCAGTTATTCATGAATTATGTGATTATAATTGATTAGTGTTTGTCTCACACGAGAGAAACTCATCCAGTTATACAGTTCCTGAGCAGACTGAGCTCTTGATGCTAATCAGCAGACCTCCTTTGTGCTGATTAGCAACTTACAGATAGTGCTACTCGAGTCATCTGCCAATTAAAAAACGTGGGTTGATCAAGTGACATTTGTAGACCTGTTGATTTTTTTTTTGTGCGTATATGTGTTTAAATGTGATAGACTTACCTTCCATAGCTTTGGAGGTAGTAAAACCTGTGTCAGATTATCATCCATTTTTCCACCTCTCTGTATCCTTACATAACATGATGTCTGGCTATTTATATTTATTTTACTTTCCAGTACCATTAGCACACCATTAGGGTTATTCATGGCATACAATCTGGAGTGAAACTAGGTTTTACTGAATACATTGTGATCTCCGTGGCAGGTGGGAAGTTTGAATACATCTTCTGCCATGATTATCAGAACTCAAAGTGCTCACGTCCCTTGTGTCGCTTTGTCCACTGCACACGTGAAGAAGAAGAGTATTACAGGGCCACTGGGGAGCTGCCACGACATGTACTGGAGTCAGCTGTTAGGAAGGGTAAGTGCTAAAGTGGAATTTGCATATAACTAACCCTTTGACTTATGGTATTTAAATGCAGTAATCTCTGGTGTAACAGGGAGTGACATTCTTGAATTATACCGTGGATATCAAAATGATTGTGCAAGGACTTGGTCATATGGGAAATAAGGAGAAAGGGGACTCATCCTCAGAAACATACATACAAGGTTCAGAATAAAGTAGTATTTTTTGTATTGCTAGTGGGATGGGACTATTTTTTTTTTTTATTGATAGTGGGGTGGCACTAAGTCCCTTGTACTGCGGCCACTTCTGGCCTATTGTACCAGCCCAAGATGATAGGTGAGGGTGATTGTGGAGCAATCAGTGGAATGAAGATTGGCAGGGGAAATAAAGTAGTATAGTATTGACACATAGTATGTGTAACAGTAGACAGGGTTTGGATTTTTGAATGATTTATTGACCACTTGTACACATGACTTTGAACTACAAGCAGTAACAGTGCCACTACTAATCTCCACAATTCGCAAATCACCACAGCATCCACTAAGCCTTTTTCCAAACTGCTGGCTTCACCAGCCATTCCTGGGCAACGGCTTCTAACAGTGGAGATCCATCGGCTGCATGCGCTCAGGTCCTCTTTTCACAGCCTCCCTTGCAGAACTGACTAAATTAACTTTGTCCCTTGCTTATAACATCTCAGCATGGACCACACAGAAAACAGCTTGTCTATTGTAGCGTCTAACTGTTGCATTATCAAGAATCTGTTGCCTAACAATGGGAATGTGTTTACTGAGCCACTGCCCAGAAATGGTTGCTGTTTACAGAGTCACCACTTAGCAGTGGGTCTGTACACCACATTATGTACATATATATACAGTATGTCCAGGTTCTGTTAGGACTGTGTTCATTAAAAATATAAGACATGAATTATTTTCAAAATTTCACCCTTTTTATTCAAAATAGGCTCCTTCTGAATCAATACATGGCTGGAATCGATTGAAAAGTTTTTGAAAACAGTCACTGTGGAATCACATTTAAAACTGCAGTAGATGCCCTTATGATGTCCTTGATGGTGTCTTGATGGCCTCCTTTCATCGCTAACTTAACTTTTGGGAGCAACCAGAAATCTGCTGGAGCCAAATCTGGTGAATACAGAGGATGATCAAGGACTGTGATCCCTTTCTGGCCAAAAAATCATGCACAATCTTCGATTTGTGGGGTGGGGCATTGTTGTGGAGGAGCGACCAGGAACCTTGCTCTCGATAATCAGGTCGAATTTGAAGAATTCTTGCCCACAAACGATTGAGGACTCCAAGATAATAATCATAATTCACTGTTTGACCTTCTGGCAGAAATTCCTTGTGAATGGTTCCTTTGGAATAGAAGAAAACGGTTAGCAGTGTCTTTACTCGACTTTTGGATGTGTACTTTCTTTGGTTTTGGCTTCTTTGGGCTCAACCACTTTGCACTCTGTTGCTTTGTGAGAGGCTCATATTGAAAACACCATGTTTCCTCATCAGTAACAATCGATTTTGTAAATTTTATTTCACTTTGGGCTGACCGTTACATGTCTTTCCATTGTTCCACTCTGTCATGTTTTTCATCACCTGACAGTGCGTGCGGTACAAACCATGCACAGACCTTCTGTTTGCCCAAATCCTCGGTCAAAATTTGATGCAGAGTACTTTTTGGTATTCCCAAAAGCTCCTCGATGAGTCTTGCAGAAACACATCTGTCTGATGCAAGGATTTCGGTCACTTTTTTCACATTTTCTTTAGTGCGACTTGTTCTCAGCTTTGACACACACGGAGCGTCTTCAGTGACCTCCCTGCCGCCACGAAATACAGCATACCATCGAAAAATGTTTGAGGAACTCAAACAATCACTACTGTACACACGTTTCATCATTTCATACGCTTCTCCAGCTGTTTTGCCCAACTTCAAACAAAATTTGATGTTTGCTCTCTGTTCAACTGCCATTTTCCAATGACCATCAAAACAGTACTCTTACATCCAAGGTCAGAACACATGATGCAGCGATGCTTGCACTTTGAAATTATAGATAGCCACAGCTGAAACTTCAAGAATCTTAATGCCACAACTCGCCATAAATGGCATTGCAGGGCAAAATTTAAAAAAATGAGTCCTAACAGATCCTGGACACACCATGTATACCATAAGAAATAGCTTTTATTTTTACTTATTGTACATACACAATCATAGGTGTTGTAAGTAATTTTTGCATTATTTGGTGCATTTGCTTCAGCATTAACCCTAATGGCTGCTCGACTTTGTTTAATAGTTCGGGCAGAAGATTCATTTTTATGAAAGTGCCTTCCAACAAATGTTGCACTTTCCCCACACTCAGATTATTCAACCACATATATCTGCCTCTCAGGAATCTTTAATTTTCCTGTTATTTCTGTAGTGTCATTACTACGTGTTTATGCTCTGAAAACATATTTTTGGGGCAAAAACAATTCACTGTGGTGTGTGTGTATGTATAGGTATATATATACATACATACATACAGTAAGGACGCATTTATCTGACACAGATGCTCTCACAGCAAGAGTCATGTCGTGACTGTGAGGTTGGGCAGTGGGTGTGGGTATTCCATGATTGAAAGTGCACATAAATTGGCATGTCCCAAGCTGAGGATCATCAAAACGTGACCCTGTGTTACAAAAAATCGGTGTCTTAATATAAATTGTGTATAAATGAAAACCATGTCAAGCAAAGAATTATGACATCATGCAATTCAAAGTCATTTATATTCCTGTTTTTTGGAAAACTGTTCACTTAATTTGTGGTTTGAAATGGTTGTTTAGCCTTGCATATTGTAATGAAAGCTAGACAGTTAAAGATTATGGTTTTTGCAGAAGGATTATCCTCGGAGAGTAAACGTGTGCAGTAGAAAATAGGGGGGGCACTAAAATTTCAGGCTGAATTTCTCCTGTTTTGAAACTTGTCCTAATTATGTGGAAACTGTCACATGAAAGATAAAACCATTCTATTATTATACAATACAGGCATTTGAAAGAATTTAGAACATATAATTTATACCATGTGTATGGTGTTCTAGGCATTACACCTGATGTCTCTCGACCAGGTGAGCTTCCTGTATGCAAAGATCATCTGAAGGGAGAATGTCGACGTGGAGGCAAGTGCAGGTTTCGGCATCTGTCTGTAAGAGAATATGAGATAGAGTTAACATATGGAGCGAGGAACCCTTCCCATACAACTTCAGCAACGAATGGATTGGGATCAATTGCTAGGAGAAGAGAAAGATTTGAATTTGAAGATGGAAGGTGGAGTATTCTGTGTACTAATTGGTGTCTGTTAAATACTTGCATGACTGTGTTCTGTAAATGTGAATCGAAAGCATATAAAATGGGTCAGGAGGTGAGAAGCTCTTGTCTGCATATAGTCCTGTAGGCATTGATTTTGCTGTTTCTCAGCCTCCATTTAAGTGAATGCTATTTCCTTGAGTTATTTACATTTACCATATCAAATTTTTCTATTATAATAAAGGTTTGATTGCTACATCAGCACTGGAAGTACTGTCATTGGTTTGGAGCGAGAATTTGGATCCCCTGAAATAAAAAGACGTCAGTATTTTAGTCCTGAAATTCAACAAAGTAGCCAGTTGTTGCTGACTCGGGAAGGCCATCAGGTATGAACTGCAGGAAACTGCAAAACATATTCAAGTGATTTTGAATGAACATGAAACTAGTAACATATCAGTTAACAAACACATGTATGAGTTGTGATCGTAGTATTTGAACAATGCAGCGATGAAGAGATGAGCTGAGGGTTTCTAATGCACAGTCCAGATTATTGCAAGACATGCATAAAATCATAGTCCAATATTTTCCAAAGATCAATTACTGCACATAATTTCAGCACTGTACATTATATGGTGTTAGTCTCACTTCCAGCTCACACAGTCATCATGTTAATACTAGGTTTGGAGTTCCCTTAAACTGTACCATTTTCATGATGCCCTCATTGAAAGTAAATTAAATTCTATTCATTGAAGTGATGCTACTTTGGAAGTGGATTCCAGAGGAGGTCAGGATGAACAAAACACCATAATTGGAATCAACAGAAGCAAATATTAAAGTTGAAGAATGCCGTCTTCTGGGATGTGGCGCTGTGTAGACAAAGTATAAACTGACATTTCAGAGGAATTTATCGCCTCCATCTTCAGGGCAGAAGAAAAAAGAAAACAAAATCTGTGTAAGGAACCAGCGTGAGCAGGTGGCTGCAGACTAAGTGACCAGTCTCGAATTTTTTTTTCTTTTTTCTTCTACCCTGAAGATTGAGGTGATACGTTCCTCCGAAATGTTGGTTTATACTTTGTCTGCATGGCACCACATCCAAAAAGACGGTATTTATAGTCACCGTCATGAAAATCTCAAATCTTACAAATACTAAAGTTTTTGTCTTTAGTTTCCTTTACATTTACTGTTTTGGATTTAGGCTGCACACAGTCACTGCTATGCAGCACCTATGCTGTCACATGCAGAGGCACACACACTGCTCCTAGATGATGAGAACAGTATTCTGCGCAAAAAGATTGAAGAACTGAAGAAGCAAGTCTCAGACCTCACTGCTACAAATGAGTTCCTTCTGGATCAGAATGCTCAGCTACGTATGGGGGGCAAACGCACAGCTAACGTTACAGCTGTGACTGTACCAGCAGTTACAATCACCAATACAGGGGCACCTACAATGCAGGTTCAGCCAATCACAGCACAGATACAGCCAGCTCAGGCACCTACACCTCAGCAAATGGTAAGAACTGTCAGCAGGAATTAGGACCCAGTTTTGATGTCATTCCTGTTACCACACACTGAAAAACAGAAATTAAACTACTTAAGATTTGTGGAACATTGCATTTAGTTCTGCTTACCAACAATTTTTAAAAAAGCCTAAAGTACATAGCTTCTTATTACATCTGTGGGAGTTTTGGAAGTATTGAGTATGTGAATGCAAAGTTTGTTGCAAGATATGGACAAAATAATTGGCAACATTTGTTGTAAACATTTTGTATCTTGCTTGTAGTCAGTATATTAAACTTGTTGCAGGTGAATGCAGCCGTAGCAGCTGGCACATTGCGAACAGTTACAGCAAGTGTAGCAACTGTACCAGTGTCAATTGCTGCTGTAGCTGGAGCCCCTGTATCAATTGCAACTGTTTCAATGGCTCCTGTTCAGATTCCACCCCCAGTTGTGACAATGGCTCAGCAAACTCTTGCAGTGGAAGGTACGTTCATGATACTGCAGCACTTGGTTACAGGATGTAAAACAGTGATGGCCCATGAGAATGTTAGAAATTTAGGCTGGAGATGTGGCTGAAGACTAGTTAACAACTTCTTTATTAACTGTCACAACACAACAAATATCAATATCAGTCCCTAGCTACGGCTCTGCTACATGTTTTGGCTATTAATAGCCATCATCAGGCAAATACACGGTTAACATATATACGCCACTGAACTGCAGTACTATTAAACTGGATACAATACTATTAATCATAAAACACTCGACGCAGAAAGTACAATAAATCAGATTATATAAAACAAAGTTATAGTATAAAACAAGAATAAAATTTTAAATTTATGTTTTATATCATTGAATAAGTCGTTGGTTTTGTAATTTTGTTGCGTTCCCATGGAAAAATTGAAATATTCCATATTTTTTTTTCTTTTTGTATATAAGATTGTATAGGAGTTGTCCCTGTACTAATGCACACACTGGAGATGTATGGGAAGTTAAACTGCATGGATTCTTACTATTGGTACTAGATAGAGGTGAGTGAGCATCTTCACTCTTTGGCTTCTTTACCACTAGGGAAAGAGCCCCCAGTGCCCATTGTATAGGAGGCTGGATGCTGCCCAGAAAAGCACTGTTTCTTATTCTGAACTGTTAACACTGAATAATTTTTTGCAGCTTCAGAGTAAATTGGCCTGTCTGTCTGTTGAAGTTAGTCCACTAGAAGTCTGCTGATGTTGAGGTTAACTAATAACACCTGTTAGTTTAATTTTTGATAATGACAGTTGCTTCTTCACAAAGCTTTGTGTTTCTCAGTGATAGCACAGCTTCTGGGAATCGCAGTGTCTGCTTCTTGACCAAGCTATATACTCAGATGTGTATGGGTGCTTAATCTTGTTGCTACGGATACCAGAGGAAAATCAAGTGTAGATGAATATGTGGAACCACTTAAGTCACTGGACTGTACTGTATGTTGCTGATGACCATGAGAACACATCCATCAGAAATGCATCGCTGTTTTGGTAGATGAGTGGCTGCTCCATAATGACAGTATGATCCTCTTCACATCCACATCACACATGTTACATCATATAGTACTTGACAGGTTCTCTATGGCATCCTTCCACATGCACCATATAGTCCAAACATTGCAGTTTTTGTGCTCTTCTTTTCTCAGTCTTGAGGGTGTTTCTATAGGGGTGTAATTTGCAGTCATCAGAAGTTCTGAAGGTAGCAGGGACAGTCATGAAAAGAATATAATGTGATGGTTACTTGTTTCTTCTTTTCTCAGTCTTGAGGGTGTTTCTATAGGGGTGTAATTTGCAGTCATCAGAAGTTCTGAAGGTAGCAGGGACAGTCATGAAAAGAATATAATGTGATGGTTACTTGTTTCTGCAAACAAGCTGTCCCTGAACCTAGAAAAAACAAATGTAATAAAATTTATAACAAAAATCTCACCACAGTATCCATTAAACATATGATATGATAAATATATAGAAGATGGAGTAAACACAAAATTCCTTGGCTTGCAAATTGATAATCATTTAAACTGGAAAAACCATATTGATCAGTTGATTCCAAAGCTAAGTAGAGCATGTTATGCAGTTAGATTCATGTTACATATTAGTAACATTGACACTCCCAAATCACTCTATTTTGCTTACTTTCACTCTTTAATGAAGTATGGAATTATTTTCTGGAGTAATTCATCTGACAGTAAAAAGGTATTTACATTGCAAAAGAAAATTGTTAGAATCGTGATGGGTGTCAAATCCCATAATTCCTGTAGAGATCTAGTTAAGAGACTACAGATCTTAAATTTTCCTTGTGAATATATATATGTATATATTACGGCTGCTGTACTGCGATGTGGAAAGCAAATGGAAAAACTACCACATTATCACTTTTCCTGGATAGTCTCTTTCCAAAAACAGAGATACCATATATGCGAGATGTTTCCTCTGGAGGCAAAACAATCCGGAGGTAAACTACTCCCCCAATCGGATCTCCGGGGGGGAGTGTTTCTAGAGGAAATGTCATGCAGGCGTTACAACAAGAAAAAGTGCGAAGATCAGAAGAAACAGCATGGATACAAGATTGGAACATGGAATGTCAGGACCTTGAATCAAGCAGGAAAATTGGAGAATTTGAAAACGGAAATGCAGAAGAATGAAGTGTCTGTGCTAGGTGTCAGCGAAGTGCGGTGGAAAGGACAAGGTGAAATAAGAAGCGGTGATTATACAGTGTATTATTCCGGAGGTGAACGGGCTGAAAGAGGTGTGGCAATAGTGGTGCATAAAAGTGTAGTGAGGAGTGTTGTTAAGAAGATTGCTTGTAATGACAGAATTATTGCTCTGAAGTTAAAGGCAGAACCGGTAGATATACTGATTATACAAGTGTACATGCCAACATCAGAGTATGAAGACGATGAAGTGGAAAAAGTGTATGACACAATTGAAGAAATTCTTCAGGAAGATGGAAGAGGAGACACAAACAGCATCATATTGGGAGACTGGAACAGCATTGTTGGAGATGAACCATATCAGAATATTGTTGGATCACATGGACTAGGAAGACGGAATCACAGAGGTCAAATGCTTATTGACTTTTGTGAACGAAATGGATTGATTGTTACCAACACTTGGTTCAAGAAGCCAAAGAGAAGAATTTACACATGGAAGGCACCTGGGGATTGGAAGAGGCATCAGCTGGACTACATCCTTGTGAAACATCGATTCAGAAACAGTGTGAAGGATGTGAAGACGCTTCCTGGGGCAGACATTGACTCTGACCACAACTTGCTGGTTGCCAAGTTCCGAACCAGGTTGAAGAAAATTATAGGATTTCGAAAGCGCAGACCCAGATGGGATTTGGAGAAGTTATATGCTCAAAGACAAAGCGTGCAAGAGACTCTAGAAGAGAAACTCGGTGCAATTGAAGGTGAAAGCGGAAATGCTGAAGCGCAGTGGAACGATATAAAAGAATGCATGTTAGATACTATCAGTGATTTGGTAGGTAAAGTTGAGAAGATAGCAAGAAAACCATGGGTTACACAGGAGATGATGAGTAAAATGGAGGAGCGAAGGAAATGGAAGAATGTCAACAATGAAGAAGGCAGGAGGAAATACAGGAGACTGAGGAATGAATTGAAAAGAGCCACGGACAGGGCCAAAAAGGAATATCTTGAGAAGATATGTAATGAGATTATGGAATTTCAAAGAACAGGCCGTTATGATTTGATGTACATGAAGACAAAAGAACTAGGATGGAAAGAGAATCATGGGATTCAAAATGTTGGCATCGAAGACTCCCAGGGGAATAGAATAGTAGATCAGAGGCAAGTGCTGAAAATTTGGGAAAATTATATTTCAGAACTATATGATCGACCTAATCGGCCAGAAACCTTAGAAGTTGAACCGGAAGAAGAAGTAGATACAGACGAGAAAGGACCATATATTTTACAAAGTGAGGTGGAAAAAGCTATCAAGGAAATGAGGAAGGGAAAGGCTACAGGAGATGATGATGTACCTGGAGATGTGCTCAAGTTACTGGGAGAAGGTGGTTTGAAAACACTGACAAAACTAATGAACACCATATATGAAAGTGGAGAGTGGCCCAAGGACTTTACAGAAGTTACAATGATTGCCTTAAAGAAAAAGACAAAAGCTACAAAATGCAGCGACCATCGCACAATAAGTCTTATTGCACATACAGCAAAGATAATAGCAAAGATACTTAAAAGAAGAATTGAAAGGAAAATAGAGGATGTACTTGGAGAAGATCAGTTTGGATTTAGAAGAGGAAAAGGAACCAGGGATGCAATTGGGATGATGAGAATTATAGCGGAACGAACTTTGGAGATAGATGAAGAACTGTGTGTTTGCTTCATAGACTGGCAGAAGGCATTTGACCGGGTAAACTGGACCAAATTAATGCAGATCCTGAAAGAAACAGGTATCGATTGGCATGAAAGAAGATTGATTAGCAAATTGTACATGGATCAGAAAGTTAGAGTACGACTGGACAGGGGGGAGACAGGAAGTGTGCAGATTGGAAGAGGAGTTCGACAAGGATGCTGTTTATCACCAATTCTGTTCAACTTGTACAGCGAATGCCTTACCAAGGAAGCTCTGGATGGGCTCGGTGACTTCAAAGTAGGAGGGCAAATTATTCAAACTGTGAAATATGCAGATGACCTTGTGTTAATGGCTAAGGAAGAAACTGTGCTACAGGGCATGATTGATAGACTAATTGAAATTGGAAGGTGCTATGGCATGGAAATGAATGTGGAGAAAACAAAAGTAATGAAAATTTCGAGACAACCAACCCCAGTCACAATAAAGATAGACCAAAAACAAGTGGAGAATGTGAAATGTTTTAAATATTTGGGTAGCTTGTTAACAGATGATGGAAGGTGTACTTGTGAAATTAAATCCAGGATTGCCATGGCAAAAGCTGCATTTAGCAAGAAGAAGAATCTTTTTACCAGCAAATTGGACTTAAATTTGAGGAAGAAACTAGTGAAATGCTACATTTGGAGCATAGCTCTGTATGGGGCTGAAACATGGACACTTAGGGCAGTAGATCAGAAACATCTGGAAAGTTTCGAAATGTGGTGTTGGAGAAGAATGGAGAAGATCAGTTGGACCGATTATGTGAGAAATGAAGAAGTGTTAATTAGAGTCAGTGAGCAGAGGAATATCCTACATGAAATAAGAAAACGGAAGGCTAATTGGATTGGTCATGTTTTACGCAGAAACTGCCTTCTAAAAGAAGCTATCGAAGGAAAGATAGATGGGCGGATAGAAGTGACAAGAAGACGAGGAAGAAGACGTAAGAAGATGCTGGATGACCTTGGGGACAGAAGAGGATACTGTCATTTGAAGGAGAAAGCTCTAGATCGCATTAAGTGGAGGAATTGTTTTGAAAGAGACTGTGGACCTGTCGTCTTGACAGATTACTGATGATGATGATGATGATGATGATGGTATATATTCATTAATAAACTTCATTACAAATAACAAAGAACATTTTGAGATGAATGCGGACGTACACCCTGTTAACACAAGACACAAACACTGTCTTCATAAACCAATTGCTAACCTCTCATGCTTTCAGAAAAGTGCATATTATGCTGGGATCAAAATTTTTAATAACCTGCCATCTGATCTCAGAGGTCTTATGAATGAAAAGACACGATTTAAAATAGCACTGAAACGATACTTAAAATTACATTTATTTTTTTTTTAATTCGGTTTGAGGGGGGGGTGGAGTCCAACTGGGTTCACTCGGCATGGCAGCCACTGATTGGCCTATTATAGCCTGCTCCAGGTGATTATGATGATGGAGAATTTGGTGGAATGAAGATTGGCAGGAGAAACCAAAGTACTCGGAGAAAACCTGCCCCAGCGCCACTTTGTTCACCACAAATCCCACTTGACCAGACCCGAGATCAAAACCAGGCTGCCACGGTGGGAAGCCAGCGACTAACCGTTTGAGCTATGGTGCGGCCTTGAAACGATACTTAAATACACATTCATTCTACTCTGTTGATGAATACCTATTGTCTAGAAAATAACTTATGTGTCTTTAAATAGCCTTGTGTGTAGTCACTGTGTATTCTTGGTTTCTCTTGTGTGAGAACTCCATTGGGACTGTACATATGTTTTGCATTTATATGACATATTTAACATCGTACAGTCATTTTGACTAACTTTGGATCCATGGAATGCAATGCAATATAATGTATATGTTTGAAACCTGGCAGCAATGTTGGAACAAATTGCATGCAACACGAAATACTTGGAAAAGGGCTGTGATGGCTTAATTGGTAATAGAACAAATTCACAACCTTGGATTATATACATATATGTTGACTTCATTACCAGTCACTACACAATTCTTGCAAATATAAGTGATGCCAATTTCTGGGCAAATGGCAGTTGAACTTCAGATTTCCACATAAAAGGTAAAAGAACACTACAACATTGTCTTATATTTGCAAGTTTTAATGTTATGTATAATGCAGGTCCACAGCCACCACAGCAACCAGGAGCCCCACCACAACAAGGACAACAACAGAATCCTCAGCAAGGAGGACCACAGTCATTGCCCATGTCAATCAGTGGAGCTACAGCCCCTCTTGTGTCCTACCCGATAATGACGCAGGATCTGCGACCTGTTCTTCAGACCAGTCTTTCACATTGAACTTCTTGTTAATTTTTTTGGTCCGTGTCTTTTATTGTGTTAAAAAATATTATGAAGTGCAATGGACCATGGATTGATTGTCTATTTTCAGTTTATGCACTTCATGTGCACTGTTTTCACATTGTTAATTTCACTTCAAAGGTAATAGAGCACTTCAAAAGCTGAGAAAGGTGACATGATGTAATCTGCTTTGTATCTGAAATAGGAATGTAGTTGTAATGTTAGTTTTGTGAGCAAAGAAGGGAACAGTGAATTCATAAGTAATATTCCATAGTGCAGACTTTTGCACTGTCGTATTCAGTGTTTTTTGGGATCCTCCCCTTCAGAGAAAGTGGGTATCATTTTAATTGTATGTCTTCATGTCAGTGCATTATCTATTATTATTATTATTTCTTCTGACCATTTCTGTTTTGTGATCATTGAAACATTTTGTTATTGGAAACCTGTACTTTCAGATAGTATGTATGTTATCAATTATTTTAACTTTTAGAAGCTTTTATGCTTGTATACTTATGATAAATAACTTGGATTAAGTTACATTAGTAAGAGTTAATTTGAAATATCAGTGAGAGATGGTAAAATCTGTCAGAAATAGAATCCGGATAAAATGGAAACCTGCCTTTACTGTGCAAGTTTTGATCCCAAGAATATAGAGCAAAAACTAATGTAAAATTAGCTTTTAGCATAAGGCAGTGAAATGAAAAATGCGGAGAATGATCTGCCAAAATATTTGTTTAATGTTAACACAATTTTTATCTGTACCATACGTAGCGGGAATTGTCTGAGATGAAATCTGTGATTAGAAAAAACTAAGGCTACCAACAAAATCTGTGCACAGTAGATACCTCATGGACTACGAGAAAGGATTAAAAAATGAGAGATGAAAATGAGTACCACTCACTGAGAATACGTATGTATGTATGTACGTAGCTTGAAATTCTGACTTGTAATTTAAATCCTAAATATGTATACTGTGCAATATTTTTTTCCAGAAGTACTTGTGTTAAATGGAAACCTCTCTGAAAAACAGAATCATCATTAGGTATCATATTTTACTGTAGGTATCTGCACCACCGGATCCTCTACATCCCATGTCCATAATCCATTTGGTATGTACACATGTTTACATTCAGTGGGTAGCAGTTGGAAAAATACTACCCAAGTGAACCTTTACTTGCCATTTAATTTAATTTATAAAATGTGTGGAATTATCATATGAATTGCTTTCAAGATGATAAGTTTAGGCACAAGCACAACACCAGCAGAACACAAAGAACTGGATAACTGTGTATGAAAAATGTAACACTTTCAATCAGTAGGCTGACATCACACCACTTGTCATAAAATATAAAACAGGAAATGGAAGTATAATTATAAATTGTACATTTTAAGGATGTGGTAAAATACAGTCATGCATGAATTACATTAGGGTTCTACCTGAACATATCTGGAGAAACTGAGGAAAATAACAAAAATCTAAAATATGACACTAGTCACAGGTCTCCTCCACAAACCCCCACAGTTAGTAGTCATAACCAATCACATTCAGGTACAGGTAAATGTACTCATTCAGAGCTGTATGCCACAAGGATAAGTAGTCACTTCATCACAAGACAAAGTAAATAAGATTTAAGAGTTTGTGACAATGGTACGTTAACTGTATCAATTGGGCCCAACTGAGTAGGTTTCATCTGAAGACTGACAGAATCCATGCTTCAAAATGTGTTTTTAAATAACAGGATGTTTTAGACAAAAACAGGACAATCGATAATGTCCAGAAACATTTGTACAAGATAAAGTGTTTCCTGTAACCACCGAATAAGATGATGGGTGAATTTAGAGTGGATGGCTACTGTGAAGACAAACATGTCACATACCTACTGGGAACTGAACACTGGGCATTTATTGACTGCGTTATCATGACTCTTCAAATGTAAGAAAATGTCATTCTGATAGGCAGCTTCAGACTTCAAAGAAGTGAGAACAGAATTAAATCTTGGTTGGTTGCAACATTATCTAGCCTCATGCAACGCAAAATCAGATCTGAGTGAATCTGCCTTTGCCAACACTGCATATTAACATATACAACTAACACCCAACTTTAAGAATCTCTTGTCTAGGACAGGCACATTTCAGACTAATAACTGACATTCTGGTAGTAAAAGCCACTGATCAGAAAATTTGACCACCTCTGTGGTCTAGTGGTAAGAGTTCCTGGCTACAGATCCAGCACATAATTTTAATGAAAAAAACCAACTGTAGCTAAATGCATTGAACATGGTATGAGGAATTTTAATAATTTCCTGTGAAAAGTATGCAGTGGTCAAAATATTATCAAGGACCATCATCTCAGTGTTAACAGATTGCACAGTGGAATGCATAGGTGAGAGAGTCTATATCATGTTGTCATACACATTAAGCTTTAATCATATTTTCGGTGCAAGAATGCACTGGTTAGACTTTTATCAAGGGACATTTTTATCTCAGTCTTCAAGAAATCATGCAGAGTTCATGGGTGTGAATATCCATATCATCCATCATATTGAACTGTAATCACCTTAACAAAACATGAAAGATTTCACCTTGAAAAGTAGTATTTGCACATTTTATGCACCATAACTTTGAATTTTTGGACAAGGAAGTGCATAAATTGAGTAAATACATTAATAAGTCAAAGGACGGGGGTATATCAGAAAGTATCCGTAAAGTGTCATATCCTTTTCTTGTGATTGGCTCTGATACTTACTGTGTATGCAACTATTATCATGGAACCTCCATACTGTTGGATTTATTTGACTTTGACCACTACTGGTATCAACATGGCCACTCCACTTACACCAAAGAAGAGCAGCATACACTGATTCAATTTTTGTGGGCTGAAGGTTTAAGAGGTGCAGAAATTATGTAAATGAAGACTAAGCACAGTGCAGTGAAAGTGTTTTGTTGCAGCAGAGCACATAATGGCTTGACATGTTTAAAACTGATTGAAGCAGCATCAATGATGATGAAAAATTACGGCACCCATCTGCATTGGGTAGTGCATGGAACCATGAACAAGTCCGCACACTAATTCTCAGCAACAGGAAGGTGTCTATCGATGAAGTGGCAAAGCAATGGCAAATTAATCGCAGCTCTGCCTATTAAACCTTCAGCTACAGGCTTCACTTCTGTAAAGTCTGTGCAAGGTGGGCTCCACAATCGAAAAGCATAAGTGCAACCATTTGGGCATGTGTAAGTGCCTCTTGAGCTGGTATCATGAGGAAGATGGTGCCTTTTTGAATTGTGAGTAGTGACAAAATGTGGACCCATCACAAGCAGAGGGAAAACAGCACAGAGTATGGAACGGAAACATCTGACGTCCCCTGTCAAAAAGAAGTTCATGTCTCGCCTAAAAGGAGGAAAAATTATGTTCTCAATGTTCTGGGATTTGAAAGGACCAATTCTTAACCATTATCAGGGGAAGGGTGCAGGAATAATCTATACACTTTACAGTGAGATGCTGTATGACAAACCAAAGCCGGTGATTTTAAGTGAATACCAAGGACAATTGTCAGTAGGTGTTTCACGACAGTACACATCTCTGTGCTGCAGTGCACACTGTTGAAACACTCCAGCAACTAAGCTTTGAAATCTTAGAACATCTGCCATAGAGCTCTTATATTACTTTGTCAGATTTTCATCTGTTTTGACCCCTCAAGAATGCCTTATAAGGCTGTTCTGCCAGCAATCACGAGGGGAAAGAGGGGCTGCCTGGTTGAAGACACTCCTTTCTAGAAGCTGCTTGCGTGAAAAGACTTTTTTCTAGAAGCATAGGTACACTTGTTCAGTGCTGGACCTACTGAAAAGCAGCAGTTCCATGTTGAAAAGTGATGTACTTATGAGTTATGTGCTACTCGTGTTAATTTTAATAAGTACATTATCAATCAAGAGCCAGGATAGTGTAGCCAGTATAGCAACTGTCTATGGACTGGATGACTGAGGGGTCAGAGTTTTCTCCACATCCTCCAGACTGGGTCTGAGGTCCACCCAGCCTCGTATTGAGTGGGTACTGGGGGCTCTTTCACTAGGAGTAAACCGGCGGGGGCATGAAGCTCACAGTGCTGACATCAAGAAAAGTGCAAATCTATACAGCCACTTCCCCATACGCCTTCATGGCATAGTGCTTAATTAGTTAAGCACAAAGATAACTTTATCTTTTACACTATCAATACTTTCTGACGTACACACATTTCTACCTTATTTATATAGTTTCATTTAAAATTAAATTTAAAAGAGGGGAGTTGACATCTAGAGAGGACATGGTGTCATACACTTAAAGAAACCACTGTTCTACACTGAAGACACAGTAAGAGGTTCAGTAATCAACAGCTTTCTCATCTCTTTTGAGCTGTTCCTCCTCACCTTCCAACCTAGCCATTTGGTTTATATGAATGGTGGTAATGACAGTTTTCACTATCAGTAAGCACTTTGGGTTGGCTGACAAATTGGAGGGGAATACATCATTGGAGAGAAAGTGAGAAGCCTCAAGCACCGTTCATTGGACTTCTCATTGCTGCCTTAGTATAGTAACACTGATCTCACCATGGCAGAGCAAACAAGCAAAATGTACTGACAAAGCTCTAAAAATCTTACCTGTCTGTATATTCCACTGTTCTGAAATATGGCATCCCACATTTAAATGTGTAGAACAACAAAAGCTAATGTTACAGACAGTCTGGTCTCTATATGTAAAAATATTATCATGTTTCTGGGGTTCTGTGACTAATAATAAGAGGTTCTGGATTGGATGACTGGATTTATTAACACCTTTTACAATCACTCTTAATCACAATCAGTTATAGCACTAACGCTAATCTACACAATTTACAGTTCACCATTACACTAGGATTCTCAGTCTTCACTAGTCGTATCCCGGTAACGGAATTAAAACAGTCTCACTGTGACCGATCTTCTAATCACACACGAAGTCTTCACAGACCGACTTCTAATTCTTTCTCAGCTAACTTCCTGTGGCTGTTTCCTACCGAGAACTCCATTGTACTCTTTGTACTCCTACAGCTCCTACTTTTCTGTTTTCCTAGAGCTGCTAGCTTCAAAATTTGGCTCTCTTATTGGCACGAACCAAGCAGCACAGAAAAAACAGTCCCTGTACTGTTGAAGAGGCATGCTACCACGCAATTGCTAGCAAACAGTCTCAGTGCAGACCTACAGAAAACACATGCCTGCCTCTATACTTGTATTGCATAGCAACAGAATAATTCGTTGTGTTTAGTGACCTGTTGCCTAGTAGTGGGTTGATACATCACAATATCATGTACAGAACATGAACAATACAGACATAAAAAGTATAATATTTTTTTCAGATTATTCATGGGGAATATTTTAAAAAAATATTATTTGTAATGAGACTTGACTGTACTAGCACAGTTCCATAAATAGAAGACAAAACAGGAGTACAGGGAAGTTCTTTGTTGAACAGTTCATGGTGACAGGTGCACCGCCAGATACAAATTTTGCCAATGAATCAATATGCCTGTTGGTCAATAACGTTCAGAATGAAGTAGTTACAGTTCACAGATCATAGGAGGTGTTGAAATTGCTGTCCTGCTACACCTAGACATTCCTTACACTGGTAGAAGAGGTTCTGGTATACACCTGAAAGCTGTTCTGCAGGAATATTTGCAATTTCCCTGTAGATACTTTCTTTTAGTCCTTTTCCAAGTTAATGTTGTAAACTGTCCTTTAAACAATCCCAGAAGAAAAAATCACACGGATTAAGATTGGGTGAATATGCTGGCCAAGTACCACTGCTGATAATTCTGTCCTTGAAGACGTCGGACAAAGCCTGCATAGACACGTGCAGTGTGGGCAGTAGCAGAGTCTTGCTGAAACCAGCCACAGGGTCTTTCTTCTTCTGTTAACTCTGGACAGAATTGCCCAAGAATGACTTGTACATATCTTTCTGAATTAAATGTCTTGTTAAAACGCACAGGTACAACAATCCTTGCACTTACAGCACACCAGACACCAACTTTCAGTGGCTGGACCAGCATTTCATAGTTAGATGTGGATTCTGTGAACTCGAGTAGCAAATATTTAGCATAGTTATGTATCCCTGCATGTGAAACCATGCTTGATCAGAAAAGGATGTCAGTGTGGATAGATCTCACCCTCGACGACAGACTATAGAAATCAACTGCATAATGAACCCTAGCTGGATTGCAAGGCTGCAAGGTATGGATATGTGTTGTTTTATAGGGTTTCCAGCTTCAGCAATTGTGTTGCCATTCCTACACTACACTTTGACACTCCAGTCTCTTGAGCTAGATGTTTTGGTGATCTGCTAGGTGTATATTCAAGCCTGGCTCCTATGTCATCTAACGTCTCCTCAGTAAGCAATCGACACTTATGTTTTTGTTTCTGGTCTCTTAAAGAGTCCTGCTGATCTGGGTTCATTCACCAAATTTTGAATTGTTTGTCTGCTGGGAACTCTCTCATTGTGAAATTTCTAGCAGATCCATATTTCATGTAGGTGTCATACAGAAGTACACATTGCTCTAAAATATACCACACCATGACATAACACACTGTTCACTAATTGTAACAGAACAAACAGCTAATGTTGCTAATAACTACGGTCCACTGCTGTCAAATCATAAACAAATTCCTATGCATGAACTGCACTGCTCACTGTGAAACATAATACCCTCAACTGGTCCACAAAGTTAATAACTTCCCTTCATTCCAAACATTATCGGCCATCAGGCATACCGACTAATCAGCAAAATCTGTATGAACCTTCCAGCCAGCGGTGCACCAGTTTACTTCCCTGTAGGATAGTCAGGACACTGTTTCTGCAAGTTTTGGTTTGAGTTTCAAATATTAAAATTAAACAGGTGGATCTATTTTTAATTTAAAATTACTCTGGGGGCCTACTGGCAGCAAGGAATCACATTTGACCACTGGACACATCTGGGGACAGACTTTTCTGTACACAGATCAGTTTAGATTTGGGATTGTGACAAAATACCAAATATATGTAATGCTGTAGTCACAGTTTGCTTATCAACAGTTTCCTTTCAAAAACGTTATAGTTGTGAGGATCAGGATGGGTTAGGAAGTAGGACTTTCTCAAGCACAGTAACTGCCCCTCAATTTTACTGTTCCTTTGTGTTGCAATTTACAACCTGAACGATGTGACAGTAAGAGAATAAATGTGAAGTGTTATGGGCAAAGACAGATTATTTCTGAGACCTAATAGAGACAGAAGGATGATTCTGATCACCCTAGCATGAAGTACCCACAGTGTATACAGTTTTGGAAATGTACACATATCATACTTTCAGTGCACCCATTTTATTATTACCCCTTGGATTTTCAAATCATGAATGCTAACTTTCGATGGTCTCTCATAAACAGTGTAAGACAGGCAGGATGGATGAGAGGTAGTACAATGAGTCCAACAGTTCACGAGTTATGAAATGACATACCATAAAAATTCCTTTTGGTGAACTGTCTTGAGCAGAGGAAGACATGTCAGAAAAAAAAATGCCTTGTTCTTCTCTATGACTTATCTCCAAAATATTTTCACTCAAATAAATACTTAGCATGGTATGCTAGAGACATGCATACAAATGCATCTTGGTCTACATGTATAGAGGCCATCATTAGTGTAAAATTTTAACCCAAACTGGAATATGCCAGCAAACTGTAGTAAATTCCCCAACACGAAATGTCATGAAAATCCATTCAGCCATTGGCAAGTTGCTGCATGTGAATATGCCAAAGCTTCAATGTGTATTTTTGGACTTTCCATTGTACATGCACCAAAATACACTGAGGGTAATTGAGAAAAAAATATTCTTGCAAAAACTGAATGGAGAAGGAAGTCAGATATTATGGGAGGATTAAAATTCAAATTGCTACTTCATAATACAGTAAAAGAGATGAATAACCATTACCTAAACCTCAGTTAAGATCCAAAATATCCAATTTCATGTTTTATATAAGGAAAAATGTCCTTTGTTGGATAACACTGACTAGTCTTCTAGGCAGTAGCAGCTCACATGAACATGGCAGGAAAGACAAAGTGCTTCACAAGCAGGCATACAAGTGTTTCTGATAATAGTGTATTCATCTTTTTCTAGACTGGTGTGGTCCAAAATATATGTCTAGTGCTTCACAAATCTCAGTGTGAATATTACAAAATGTAACCAGAATCAAAGAAATGATTTTGGAAGTTGAAAGAGATAAGAAGAGAATATTTTATCTGCTGTTGACCACAACTATAATTTCACCCAAGCACCATACTTACTGCTGCCTGGGGCTGGTATAATAGGCCCATTTGATACTACAGTATGAAAGGACTAAACCTCATACCACTTCTTTAAAAAGAGCACAGTGTCCAGCACATGATATAATTTAATTTCAGTCATAAACACTTGCCATTTCCCTTTGTTTATAAATGCATTTTGGTGCAATCTGCCATAAGCATCACACTGTATAAGTATACAAGGTGCATGGAGGTAAAGTATCATACATTCTAGACCTTCATTTACCAGATAACCTCTGCAAACATCCACTGTGCAATTTTTACAACTCTGTGTCTTATAAAACAATTACATACAGTGTTATTCCTTCATTTTATCGGAGTCCCATAGCACCTGCATTATACTGGGCTTCACTGTAATTATTTTTGCATTCACACAAATGCATATTAGGAATGCAGGCTGTACATCAAGTCTAGCTATACATTAATACATGCACAAAACATAAATACAAAACTAGGTAACAATATATGACTACCGACGGCGAGGCACAGCTGATTGCTGGGAGTAAAGAAACTTGAAGCCAATCCAGATAAGAAATGACACTAGTCCAGTGCAGCACAGTCCTGCAACTGCTCTCAGTTTCCAGTGGGCTTTGTAGCTGCGCAGAATATATAGTATCTGCAGGACCTAGCAACAGTGTATATTAATACATCAGGACATTGAAACAAGATGGCAAATTACATGCTAGGTGCTCTAGTAGAAAATATTTTTAATCTGTATATACTACAAAAGATTGTGGTGAGGAAGAAAATGCTGTAAACAGGAAACAAAATAAGTAAAGATCTGTTTGGAAATTAACAGAGTTGAATCTCCTGGTTCTATAACTACAGAGACTGTCATGACCAGCTCAATAACTATTAGCAAAAACCTTACATAATGAAGCTTCATAAAGTGGTGAAAGCACTGTGTTCAGAGCACATATAATATTTTGATAAAGACAGTGGTCAGATTCAAACCAAGGGTCAGTGTATGTGCATACCTGTTCACGCGTGTCCTGTATTGTGCCCGAGTTCTCTACAACAAAGTGTGCTTGCTCACATTTACGCTCCAGAGACATCTGAGCACTGATGCGTTTCTTGGCTTTGGATTCTGACATGGAGTTCCGTTCCATCAGTCTCTGAAGTTGCAGATCTTCCTCGCTGCAAGCATCATCCCCCATTATAACATTGACAATCTACAGCAGTAAGTAAAATCAAAACTCAGGTTTGTCACCAATCTTCAGCTACAAAAGCAACTTTACTTCAAAGGCAGTTTTCTGTAATCAACAGGGGGCCAAAATCAGTTGACTTCCATAAACTCAGCATATTGTTTAATGCACAGTGACACTGCCAGCTATGGTTACATGGATGGGAAGAGCTATTCTAAGAATTCATCAAAGATGATGCCTCTTTCTATTGCATTCTAGGAATAAAATTTTGGTTGCAGATAATATTTAGAAACTCACCATGTAACAACTATTATCTTATACAAATAATCCAACATGCTTCCTGATTCAAAGAGGAGTGGCAGATCCATCACAATGAACTGATGACCTGAAAAATCATAAAGTAATGTAGTATGTTTATACGTTAACTCCTGATAAAGTCCATGGTACAAGATCTTCGTGAGCAGTTCCCAGTTACGGAGTTGCCCAAAAAGTTCCATGCCCTTATTGGCCCTGTGGATTCATTATGACCAGCACAAAATGCAGGTACTGGACAACAACCTGAGAGATTTCAGTCCAGTGTACACTGTCACAACCAACTTCCTAAGATGAGTTTCAATACTGTCCTACTTTTTATATATAAGTTTTTCAAGTGGTCTCTTCCCTTGATATTTTCCAACAGATATTTTGTAATATTTCTTCTTGTTTCCCCCATATGCACTACATGTCTTGCCTCTTCAATCCTACTTGATAAAATCAGCACAGCAACATTAAGTGATGATAAAAAACTGTGAAGCTCCTCAACATGTAATTTTCTCAATTCTCCTATTATATTAATGCCCTTAGGTCCAAATATTATTCTCAGCACTCTGTTGTCAAACATCTTCACACTCTGTTATTCCTTTGGATTAGAAGACCAATACAATTAAAATAACTGGTAACACTAGGTATGAGTTGTCAAGTGCCATTGCAAACGGTTTTGCAGCTTTTGACATCTAATGTGATATAAACTAAAAGAAAAGCATCATAATAGCCAACATATGTTACTGCATAAAGCCAACAAAGAATGTGCATATCACTTGTCAGGTACTGAAACACATCTGGTGACATGCAGCAAATTCCTGTGTTCATATACACAGATCCACTAACTCAATAAACAAGAATAAGTTTGATTCTGTAGTTCTCACAGTGGTGACCATAAAGAATAGCAACACCTGGAATGCAATGACTTATAGTCCAGTAGAAGTTCAATACTTTGGGTTAACCTCTACCTTCTATGTTAAAATACAGATTTCTATAAAATATTCATTCATTGTTTCCCCAGTATGTACACAAACGTACTTGATTTGTGTTTCTGATCAGTGATTGCACTGATTTGCTATTTTAACATTATCATTATATGCACTGACTTCTTTTTCATAGAGTACATCAAAATTTTCATCACAATCCATCCCACGAAACAAGATAATCAACTAAGCAAGCATATGACTAACCACTGGAAGAGTCTATAATGAGGCCATGGACAGAAATCCCATGAACTGACCCCCTTCACATCTCCCTAGAGCTATTACAATTCCCTTTTCAGCATACTTCCCTACATTTCCCTTCATTAGTCCAGCCATTCTGTTCATAAAAATACTGGGAATGATAATCTTCACAAGTGACAAGTGCTTTGGGCTGGTTTATACATACCAGAGAGGTGGGAGTCTCAAGGGTCATCCAAGGGCCTTACTTTTGCAAACTCAGTTTAATAACACATAGAAATGATTAACAAACTACTACCATGCATCTGTAAAACTGGTATATAGTTCTATCTTTATATACTCAGGTACTCCTTGTCATATGTGAATTGGAAAAATGCAATTCCATTTTAATATCATCAACTAATTTAGAGCAATTTCAATTAATGGTGTTCATTCAATGTGTACTGTCTGTTGACCAATCAAGGGAGGTGGGAAGAAAGATGAATAGATTACTGTGTGTTTGGGGAGGAACGTGAGGCAAGGAGGAAAAACTATCATTGTGATTTCAACCTCTGTGACTTTTTTGGAACATAATTACTGCATATAACTTCTTCGTTTGGTTTCCATCTCAATACAACTATCAAAATCTCACTGTGTATGATGAGTTTACAGGTCTTAAGACAATGCGCTACATGTTTCGGCTTACTGGTCTTAAGACAATGTGCTATATGTTTCAGCTTATAAAGTCATTATCAAGCAGTACACATTAATGAATATTATTGTATAAATCAAAGAATATCTGCACAGTGAAATCTGTTCACTATTGCTACAAGCTGACCACGTGTCATAGTTGGTTGCAGTTTTATGAAACAGGCAAAATGGTATTAATTTACATATGACATTTAACTTGGCATCCTCTCCACCTTTTCAGTTTTATGCTATGGTCCTGTATTTATATCAGTCTTTCCATGTTAGTTACAAATAAAAATTACTGATTTCTCATACTAGACTGTACAGGTGAAAACCTTTCTACAGCTGTCCTTTGTGTGTACAGCACCCGACGAGCATTCTATCCCCTTTTCTAAGGCACATACAGTTAAAATCCCATTACTCTGTGTATTCTCTTGCTATTCAATTTCCCATACTGCATTTTGTACTTCTGAGTGTTCATTAAAATTCATAAACAGAAACACCTCTTTCACATTCATTTCAGGCCTATTACTTGAATACATGAGTATAGCAGTCTGCTCAGTAGCCAGCCCACTCCCCTTCCAAAAAAAAAAGCAGCATCAGCTCCAAAGACAAAATTAAATTATTATAAAAGATTATTAATGCCGTCAAGTGTGATTGATAAAACTGCTCTGATGTAACAAGAGAACAGATAGCTGGTCCCAAGAACATGAGTGATTGTGGATGGTGGGACACAGTTAACTGCTCCACATACCAATAACTCTTACAACATAATAGTTAAGTGTGTAGTCACTAGACACATGAATAGGTTGGCCAACACAGGCAGTTTTTATCTTGCAGTATATGTATGGCACTGATAACTTTTAGTTTTACAAAACGTTTATTTTTAAACTATTCTTTATATATAGTATTCCAATGAATAAAGAAGTACCAAAAAACAAAACTAGTATAAAATACATAAATATCTACTGGGCTATCACAACTCTTAAATCCAGTTACAAGTAAGAATTATAATAATTCATGATTCTCAACTGAATAAACTGAATCATTTAACTATTCCAGTTGTGTATATTCCCATATGTTAAATTTATAATTAAGAAATACAATATATTAATATATTTAATGTAATTAACACATAATAATCTAATTTGTTGATGTTGCCAGTTCTTGACAATTATTTCAGTAACTGAATACACACCAGGATGCATCACAGTAAACATATTTTGAATATGGCATAATTTTTTGATACTACAAGCCAGAATCTCACTGCCATCTGTGAGTTGACTGTCTGGCCTTGACCTCTCACAATCCTATGGGTCTCCATAGCCTGTTACAGGGATAGCTTTACCTTTATCTTACCTATAAGCATATACATTTGTAAATTTTAAGGACACATATGTATAGCATGTACACTGTAACAAACAAGCTAACTTGCCTTGGAAAAAGCATTTGACAGCTGCCCAGAACATTTCACTGTAGATTTCTGGGTGTGTAATTTCATTCAGTTTCCTCCTCTTCTCAACACTGTCAAAGATGATTTCTCCAAGGATTTCACGATTAAGTTGCCCATCCTTGTGAAACACAGCATCACCAAACTCCTTCTTTATCAGACGCCATGCTTTCCTTCCAGGCTCAACAACTGAAACATTTCAGNAATTAGTTAGATATTCTTATTTATGGAGAATTTGATGGAATGAACACTTCACAGATACAGCTGTTTTTAATCTGTGGGTAAGAGTACAGACTATATTGGAGGTCTCCATAAGATAAGCCATGTTAAACTAACCTAACCTGGAAGGAACAGACTTGATAAAAATATCTACAATGTTACAAAATTGGACATAAACATAAACTCATTATTACTGTTCCTAATATAAGAAAATAATTCACAGGTCCAATTCTGACACAGTCATTTTAATGGGAAGAACTATTATCACTGTCCAAATATTTGGCAAATAAACATAAATCATGCAGTAACAAATTCATGCTATAAGAACAAATGTTACAGAAGGCCAAGGTATAATTAAGGACCACAAAACAGTTTTATTTTTACAACATCATTTGCTGCACCACTTAATTCCATAATGACTTCTGCAGGAGGTTCAAATCCAACATCAACATGTCTATTGATTTGTAACACAAGTCTGATGTTATTTAAAGAAAGAACATTTCATTCGTTAAGCAAATCTGTTAAATGTATGGCAAAATTACAGAAACGTATGTTAACTCCACAGTGTTACTACATAAAATACTACGATGGAGTAAATCTAAAAGAACAATATGGGCTGAGTGGAACCTACAGCATATTTTAACCTGATGTTATTCCCATTCATCTGGAAGACACAGCGATCTAACGTAACTACATTTACACGAATTACGCACCTTTCCTGGCAGCAACATCAGCATCAATTACAGGAATGCCATATTCCCTGAAAACGTCACAGACAGTACTCTTTCCTGTCGCTATGCCACCTGTTACCCCAACTATGAACATTTTTTCTACCGATGAGTTTATGTAACTTCTAGCATACAATACCGAACCCTAATACACAACTCCTATTACATCCAAAATAGCCACCTAAAGGCCATTCAGCTTCTGCACCACATTTCTGTTCACAGATGTTCACATCACATCATACAACACCAACACTAAACCACAACTCACTGGTTTCACTGTTCGTGAACGGTCGTGAAATGTCCTATGCGGTCCTATGTATGCTATGTATTCTATGATCAGCTGATTAGAGTACTGCCAACGTTAAGGAGGTTAAGACAAATATCCTGCCTACGGCCCAAAGCGCTCAAAGGTCGATTAATTTGTCATGTTTCAAATGTGAATAGGAGTCATTAGAGTCAGAGTCAACATTGAAAAGTATTCATATTAGTGTTCGAGCTGCTATTCTCTGGGCGGTAACTATGAAGAGTACTGTTTGCTGCCATGTGATACGGTGTAGGCTAGTGCAGATTTACTGACGTTTCGGATATCGTCCACACACATCGACGTGCGTGGTCGAAGAGTAAACCGAGAAAGCTCGAAGCAAACAGCAATAATCGTGAAGACCGTGAAGACCATTCTGTTTATCATATTTGGTACCCCTATTGAAATAATTGTGTGACAGTTGTGTTCGGTTGTGTTTATGTACTGTCGACGAGTAATGGGAATGGTCCAGGCATATATTTTCGTTATATTATGGCGACAAATAAAAGGGATGTAACGAGGCTGCCTCACCATGCCGCTTTGGAATTGTGTACGACAAGACCACAGTATAGACAAGGCAGAAAACTTACAGCAGTTAAGGTAGAAGACAACTGTATCCTGCATCAATGATTATTGAAATTTTTGATAACGTTTTATCGCAGCCTAACTGATAATTTTTTGAATTCGGGGATCCCAGTGATACGTTTATGATGTTTTATCATGACCTAATTGATGGTGTTCTAAGTTTAGTGAGCTAATTGGTAGTTGATATTTATCTATATTCGGTGAGCTCGCAGTTCGTATGGGTTGGGTTGGTTTTTATAGTTACTCATCTAATTTCGTTATGTTTTAGAAGTGGCTTTTTCACTTTTCAGCAGTGACAGTTCGTGAAACCAAAATAATGAATACTAGAATGAATAAGTGTGTATGTCTCTCATAACCTTGTTTAAAGCAAAATGAAAAACGGTTACTAGTTTCACTTTCCATATAGACATTACTCTTGACACGATTCAATGATAACAGTGATGATAGCCACAACACAAGTCTACCCATGTGATATGCACAAGTATTGCAGTATATAAAAAATATTGGCTAAGCTACCAAAACTCAATGTAAAAAAGTATAAGTAGATCAAAGCAAAGTAAACGTACCCTAGTCTAAGTGCCTTGCAGAGTCTTCTTGCATGTGCATCATACCATCTGGTTGTCACAGATTCTCTGCCAAGTCTGCAACGTCCATAAGCTAGGTAGGTCTGTTGTCTTTTGCGGGCTATTAGAACAAGCTTGTCTGCTCAGCAGTGAGGCAACCAATGCCATTGCTAAGAAAGATGTTTTGCATGGAGACCAGGTATCAGATCAAGTAATGGGCAGTGGTGTCCATGCCTATCTTTGCACTTTTCAGCCTTTTTGGCAAGACAAGGGGAGCAACACAAAGCAGCAGACTGTGAGCAGTGAGAGCATCTGTTTAGGTGCGGCAGTCGTCAGCAGCATCAGAAGAGGAAAGATATGGTCACATCTTCAGATTTGTCACACTCGCTTAAGAGGCAGACATTTGTTGTGTGGTGATCCACCACCCATTATTCTGTACTATAGTGTATGCTGTACTATTTCCAATATTCTGGTCAAGTGTCAGTTTTATAATGAATGTCATACATTTCACTACATCCTTGACAATGAACACAGTGGAATGTATGGCATTCTGGCATTCATAAACAATATAGGTCTTACAAAGTATGAGAGCTGATTAGAAAGAAATCTCTGGTGAGCTGTTAATGAAACAAGCAATGAGAAAAAATATTGTACACAAAAAAGATATGTACATATTTAAGCTCCTCAACATAGTCACCTCCAGAATTGAGGCACTCGTGGTACTGGGGAATAAGTTTTTGTATGCCTGTGTCAAAGAAGGTGCCTGTGAGCTCAGCCACATTTTCACAACTTCCATCAGCTCCTCATTATGGTTGATGCAATGTGATCTCACCCAGTTCTTCAGACAGATAAACAGGTGGTAGTTGCTCGGAGTGAGATTAGAGCTGTAAGGAGGGTGGTCAAACAACTTCCAGTTGAAATGCTCCAGCAGTGCTAGAGTGCAAGCAGTGTGTATGGACATGTATTATCATGGAGCAGTACTACATCAGATGTCATTCTCTGCCTTTGGTTCTGAAAGGCCCCATGCCATTTTTTTAGTGTTTCATAATACAAAATGTGGCCGAGCTCACAGACAGCAGACTTCTTTGACACAGGCATAGAAAAGCTTATTCCCTGATATGACAAATGCCTCATTTCCAGTGGTGACTACATTGAGAAGTAACTTAAGTGTGTACATATTTTTTGTCTATAATAGTTTTAATTCTTGTTGCTTGTTTTGCTAACAGCTCACTGGAGCCTATTTTCTGATTAACCCTTGTATGCCATACCATTTTATGTAAATTTTGTGTTCAGATCTTCTACAACTGCAGAAGTATTTGTATCCATGATATTTTATTAGCAAAGTTTTTTATACACAATTTCAGTTATTGCTGTATGACCTGATAACTTTATAGCACTTTGAGTATATGGCTGGTGTGAAATTAGCAGTTTGCTTTTAATGTTTTTATCAGGCTATTTCACTGGTATATATTAATTTTAGGACATGCTGGATTAGAGATTTGCATATGATGGCCAGGTTTGCAGATGTGTCTATAAGTCCATGGGCACACAGACTTACCCAAACTTTGGGATTTCCAGTGGAGGCGTTTCTATTTTAGGCAGATTATGTATCCTTGGATTCAGTAAATAATGACTATCTTTTGTTCAGAAATGATTTTTAAGTCATGAATACTGTGCTCTTGTAAAGCCTAATATGATATTAGCATAGAAATCTGAAATTGGAGTGTTGGCTTTAATTTGTATAAATAAACATTGAACCTTCACCTGATCAACAATAGCAGGTTCTGGTCATTGCTATGGCATTCATTGCTTATGGTCTGCCCTGTCTCACTCTGCTGGTAGTTCCCTGGTCTGCTGGCACTTCTAAATAACAGTTTTATCATCAGCTTTATGTTATACTTAATTTAGGGTAAGGTCTGTAAGTTGGTGATGATGTATCTTAATACGGTTGTTGAGTTTTTGGATGTTGTCCATTATCCAGTTTTTTTATTTAAAAAACATAACGTTTCAGAGACTGGATTCTGTCTCCATCTTCAGGTAAATGCCCACTCAGTAGGGTTGAATCAATAGAGCTAGTCCTTATCTCCAAACCATTGTGTTCAAAATAAAATATAGAATGATGGATGTCTAAAAACTCAGTGATTATATTAATTTATGGTGTTAGTAATGTAAACTTTAATTGTTGAAATATGCTATCATTATTATTTTGTGTGTTATTTTCTACAATTCTCATATCATCATTGTCACCCCTGTACATGATAATTCATATTTTTAGCATAGTCATTTTGTTGAACAGTAAATGAGATCACAAAGTCCACAGTGCTTTCTGCAGCTGTTCATTACAATGAAAAGAATCGGCTCTGCCAAACAAAACCTCTTTTGACTTGATACAGACCATTCCATTTTACATAGTTGAACCAGGGACTGCATCCTAAAGATATACCATTATCTCATTAAAGTCATAAATTTGGATAGACGTTTATAGATGTGTTAAAACGATTTGAAAGGGGCAGTTATATTTGGCCAACATACTTGACGTATCTGTCATGACAGTATGAGTAGGCATGGCAGACAAATATATGAATATTCTGTGTTACTTGTTCATATAGCGAATGCTTAACATGACATGTACAATGACAATTTGATTAGTGCTCTTGCTTTCTGCTGAATATGTTCCTTGACATACCAGCTGTAAGTAGTGACCCCTGCAGGTGTATACAGTAAACAGTGAATCCCAGCATCTTTTGGTGTGTGGAGTTCCTTCATTGGGCCTTCAAGATGAACTGAGGCGACTCTGTGCAAGGTTTGGCGATGTCAAGTCATTGGTGTTTGTTCCAAATTATGCAGAAGAAAAATTCACAGATGTTTACCATGTTCAGTACTCCAGGATCCAGTCAGCCAGGTAACATTATTTGTCTGTGTATTGTTCTACTGAAAGACACTACAATGTTAGAATGATTGGAGATCAAGTAGGGTACTGGGGAAGTACTTTGTTTCTCTGTTAACTCCAGAGTTTCAAGAAGGGGCAGAATTTTAAATTATTTGAGAACAAAATGCTGAGGAAAATATATGTTCCTAAGACATGAAAAATAAAGGAAAAGGAAATATATTACATAAAACAGAACTTAATTTTTCATGTTTCACCTTCCTCTGATTTGCCATCACTGCTTCGTAACTTTTGCAGTCAAAATATATGCCTTAAGAAATGTAAGAAACACTCACTTTAATTGGCCAGAGTAGCAGAAGCAAATGTTATTAATTTACGTTACTCACTTTAATTGGCCAGAGTAGCAGAAGCAAGTGTTATTAATTTACGTGATTTTTCTCAGTCCCGTCAGGACTATCTGGAATACTGCCTTAAAATACGTTATCCTTACAAGCCTGTTATTTCGTTTCTCATTCATTGCCATGTAACCTTTGAAGTTGGCAGAGCACTATAAACCAAACAGGAGGTAGACAATATTAGGATAATTTAATGGAGGAGATTGAATTGATCTGGGTGTGTTGCATAACAGAAAGAGTATACAGCATTTTTTATGAATTCTACATGCAAGGGCACAGTTGAGAACTAGATGCTAATCAGAAAATAATGTGGAACTTCTTCTACTGATATGACATTAACTAAACCAGGAAGGAAAGTAAAAATGCATACACAGATTTTAAGAACTTTTTTGCAGTTTGTGGCTCCCATGCGTGTTGATACAAGCGTTGATATATGCATCATGATATACTGTTATGATGCAGATAGCAGCATGTATGGATGTTTCAAGAGACATGTTTCAATATCCCATTGTAGAAGAGATGTCATGAGTCCTAGAAGCTGGCACCAAAACATGTATCAGCATGTGTGCAACTCACTGAAACAAGTTTAATTCTCATGAAACACATTGTGATGCACAGTGCTGCCACTTGTATCTTCTGCAGGTATGCAAAACGTAATCTGGATGACAGAGCCTTTTATGGTGGCATTCTGTCTGTTTGCTACGCACCTGAGATGGAATCTGTGGCAGAAACCCGAGCAAAATTGGTGCAGAGGAGGAAAGATATAGCAATAAGGACACGGGGAGAAGTTGCTTCTTGGACTCTGCAGGGTAAGCTTATCAAGAAAAGTTCCATTCCTTCACCTATTGTTTATGCTGATTAGTTCAGATGTAGTTACTGTAAGTTTCTATCGTAGAGGTGCCCCCCTCATCTTGATTGTATAATTTTATTATATGTCATTTAGATAACTAAGAAGAAATAGAATGATTAGTATCCCTCTGATAACCAAAATATCCATCTTTTTTGAATGAGTCAGTCTGCAATATAAGGATGATACTTGGTGTTGTTGTCTTTAGCTGTATTTGATTTGGGATGATAAATTGATTTCATTTCTTACATGTACTTAGGTGGGTGACAATAGACCTCTGGTTGTTTATACTGTCTGCTAACTGTGTAAGATTTTATTATTCCATGTTTCACTTTTACTAATTAAAACATATAGTAAAGACTATATAGCTAAATATTTTTATGCTAATTGTCCTATCCAGAATGGTCTAAAACTAGGAGATGCTTTATTGCCACTCCTTTTCAACTTTGCTTTAGAATATGTCATTAGGAAGGTCCAGGGAAACCAGGTGGGACTGAAATTAAATGGGACACATCAGCTGCTGGTCTGTGCTGATGATGTTAATCTACTGGGTGACAATATAGATACTGTAAAGAAAAACAGAGAAACTTTAATTGGTGCTAGTAAGAAGGTTAGTCTAGAAGTAAACAGAGTAAACTTGTCACCAGAATGCAAGGCAAAATCATGACATAAAGATAGGTAACAGATGTTTTGAAAATGTGGCACAGTTCAGATATTTGGGAACGGCTATAACAAATCAAAACCTGATTCAGGAGGAAATTAAGATGAGAGTGAATGCAGGTAATGCTTGCTACCATTCAGTTTTGCCTTCATGACTGCTGTCTAAAAACATAAAAATTAGAATACACAAAACTGTAATTTTTTCTGTGGTTTTGTATGGGTGTGAAACTTGGTCACTGATCTTAAGGGAGGAACATAGACTGAGGGTGTTTGAGAACAGGGTGTTGAGGAGAATATTTGGACCGAAGAGAGATGAAGTGACAGGAGGTTGGAGAAAACTGCATAATGAGGAGCTTCATAACTTGTACTCTTCTCCAAGTATAATTAGAATGATCAAGTCAAGGATGGCGAGATTGGCAGGGCATGTAGCACAAATGGAGGCGAAGAGGAATGCATATAGGATATTGGTTGGAAAGCCAGAAGGAAAGAGACCACTGGGAAGACCAAGGCATAGGTGGGTGGACAGTATTAAAATGGATCTTAGAGAGATAGGAAGGGATGGTATAGATTAGATAGATCTGGCTCAGGATAGGGACCAGTGGAGGGTTCTTGTGAACACATTAATGAACCTTTGGGTTCCATAAAATGCTGGGAATTTCTTGAGTAGCTGCACAATTGGTGGCTTCTCAAGAAGGGCTCAGCTCCATGAGTGAGTGATGTTTCAATTTTTCTGTTTTCATGTTTACTCAGATTCTTATTTTCAATTATTGTTGTTAATTAATGTTCAGTTGTTATGTGGGACAGTTCTTGTATGATAAATCCATAGTGCGAAGTGTTATGTTGGTTCACAGGTAAGGGTGAGGGCATCTTCCAACAGCAGCAATATCACTGCCGGAAAAAACATTCTGCCCTGCCCATTACTGGTGAGAGTGTTGCTCAGGCTGGTAGTGCCATTGAAGGAAGCTGCATATGGCAGGGAGTCCCTTGCAGTGTAGATCCTCGGAAAATTGAACCGGCACCTGAGTTGCTTGAGGTGCGGTATCGGAATTGACACCATTTCACCATTTGAAATGGGCAAAAGTAACAGTAACTGCTGACATAGATATAAACAACCCAGTCTGCCACAGTTTCATATGTTCAGTACACAGAAATTAACGTTTCACCCTTCTGCAAATGTTTAGCCATTATATAGGAATACTCTTGTATATTTTTATCACCTTCTCAAGCTGGGAATTTAAGTTGACTGTGTTATACCTAGGAGCAGGATTTAAATCTCTGAAACTTAGCATGTTTGTAGACCCACAAAGAAATTGCAATAATTTGGAACTATTAACTCAATTTAGACAATTTTTAGCCAACTTTACTTCCTTAAAAAAGATAAAGTAAGCCAATAAGATCACTATATTTGTGTGTGCATATCCTTTTAAACATTTGAACCAGTTCATTAAATTTCAAATAATTGATATGAATATTATGCGATTGGTGGTAATCCCAGCCTTGTATGTTTTAATGACTTATGATTGGTAAAAATTGAGGGTCCTCAAATGGTGTAACAGTGTGCAACTTCTGTTAAGATAATATTTTTATGGAATGTAAAACAATAAAATGATGATTGTCTGAAATCTGATGGAAAAGCCAATGGAGCAATGGGGATAGGCACGTGAAATTTGATATGGAGATAGATCAAAACCATGCTTACAAATGTGGTATGAAATTTAGCTTATACATCAATAATTATAAATGTAGTTATGGTGCAAAATTTTGAGATGGCCAACGGTTTTAAAGTAGATGTCTGTGCATAGTTACGTGTATAAGGGAGAGTCTGTAAATAGGTCACAAATGGAAGTAAGACAGCTGTAAGGGACATAATAGGTTTTCTTTGTGTATCACTACGTAGGAGCACAGTTCAGCTTCATGACAGTCTAGGTAGCAGACGCGCATGTGCATGTTCAAAGGCTGGTTTCAGTAGTCAAAATGGCGACCGTGCTTGAGGGGTGTACTATTGAAGAGCAGAACTCTGTTCTGTGATTTTTTGTGGACAAAAGGACTCAGTGCAAAGGATATTCATAAAGAAATGTGTCCTGTTTACTGTGGGAAGTGTTTGTCATGTAAAGTAGTTCACAACTGGGCCAAGAAATTCTCTAGATGACTTGAAAGTCACATATTGTCTGAGATTTTGACAGAAGCAACTATGCAGTGGGTGGAGGAATTGATTTGAGCTAACAGGAGGATAACAACAGTATTGTAGCAACTGCACTAAGGTGTTCCCATGGTTTAGCATACAGCATAATGCCTGAATGTTTGAAGTTTCAAAAAGTGTGCACATGATGAGTGCCCACAGAACTGAAAGATCGAGGAAAAAATGAACTGAATAGGTTTTTCCTTGCAACATCTCTTATGGTATGCATATGAAGGAGAAGCTATGCTTACCAGAATTGTTACTGGGGAAGAATCATGGGTGTTATCACTACCAACCCGAATCAAAGCATAATTCAGTGCAATGGGAACATCACATTTCACCTTCAACCAAAATGCTCAAAAGTTTAGGGTTACACTGTCAGCTAGGAAGGTTATGCTTACCATGTTTTGGGATTGTGAGGAAGTACTGTTAGCCCATTTTCAGAAGCATGGTGAAAATGTGAATTCTGCATCATACTGTGAAGTTCTGTTGAAGCTTCAGGATGCAATTTGCAGAAAATGTCCAAGACAACTGACGAGAGGGGTACTGCTTCATCATGATAATGCTGGACCACATACAGCCCAAGCAACTCAGTAGAGAATTCAAGAACTACAGTGGGAACTTCTTGAACATCTACCTTACAGGCTGGACTTGGCCCCTAGTGACTTTCATTGGTTTGGTCTGCTGTAAACCACCTTGGTGGCAAACATTTCGGTGATGTTGGAAAGGTTGAAATGGAGATGCAGAAGTGGCTGAGACAGCGTTCAAGACTTCTGTGCTGTAGATTTCAGTGCACTGGTAAAGTGATGGGACAAGTATATCTCAGTGATGGTAAAGGATATGTTGAGAAATAAATGTTTTTTTCTAGGTTTGAATATCATGTTTTACATTTTATATCCATTTGTGACTTATTTACAGACTGTCCCTTGTAGTATGTCATTTCAGAAGTGAAAATACTAATATAATAGTCTGGTATTTGTGACAGAATTTGAGGGGTCTTGTACATCTTGTGGGGAAGAGGGTAGGCAGGCTAGTACTTAGATTGAATCCAGCCTAGATGACTGCCCACTTCTTCATTGTCAGTAATGTAAACATGGCCAGTTGTGAGTCACTGCCACCGCCACAACCAACATCATTATACCATAGTCATTAAGGGCTGAAGTGTAACATTATTCTCATAGGGTGTTTGAGATTTGAGTAATTTCTTTGTAAATCTGAGTGCTTGGGACGACTAAAAATAGCCCCTTCCACCCCTCAAGGTACCTTACAGTGTAATTTATCTGCAAAAAGTACTTCTCCATGAAATACATTTTGTTTTATTTGCAGCGCCTCCAATTATGATTCTTCAGTCTTTCTGGCTAGAGTATTTTCATTCTGTAGAGCTCTTCAACATTTCGTTCTTGAGAATAAAAAGAGATAAGGTATGTAGCTGAAGTTTCTGGCTTTGCTACATACTAATATGCATTGTTATGATTTTAGCCCACCAGAGTGTATGGTCCACAAAGAGCAGATGATTATTGGGCCCTAGCTGGTGTGAGGGAGCGAAGAATTGTATCAGAATGTAGCAGAACCAGACACACACCAACTGCGACCTCTAGTTTGGTGCCTCCAAACAATCTCTCTTCAGTTTTGAGGTAGAATTGTCTGTCAGGATGTGATTGTTTTCCATTCTGTGCTGCACTAAAATAATAGTAATTAAATGCCGATTTGAGTAATTTTATATGAAACTGTGAACCTACTTGTGGAACATCCTGCGTGAGGGCATGACCAGAAGTGTCAGAACATGACATGAGAACTGTTTGAAATCCAAACAAGTAACAGTGGTCAGAACTGTTTGAAATCCAAACAAGTAACAGTGGTCAGATTTTGTTGAATCCTCTAAATAAAACAGAGCACTAGCCAATGTCGTGTGCAATGTATGTTTCCAGGTTCATCCCACGACAAGTGAGCAGAAAGAGTCAGATAGTGTTTCACAGCACGGCAAGTAGTGGAGGACGAGTGACAGATGATAAAACTCCATTACTAAAGAGATCTTTGAAACGTATGGAGTCCAGTGATGTTTCAATAGATGCTAGCATAGTGGAAATTCATAAGAAAATAAGAATGGTAAATATTTTAAAGGGTTTACCTGGTTGAAGGATGATCTTGAACTTACTGACTCTCCTGGTATGAAAAGCTTAGGCAGAAGATTGTGTAAGAATTGCCTACCTTACACAATCTTTCAGTTTTATATTTTTGTGTACATTCAGGGTTGGTGGTTCATGCTATTTAATTTGTAATTGTCACTCTAAAATGCATTTTGTAGCTTTTCAGTGCTGTAAGTTCAGCTCTTTAAGTGATACATCTTTATTTTTAGTCTCACTGTTTCCAAACATATCATCTGTCCTCTTCACTCTTACAGTAAGTTTCCTTGACTCTGAAAAGTTACTTTCACCACACTTCATGCAGCAAGTATGACTGTTTAAATCTCAGTAGCATATTTATGAATACTTTTCTGCATGTTTGTGACAAGGAGTAATTCATTACATCACAGTTATGTTGAATGTCACTGTTTGAGACTTATTTCATATTGAAGTTTGGAAGTTGGCTCTTCTTCCAGCTTCAGGTGACTGGTTGTCTTTATGCTGACATATATTTTAATCATTTTTGAAAGTAGTGGCAACAGTGGCATGAGATGCAGCATCTGTTGAATAGCAAGCTTGTACGTTAACCACTGACCACTAGAGTGGCCCAGAAGTAGTTGTTATAATCCTGCTTTTGGTACTCTTGAATATTATTATTTCCTCTCTTATAGTACACACAGAGAAACATATGGAACATGAATCTAGTTTTGGTTGGTGAAATGGCATCTTCTGTTGTTCCAGTGAACACGTCTTCATGGATATATCTACTTCGTATCACTGTTTGCTGGCCCTCATTCCATGCATGCTGAACAATTATGAATGAATCTGATGCCCCCATTTTCATGTTCACTGATTTTCAATTCTGAGTGATATTTCTGTCTTACCTTTATACTTGCAGCCATGTTCATGGGGGATGTTGAATGTGCAACTGTTTAATACTCTGAATCCAAGTTTTTGGTCTGAACTTTGTGGGTACACTGGCATTTTCCATGACTTGAATTCTGTTCTTAATCTGAATTTATGCCTAATTGATATTGTGAACCTTTCTCTGATACCCCATGGTTATATGGTACTGCCACTCTTCCTTTTGTGGTTTCCTGGTTAGTCAGGTTCAGTTTATAGCTGTTAAGGAATTTGTTCATGAATTGTTAAGGTAATATACAGTTTTTTTATGGCTGTTGCTCTAGGAATAGTACCATGTCTCAAGAATGTGGTAATATTCATATGAATTAGGTGAAGAGTGAAGAAGTACCTCTAAAGACCACAATACAAAAGGATGAATAACCCTCAGAATTCTTCAAGACCATCCCAGCCAGAGATTGAATCAAACTAATCAGGAAACCCCAAAAGCAGAGTGGTAGAACCATATGTCTGTAGGATATCAGGAAAACACTATGCAGCCTGCAAATAAAGAACAAACTAAAAATTGAAATTTGGTAATAAAAGAATTGCATATACACTATATAGAGCATCCTTGCAAATGCAGAAAGGAATACATAAACAGGACAGGAAGATCACACCAACTTAAACCGGTGAACACCAATGTAATATGATAATGGAAGAAATCTCAAAATCAAAAACAGCAGAACACTTATGGAATGATGGGCATAAAAAATAACTGGACAAAACTGAGATTATTTATGAAGAAGAAAATAGCGTTGCTAAGAAACTGAAGCAGGTAGTATTCGTGATAATGATGGAAGAGGCCAACCAAATCTACATGTGAGTTCCATACGACTGACTTCCTGTACTACAAGGAAATGTTATGAAAGAAACTATTCTGGAGCTGCCCATGGTCCAGTAGTATACAGGCCTAGCGTTCAGAAGGTGCTTGGTTTGATCTTTACTCTTGTCACTGATAATTGCTCTAGAAAATATTAGTATAAAGCCAACCAGTTGCCTAAAGATGGGAGTCAAACTACTTTCTGAAATGTTGAAATACTGTATGCAAGGCAGTGGACAGTATGGAACACAATTGAATTGGTTAGTTAAAACTGGGAGCGTCTGCTTTTTCAGCTTTTGGAAAAGATATAATAATTATGAATGCCATCCATCATTATTTTCTTTGTTGTAGGACAGTGTGCCCAGTGTGCAGTTAACCAACAGGGAAGATCCCCTAGCAGCAAAATGATGAAGACTAAGCTGAAATTACCGGAAACAAATGATTTGTACAGAAAATTTAATTATGTAATTCATAGCATCATGAGGTTATGGTTCCTCCAGATTACACTGTAACTTCACATAATACTTCAGCTGAACCAAACGTTTTTACACAGATGTGTTTCTTATTTTAATCATTTAAAATAATCAGAAATAATTCATTTGCAACTATTTTTAAAAGTTATTTACATATGAAAGTCACATTAAAATATGCTGAATACTTGTAAAATTCAGCAATACTTTTGGGAGAGGATCCAATTTACTTACTTACTCATGGAGCTGAGCCCTTCTGGAGGAGCTGCCAATTTTGCAGCTACTCAAGAACTTCCCAGCATTTTATGGAACCCGAAGGTTCGTTACCATGTTCACAAGAGCCCTGCACTAGTCCCTATCTTGAGCCAGATCAATCCAATCCATGCCATTCCATCCTATCTCTCTAAGATCCATTCTAATATTGTCCACCCACCTATGCCTTGGTCTTCCCAGTGGTCTGTTTCTTTCTGGCTTTCCCACCAGTATCCTATATGCATTCCTTGTCTCCCCCATTTGTGCTACATGCCCTGCCCACCTCATCATCCTTGACTTGATCATTCGAATTATACCTGGAGAAGAGTGCAAGTTATGAAGCTCCTCATTATGGAGTTTTCTCCAAATGCCTGTCACTTCATCTCCTTTCGGTCCAAATATTCTCCTCAACACCCCCAGTCTATGTTCCTCCCTTAATGTCAGAGACCGAGTTTCACACCCATACAGAACCACTGGCAAAATTATAGTTTTGTATATTCTAATCTTTATGTTTTTGGACAGCAGACGAGAAGACAAAAGGTTCTGGACTGAATGGTAGCAAGAATTACCCGAGTTCAATCTCCTCTTAATTTCCTCCTCAATCAGGTTTCGATCTATTATCGTTGTTCCCAAATATCTCAATTGTGCCACATTTTTCCTATCTTTATATCATGATTTTTCCCTGCATTTTGGTGATGAGACAGCAACATATACTTAGTTTTCTCAGTGTTTACTTCTAGACCAACCTCTTGTGTTAATTAAAGTCTGTGTGTTTTTCTTTATGGTATCTACATTATCACTCAGTAGATTCACATCATCAGCATAGACCAACAGCTGATGTATCCCGTTCAATTTCAGTCCCACCTGGTTTTCCTGGACCTTCCCAGTGACATATTCTAAAGCAAAGTTGAAAATGAGTGGCGACCATTCTGGATAGGAAATTTATCAGACAAATGTTTACCTACATGGACTTTACTATACATTTCGTTTAAACACATTTTAATCAACCTAACTAGTTTCATGGGTATCCCAAACTCTATCAGACTATTGTACAATACTTCCCTCCTAACTGAGTATCCTAACATTGTGGAAATGGCAGTTAACATATTGATGGCCTTCTCATATACAGAACTTTGCCACATTTATGGCTTACTAGTGTCAAGGATAAAGACCATGAGCATTTGCCAGGTATTTGGAAAGAAATAGAAATGTAAATCTGTTTAGTATCACCTGCATAATTTCCCTCCACACACACACACTCTTTTTACCTCATAACAGGCGAATGTTATACAGATGGATTTTTTTAACAAGCTGTTATGCAGTATATAAAAAACTACAACACTTCTGGAATATTTATCCCTCGCTTATACATATGCTTTTTTCCCCCCCCCCCCCTGTTTACACTTTCTGCAGTTGTTATTCGAAGTAAGTTTAATTGTGAATAACTGTTATATACCTCTACCTCTAGTGAATGTGAAGGTTTGCTTTATCTAATCAAATTCTGTATTTTGAATCTCATGATGATGTGAAGAGCATTTTTAGTTGACCTACATGTTGATTCTTATAACATCCACCAAAACTGCAACACCCTCTGAGAACCGCTGTCAGATGGAGTATCGTATTTTGCATATAATAAATGTAATATATCCTGATGACTAAAAGATTAAAACATGTCTCTGCAATAAAACATTATACATAAAACTAAAATCTGTGTTGTGAAGCTGGAATATCGTTTATGCTGTTAAGTGTTAGAGACTAGATATGGAGTTTGGATTTATTGAACATTTACAAACCTAAACTACAATTATAATGCTCTCACTATTTCACACACTCTGCTTCTCACTACAGCATATGCTATGTCTTCTCAGTTTGTTGTTTTCACCAGCTGCTGCCAATCTTTAACCATTTCACAGCTCAGAACTAACTCATTACTCTGTCATCTCAACTAACTTTCAACTAACTCACTAGCCCCATTGGTTCTTATTATGTAGCCTCAGGTCAGACAACACAAAAAAGACTCTCCAGGTGTTCTTCTATTTGCTTAGTGGGGGGTGGAGTCCAATTGGGTCCACTTGGCATAGCGGCCACTGATTGGCCTGTTGTACCTGCTCCAGGTGATTATGATGGAGAATTTGGTGGAACGAAGAGTGGCAGGGGAAACTGAAGTACTTGGAGAAAACCTGCCCCAGCACCACTTTGTCCACCACAAATCCCACTTGACCAGACCTGCGCCGCCGCGGTGGGAAGCCAGCGACTAACCACTTGAGCTATGGCACGGCCTAGCTGTTTATCCACTGCTGTAGAAATATGTTTATCCAGCCATTGCTTTGCAACAGACAATCTCTTCTGGCTCTGTATTCCAGTTTTCAGGTGTCACGTCACAATACTTGTCAGGAGATAAGTAAGATACAAAATTTTTCTAGTATAGCTACTTCAAAATCAGGTNTATCGTGGGAAAGTTCGATGTGTCTGCCCACCCTCACTTTCTCTACTTGCTGATGTGACTGTCCTGGAAGAATACGACCGCGGGCTGCAAGAGGAGCGTGGGTTTTATGCGAAAACAAGGGTGTGGGGTGGGACTGCGTGAATAGTGCAAGAGGACGCGGCAGGTTAACTGCATTCCTTTCCTAGAATCTCGTCTAACAGGACCTCGCATTGTCTACTTACCCTATAGTGTTCCTGCCTAAACCCAGAGAAGTGCAGTAGCGAAAACATGGCAATGAAAAGGAAAGTTTTAAGCATTGAAGAGAAAGTTAAAGTGATTCGTGAAATATTGTGTGTATTGTCAGTGAAAACCGCTGTAATATGTCTTTGATATTACACATTTGGTCAATTCCACGTTAATGTTACGTTAGTCTGTACTTAACTACGTATTTCACTAAAAAATGCAACATTTTAACTCGGTTTTGGTAGATTTTGACATGACTAACATAAGGCTACTGTGGAAATGCCCATTTCGGTTACGACGACATTCGTTTATAACGACACTATTTTTAGGTCCCTTTGATGACGTTATAACCAAGTTCTACTGTATATATATATATATATTATTTTATTGCTAGTGTGGTGGGACTAAGTCACTTGTACTGCGACCACTTCTGGCCTATTGTACCAGCCCCAGACAATAGGTGAGGGTGATTGTGGAGCAATTGGTGGAATGAAGATTGGCAGGGGAAAGCGAAGTACTCGGAGAAAACCTGCCCCAGCGCTACTTTGTCCACCACAAATCCCACTTGACCAGACCCGGGATCGAACCCAGGCCACCGCGGTGGGAAGCATGCGATTAACTGCTTGAGCTATGGTGTAGCCCTAAAACATATATACATAACTCTGCTTTGTTATGAATATCATGGAATTCTTTTTATGAAGACAAGATGCACATAACTGCTCATTTAGTAAGGTAGACGCTTTTCAAATTACCTTTTTGGCTGCTTTAGGAATGTCACATCATTCCCTGCCAAATTACATGCCTTTCAGTAAAATTAAGATGTGAGCTACTGCCTAAAGTGCATCAGTCTTTTCTGTTCCCACCTCACCTCTTAGGAAAGTTGAAAGGGTACAATGACAATGAAAATCATGTAACTGCCTATTACTTTCATTTATTCATTCTTTATATAAAATTACTCTTGAAAATTTTAACTACCACATAATTATATAAATGTTACATGAATCACTATATGCAGGTTAGGAAAACATATTCTATTTTATGAAAAGGATAAAAAAGGTATATAAAAATTGAAGGTATTTTCTCAAAATATAACACTCCTGTCCTGATGCTATTCCTAAGATATGTTTTATTTTGGTAACTGCTTATTTTTTGTGAATGAGACTTTTTTTTAGTGTGTCTGGCGGTGTGTTCTCAATCCCAGATAGACGTCCTATCTCCTGGTGTATTCCATGAGACTGCTTAACTCGTAATATCTGTTGCTGTGAGATTTCATTCGCAGACACAGTTTGCAATGGAGTACGAGCCTGCAAACATTGAAACAAACAGATATTTTGCATCTCATGTAATTCTGTTTAAGGCTATCCTATAACCTGCACATTCAATTTAAAGAGAAAAATCTTTCTGGTTATTTGTATACATTTTCCTCTAAGGATTTATGGGGTATGTCACATAAAAGCAGCTTCTTTCAAAATGCATTTGAGGTAGCATCATTGTCACTAAGATTCTGTTGCTTGTTTAACAACATTTGTAATTGCTTAGATTACAGAGCACAGATTTGTCTGTGAATAATGAATTGGAAGGATATGGAAGAAAGCAGTTGTGGCCTAATATAAAGTACTGTCATGTATTTAGTGGCTAGACACAGGGTTTGGATTGGTAATTGGATTTATTGGACACTCATAAACCCTAACTAGAGTTGATTATAGCACTACTGTGAATGCATACACTCTTAACAGTTCACTACAGTGTGCATTAAGTATTCACTATGCACTACCTGGTAATGGCTCCCAACCATTTAGATTCATCCACCTCGATGCTTACATCCTTATTGGCTGGTGACTATCTCACAACAACCTCAGGCTTGGACTGACTCAAGAGTGCCTGCAGGCTCTCTGGATATAACCGCTGCATGGATCCAGCAGAGAGCACAACGCCTCTAACAGTTCCCATATTTTTGCATGCATAACTATTGCTGTGGTCATGTGACTTGGTTGCTGCGGAAACGTGTTTTCAGAGCCATTCCCCAGCAGCGGACAACTTTTCTCATTAAACTATTAAACTATTTGGGCTTTCAGCCCTCATGTCACAGTACTATTCTGATATTTGTGTGGAAAGACTGAGCAGAAGCACAAAATACCTTTTGAAAAACAGCCAGTCTCCAACTGAGATTTAAATGTAAATATAAATGAACATCATCAAATTAACCATGAAAACTCTACTCTCTGGTTGATATTCCTTACACTAGAATGTTACAATATAGATAAATAAGATTATAGATAAAAGTACTATGTTTTTGGACATTATCCATCATCTTGTCTATTTTTAAAAAAACTGTACTGTTTCTATTTTAGAACACAACATTTTGGAGACTGGATTCTGTCCCTGTCCTCAGGTAAAATCTACTCAGTTGGGTCCAATAGATAGAGCTAGCCCCTATCTCCGGATGGTTTTATAAAAATAGACGAGGTGATGGATAATGTCCAAAAACATAGTACTTGTAGCAATAATCCATCGTCGCAAACCTTTAGATCTTAAAATTAAAGACGTTGAAACTGTTTTTGTCAGGTCAGGAAAGTTAGATGGGTCAGCAAATCCTGGGGATCAGGTCAGCATGATACAATTTTCATTGTGATGCCTAATACTTTCTGGAGTACTGTTCTAAAGTTTTTCTATATTTATGTACAAAAACATGTCTTATGCTTAATATGTAAATAAGTAGTAGAAGTCCATAAAGCATAACTAGTTAATAGGAGTAAGTAAAACAATTGCCTTACACATTTTGGCCATTATTGACCATCATCAGAAGATATAGCCAACACTATGAAGGAACTCCTTTACATTTGCAGCTGTTGGAGTATAGGTTGCTACTCCCCCCCCCCCGGCGCTACAGCCCCAGTGGGCCTGGGCCTTCCTCCATGAACTTCTCTGTTCACTTCGGTTTTTCTAGATCTTACACATTCGGTAGGACTCCTTGGGCGGGTGATCAGCTCATTGCAAGGCCTCTACCTGTACACTAACACATAAAAACGCACACACACAAACTACACATCCATGCCAAGTGGGATTCGAACCCACGATCCCGGCTTCCGAGTGAGCGAAGACAGTACATGCCTTAGACCGCTTGGCTACTGTGACCGGCATAGGTTGCTACTACAGTATCAAAAAGGACTCCTTTGTTTCTATTGTTGGTTACGTAGAATATTCTATTGACTGTTTCATTGTGGGCTGCAGATCCATCTGTAAATATAATGTAGGGTTTTCTTAGCTCTATATTATATATGAAGGGTGTTCCGTATATAATGCCTCCTATTTTTTTGTGTTAATATGTAACATCTGAGCTGGCTGTTGGTGATGTTGTAAAGGTTGAACCTTCCCGCTGATGTACTGTTAGTTTGGTTGTCATGCGACAGATAGTGACAGCAGAGCAGTCTACCAAAATGGTGTCTGACACAGAAGTGCGTACAAAACAGAGATGTATTATTGAATTTCACTGTCGAACAAATTGCACCCATTGACATCCATCAACGCTTTCTAAAGGTATATGGAGATGATACAGTGGATGTCAGCACAGTGAGGCAGTGGGTAGTGTTTCAACAGTGGCGAAAGTGAAGTGCACAACAAGCCATGCCCTGGGCATCCCTGCTCAGCTGCCACTCCTCACAATGAACAGCACTTCATCCATACATATCAGCAGATAATGACCAGGGAACTGTGTGCATGGCTTAATATCGGCTGTAATGCATTGGAAGCGACGTTGGGGAAGCTGGATTATCGCAAAGTTTGTTCCAGGTGGGTCCCGCGGATGCGTACACAGGACCACAAAACTCATCAAATTGAAGTTTGTCAGGACCTCTTGCACCAGTTTGAGGCTGAAGGTGACAAGTTTCTGGACAGCATCATCATCGGAGATGAGACGTGGTGTCACCACTATGAGCCGGAATCCAAAAGACAGTCCATGGAGTGGCGACGTGCGGATTCCCGAAGAAAAAAGAAGTTCAAGACAGCTATCGGCAAGGAAAGTGATGTGCATGGTGTTTTGGGATAGGCGGGGTGTGATTCTGTTGGGTTTCCTGGAGCCTGGTGAGACTGTCAATTCTGAACGCTACAAGAGGATGCTGACTAAGCTAAAAGCCCACATTTCCTTAGTCAGGCCAGAGAAGCAGACAGTCTTTTGCTTGCAACACGATAATGCTAGACCCCATACCACGCACATTGCAAAGTTTGGCTGGACTGTCCTACCACATCCACCTTATAGCCCTGATTTAGCGCCTTCAGACTTCCATCTCTTTGGGCCTATGAAAGACGGACTACGTGGGCAACATTTTCCAGACAATGATGCTGTCATTGCAGCTGTAAGAAAGTGGCTAGCCTCTGCTGGTGCAGACTTTTACAGGCACAGCATACAGGCTCTTCTTCATCTCTGGCAAAAGTGCATAATGAATGGTGGTGATTATGTGGAAAAATAACTGCAAGTAGCTGAAATCTTGCTCTATTTAACTGCGTTATTATGCTTTCTGTATCTGTTGTAAAAGTAAAAAGTAAAGCTATCCCTGTAACAGGCCGTGAAGGCCCATAGGGTTGAGATGTTGAGGATCCCACGGTATCTACACAATTGGCTCAAAGATGGCAGTAAGGTTGTCAGCCTTATGCGCCAGCTGCGCTTTACTCCCCAGGAAAATTATTTATTTAATTCCTGGTACTCATTTCTGTTAGAGGCTGGGTGAACCCCAGGGCCATAGTGCGGCCGGAAGGATTAGGTCAATTGAAAAAATCCAATGACCTCACAGGGACTAGAACCCGCGACCTTCCAACTTGCAGCATAGTAGTTTTCATTAAAAAAATAGAAGGCATTATATACAGAACACTTCTCTTATATTGTGACATGTCTAACCATTGCTGGGCAATGGGAGGTGGAACAAGTTACCACAAAGACAGACCCTTGATAAAGAGTCGGAAAGCGGTGTCTGTCCATGCCGAGCCGAAGCGTGCTGCTTGCTACGCAGCGTTGCCCAGCAACACCTTTGTAAACATGCGTCACGCAGCAGGGTAGCCTGTGCAGCGACTGTTGTTAGGCAATCGGTAAACACGACATCATGCAACAGTGAAAGCTATCACGTAACCGTTTTCTGTGTCGTCAGTGCAGAAGCTACATAACAGGAGTATTCATCAGTGAGAAGGAGTAACCAGTCAGTTGCAGTCTAGCATTCGCCGGAGTGCATGGAAGCAGAAGTAATTGTGATACTGCCAATGGCAGTAGTTGTGGAACTGCAAATTGTGTAAATGTAAGAGCAAATGTGCAATAAATTCGCTAGATCCAGAATGGTGTGAAGTTATTTGTCATGTGACCTACCCAACACGTGACAATATATATATATATATATATCTTTATGATACTATAGTAACAATGTATGTTCAAATAACATATGTAAAGTTGTTCCTTTATAATGTTAGCCATACCTTCTGATGATGGTCACTAATGGCTGAAACATGTAAAAGCGAAACTTTTGTATACTCCTATTAAATTAGTTACCTATGATGTACTTCTGCTACTTATTGATGTATTAAGTGGTGTAATGGTTCTGGATGAGCCTTAGGCTGTTATATATGGAAGATTCACCTTGAGCGAAGCCTGTATCAAAAGTTCCTTGGAATCAGGGGTATCAAACAGCTTTCTAATGAGAGAGTCCCCATTTGTTTTGTTCCAATTCACAGGTGTTTCTCTTCCAACAGTAGGCTTCATGTTCTTTGACTGGCTGTCTGTTATGTTTCCAAACTCTTCCATGTTACAATTAAATTCTGAGCCTCCTATTGATTGTGATGTTGCAAATGTGTCAGCTGTCTGATGATTTAATGAGTCTGATGGGCTCTCCTGCTGAAAGAAAGCTTCATATAAAATCGTCTGTAGAAAAACAAAAGTGCGTTCATAATGAAGGAAAAAGCACAATAACTCGGCAAAATTAATTTTAGAACCCTCTGATACTTCCATTTATACTCCGTGTGAATTTAAGGAGACATCTGTTTCAAATGCTAAACTACGAAATAAAAATATTTATTTTAGATATGGATAACTAAGGCTAATTCATGCGAATAAGTGTATTTAAAAAAATGACATGTGCTTTCAGCAAATTATTTTTCTCAACAAAAAAAAAAAAGCTGAATGTATGCAGGAGCACTTCTTTTCTCTTATATAATGCTACTCTTGCTTTCTAGCAACAGTTTCATCATGTAAGATTCAAATCCTTTGTGGTGAATAAACATGCTAAACTCTTGGGCGATCAGCCATGTCAGCATGTCAACACTGACCCTCATAATGGAAATGGAGGAAATTTGAAACGTTGCTTTTTTTAACTCAACAATGACACCACTGATTGACCAAAAATATATTAGCACAGTTTCATAAATTTATTTGACGTATAATAAATTACAAATTTCTTGAAAAAAAAATACCTACCTGAATTGGGATATGAGCAAATTCTGTATGTGGTGACCTTGGTTCAAGGAAGCTAAGCTTGGGTTTGCTGCCTGACGTAATTGGAGAATTATCTGGAGGAAACGCCGGATCCTCCAGTGATGTAGCTGTGACAAGGCTGTCAGTTGACGAGAATTCCTCTTGGTTATGCTTATGATAAAGAACAACAGGGGTTGATTCCACCTGTTGAATTAGATAGTAAAATGATTGCACTAAACTGAACTGGACTTTTTTTTTTTTTTTGAGAAATTAACAACTACTTTTCATAGATACACCATCCACAGAGAAATTTATAGCGTGTTCACAGATGAGCCTGGTCTTTTCAGGAGCTGACCAGCTTCCTACATGCAGACCACATGACACAATTCCACCACGCTCCATTCCTGCACCAGTATCCTTCTCCTGCTGCAATCCTGCAATCCAACTTTTTGTTCCTGCCACAAGAACGACCTGTTCTGAATGTTTAAATATAAGTTCTTTTACTTTTTAATTTTTAAATTTTCAATCCTATTTTTCTTTCATTTCAGTACCTCTTTTTTTTTTTGCTTACATTTTAAATTACATATGCCTCAGTTTCACCTCCCTTCATGCTATTATTTATCATCACACAACAAACTCTGTACTCTATATAAAACATTTATGTGGACTAGCTGGGTCTTCTACTGAACCATGAAATAATCTTATCTCTGTTTATAGTGGGCAAATTATCAATACAATTAGTGATTATCAATACATTTTTCTCCATTCATTTCATTATTACATCATTAAATTTTCCTGCCATTTTATGCTCTTCATTTTTCAACCCTTGTTCTGGCACACTCTTCTGATTTTAATTCACTGTCCTCATGTTTTAAATGTACATTTAAATTAAACATAAATTACTAATTGACATTAGATCTCCAACATTAAAATCCAATGTATATGCCAATAAGTTTCCTAAACCTATTATACTGTGTCTATTTCTACTGAAATATATCAAATTCCCTTCAGCATCTCCAATGATGATTGTCGAGTTGTAGAAGTGATTTTGATAAGTGTCAGTGTGGCACTAAAATATGACAGAAGTAAAAATTGAATAAGTGTCTGGTGATTTTAAACTGTTTGCAATAAGCATAAACTGGTGACATTTGCTTGAAAAGATAAATTAAGATAAATTCTCACTTCTATTGGTGTACGAACAATGCCAGCAGAAGGTGATCTTGGGTCATTTGACAATAAACGTATCCTGCACATTTTCCTCATAACCTTTCCATCTTCAGGTGACTCAGCATCATTAGAATTAAGGTAACTGCCCCTTGCTGTTGGATCAGGAGACTTTATTAAGTGTGCTGCATTCAATCTGCTCCTCGCCTTACTAGGAAAACCCTCCACCTACAAAAAAAAAAAAATCAAAGACAGTTATGAGTCTAGTGATATTCAACTAATTGTGTACATGAAGCAGAGTACGAATGGGGGCTGATATGTAAACACTTTTGTTATGCACAAAGTGCTTCATACAGTCTCTTCTGTGGAAGACTGATTCACCTCTATCCATAAACTTTCACCTTTCATCCAAATTAAACTTTCTTGCCATTTCAAATGTTTATACAGGATTAAGATCCCTAAAACAGAACACTTCATATAATTAAAATATTTCACTTTTGTATATGTGTACTACGAGGGCTATTCAGAAGGTAACCTTCGGTGAGTTAACAAAACAAGCAACGCAAAAAAAAAAACATTATATACAAAAAAATACTGTCATGTATTCTGAGTGACTATAGACAGGGTTTGAAGTGGATGGATTTATTGCACTTATACACTGAACTAGAAACTACACGTAATTATAACACTAATGCTGATTTCCACACTACAACTTACTAAGACACACCAAGTCTTCTCAGTCTTCACTAGTTGTATCTAGGCAACAGACTTGTAACCGTCCATACCACCCCCTCCTATCCCTCTATACTATCTATCCACCTACATCTTGGTCTCCTTAGCGGTCTCTTTCCTTCTGGCTTGCCCACCAATATCCTATGTGCATTCCTCTTTTTCCTCCATTCATGTTACATTCCCTAACCATTTCATCATTCTAATCATACTAGGTAAAGGGTATAAGTTATGAAGCTCATTATGCAGTTTTCTCCAACCTCCCATAACTTCATCTCTCTTCTCAAACACCCTCAGTCTATGTTCTTCCCTTAATGCCAGAGACCAAGTTTCACACTTATACAGAATCACAGGCAAAATCAGTTTCATATATTCTAATACTCATGTTTTTAGACAGCAGACGAGAAGACAAAAGGTTCTGCACTGAATGGTAGCAAGCATTACCCAAATTCAATCTCCTCTTAATTTCTTCAAGAATCAAGTTTTGATTTATTATTGTCATTCACAAATATCTGAACTGTGTCACATTTTCAAAGGATCTGTTAGATATCTATTGTGATAGTTCTCTGGTGCAAGGCCTCATAAATGTAGAGTTTTTAATAATTTAATGTTTTCTTAGCCCTCACAGATGGTTTGTGCTGTGTTTGGCTTGTATATCCCATCTTGGTGCTGGCACAGGTGTCCAGAGATAGGGAGTAGCTATGCCGATTGGGCCGAACTTAGTAGGTTTTACCTGAAGATGGAGACAGAATCCAGTCTCTGAAACGTTGTTTGAAAAACAAACAGGATGATGGATACTATCCACAAACAAAATATGTGTTTGTGTTAGCTATCTCAATGTCATGATTTTGCCTGCATTCTGGTCATAAGCGTCATAATGTGGGGGGAAAAGAAAAGAAAGAAAAAAAAAAAAAAGCAGCTGTCTGAATCATTGCGAATTCTGAATTGTGAGGTTTCACTGTATATTATTCATATTTGGCATTTAAGAGCTTATCCATCATATGTCAGTACCAGATGAATTTGAATGTTATAGTTCTAAAAATAAAGGGGTTTTAAATGCCCCCCCTCAAAAAAAATTGTGACTTTTTTCAAAAATGGCTCTAATAATTTTGATTACATTTCAGTAACTTATAGGGGCACATGGTAGCGTAGTTGGTTGAGGCACTATGCTACAAGCCGGCAGGTTGCGGGTTCAAATCCCAATGAGGTCACTGGATTTTTTCAATTGACCTAATCCTTCCAGCCGCACTATGGCCCTGGGGTCGACCCAGCCTCTAATAGAAATGAGTACCAGGAATGTTTTTGGGGGTAAAGGACAACCAGCGTGTAGGGCTGACAACCTTTGCCGCCATCTATGAGCCTATTGTCTAGAAAATGTGGGAACCCTCAACATCTAACAACCCTATGGGCCTCCACGGCCTGTTACAGGGATACCTTTACTTTACTTTTACTTTTCAGTAACTCATGGAGATAATCTCCAAAATAAAACTGCATATTTTCATGAAAGTAAGTGTATCCCCTCTAGCAGCCTGAACACTTACACTAGAAAGTATGTGCAATATCTTTGAAATAATTTTTTTAATCATCCCACAGGTCTGATGCTTATAACATAGGAACACGTATAGGGGGAAAAAAAGACTGTCTTGCAATGAAGCTCAAAATTTTAATCCCTAAATTCAAGTAAAGTAGACCCTTGTTTTATGCCAGTGTTAGATTTCTGAACTTTGTGTGTATATTGAATCAGTGTAAATGAAAATTATAATTATGATGTATTTCAATGGGATACATTCCAGGTATATGAAAATTGAGACTGTCTTTCATAAAATAATACAAAACATTTATACGTATATTTTAAACATAAATATTATATGGATTTATATCACACAGAATCATGTAAGTGCCTGAGAATTGTAACAGTTTTCCTTCTTGCAGTTTCATGGTCTTTTTAATTTTATTATAATTTTTCATTGTTGTTGTTACAGTGGAGTGGGCCATATTTAAATCCCTACAAACAGTACGACGTGATTGTCTACCATCCATTCTTCCATTAGCTTCCAACTTCTATCTTTTTTCTGATGTAGATTTGTGTGGTCTTTTAGCCACATTTTCACTAGTAGTTGCCCTTCCAATCTTATGACTTGCATGTTTTTTTTTATTTTAAACACGAATTTATAAACAAATTATAAGGTACAATATTAATGTACACAATAAACCATTATAATGTACACTGTACTGTATAGGGAGCATAAAGAATGTATAACCAAATGCAGCATTGTCATAAATACATGCCTAGTAGCATGGCACAGGGATCTTTTGTGGTAGCAGGACTGCAGTATAGAATTTTCCAGAATTTTTGGAGGAGACAACATTACTAGAAAGTTTTAAAATTGGTGGATATTAAATCATTGTAAACTAAGGCCCACTGTACATGAAAAGTGCACAATGGGCTTAATTAAGCTTCATGACATCAAACTGTATAGAAAAGAGGAGATACAGCTTCACACATGGAGGTGATGTTCAGATTCATGCCCTAGCTACTCGATTCCCAGGGAAAGAGCTCCTGGTTCTCATAGAATAGGAGTCTGGATGGACTCTAGAGCCAGTCTGATCACTGTTGGAAAGAGAACCTCTGCTCTGCTGGGAATTAACTCCAATTCCTAGGTCTTTCAGCACATACTCCTAGTCATTATATTAACTGAGCTGTCACGGTTCCAGGCCTATTTATGTCATGACACAAATCAAAACTACCAAAAGAAATCACTCTAGCAAGGATAAGGGACAAAAAATCTGTACGTTAATGTAACTGACCAACTATTTAACATATAAATGCAAATTACAAAACAACGGCATTAAAGTGCATACATTCATACAACTGAGACAATTTTGACATAATTGCAACAATCATAAAGTTTCCATGCCCTAGATGGCTTTATGAAAATAGTATACAATTTAAAAATCAACAGCCTACATTCCTTTTCATCATTTCCAATTGAACATAAGAATATCATACTTCTATGGGAGTCCTGGTAAACAGGTTAGTTGGCGACCTTGGGTCTACCAAGTTCTGGATTTGAGCACATGCAGGGCTTTCTGGTTCCAATGGAGGTTCAGTTCTCTGAAACACTTCTTTTAGATGAGCAGCTGAGTTTCCCATTATCTGAAATGCAAAACAGCACAACTCCATGTGAGTTATGAAAATCATAATTGTCATGCATCCTCTTTAGTAAAGTCCTAAGACTAATACAGACATCATTTTATTCTTGCAGTGAAAATCCACATATGTCTAAGCACATCGAGGTGCATTATTACATTTAAACACCACATGGAGTGAATGTTTGGCATCTGCTCCACATTGCACTGGGGTTCTTCAAGCAATTGGGCAAAAACTGCAGCCTTTAGCAAAATACAGGAAGTCTCAATGAAAAACTCTCAACCCAAATATGGCACTTAACCACAGTAGTCCAGACTGTGGCCAATTATCCATTATTATATTGATAATGAATTTTAAAACTGAACTGCCTCGTGTAATGAAGAATCCTCTCCTCTGGAATACAATGACATGTAGTCTGCTGAAAGTCAACCATGTTTAGAACATCTCACCTACATCTTCAGGGTTTAAGAATATGCCAAGCAAGATATCTGGTTTCTTGCTTCAGTTATTAAATTCCAGAAGATAGGGCTCTCCATAAGCACCACTGTGGGAACCTCAAATCCTACAGCCTCATACAATGTTTATTTACTCATGTTTACTTTGTAAACGAGAATACTCACACAAATAGTTTTAGTTATGAACCTACCACATAGACATGACTTGGGGCAAAAATCATGTGTAAATGATGAGGTGAAAAGGTTTAACAGAGAGTTAAAAAAGAATTATGAAGGTTTTCAGAACTTCACGTGTTATGGAGATAGAATCCGAAAGGGACTCGTTTACTAAACATGGGTTACATATGAATTCAAGAGGTAAGGAGCACATAGTAAAAAGAACAGTAAAAGAAATTTTGGATATGTGGAGGGAAAAAAGTCTGACCCAATTATAATGAAAGGGAAGGATGAACAAGAGCTAGAAGAGGAAGGGACTCATATTCTACCAACAAATGGACCCTTGAAGACAGGTGGGAAGAGTAATGGTCAACCCAGGAACATAGAAGGTTTGATTGTCACTGAATTAGACAATACCCCTGATAAACGTAACAGGAGAAAACCCGCGAATAGGAGCTCAGATTTTTTATGGGAGGGTTAAGGTATGAACCAAATATAAATAAGTATCCGGCTCTAGCTCACAAGTTCCCTAAAAGTGGAAATAAAAATTGTGGCAAAAATCATAATGGACAGGTTGCTAACTCTAATACTACCAACTTAAATCAAGGGAAAACTAATCAATCTACATCTCATTTTCTGAAGGTATGTCATCAGAATATAAGAGGATTATTTGATAAAACTGAACAACTGTTAAATTCATTATTATTTCATCCGCCTCATATAATATGTTTGACTGAACACCATTAAAAAGAATATGAAATAAATAAAATATGTGTAGATAATTATGTATTAGGGGCCAAGTATTGTAGATCAACATACAAAAATGTGGGTGCATGCATATATATTTAAAGCGCAATTAAATTTAATTTTGTATCTGTGTCTAACTACTGTGTGGAAAAGGACATCGAAGCCTGTGCAATCAAATTAAGCCTGACTAGTATCACGGTGATCATATTAGTTATTTATAGGTCACCTATTGGAAACTTCAACGATCTTATGCAAAAACTGGATACCATCTTCAATAAGCTACATAATAATAAAGTTGAATATCTTATGTGGTGATGTAAATATAAATTATTTAGAAAACTGTGACAGAAGGCAACAACTTGATGCACTCTTAAATACATACAATCTAATAGGTACGGTTCATTTTCCAACACGAACTGTTAAGGTATCAATATCAGCTATTGACAACATATATATAAAAAAGACTAGAAATTATACAATTAAACCAATAATTAATGGACTATCCGATCATGATGCTTAGATGATAATAATTGATAACATAATATCATCTGAACAAGTAGGTAATCTTCAGTACATGAGAAATTATAGTAATTATAATATAACTAAATTTCAAGAAATGCTAAGCTATGAACTATGGGGTGATGTTTTTACAAATGGCAATGTAAACAATACTTTTAATGTTTCTTAATACTTACTTAAGAATGTTTTACTCATGTTTTACTAAAAAAAAATTATTACTTCCAAACTTAAATGCAACGAGTGGATGACTCAAGGGATACGAATTTCTTCTGAAAAAGAGGAAGTTATATCATAAATAGCTTGTCTAGTTGGGCAGAAGTAAAATTTGGTGTACCCCAAGGTTCAACATAATATTGGTACCAGACAGAATGTTAACCTATTTCCACCGAGTACTTCACTTACTAAAGTTCAGAAGGTGCATATTATTCAGGTATAAAAATCTACAATCATCTGCCTAAAGAGCTCAAACAATTATCCAATAACCAGAAATCCTTTGAACGTTCCCTAAAAAGATTTTTACATGCTAACTCTTTTTATGCATTAAATGAATATTTTAATTACAAATGTACATAAATTTGAATGTTTTAACGCAGTTATTTTAATATAGTTAGTATAGGAGATGTGAAAAGTTATATTAGTAGTTACTTTCAAATTATGTCTGTTAATTAATATATTATCTTTTTACCTCATATTATTGTATATGTTAATTAATTAATTCATGTAGGTGATCTTCATTATGTAACTTATGTGACTTTCTGTAAGATTTGAGTTCTGTATGTATTTTATATGACTATTTCCACATTCTGGGTCTGTTACCTGTATGGATATTTATGGAAAATAAAGGATATGTATGTATATGTATCTATATATCAACATCCTTCAGACTACTTTCACTTTCACTTTATTTTAAATTCCATAGATCCTTTCAGGTCATGCATGGCATAGGATATAGAACATGTCAAAATACATAAACACATACATACAAACAACAGACCCATCAAAATGCAATACAGTCAAAATACAGTACAAAATCTGTACATAAAATATTCAAATATGATCAAATTTATGTTTATCGTTATCACAATCATAAATTAATACAAAAGACCTATTCATAATATAGATGTTTGATTCAATTATTCTAATTACTCTAATGAAACAGCAACAATCTCTGTGTGGTGGGACGCTAGCCTTAATATTTCATAATGCTACGTTCTTAAGATATGCAATATTTATTAGTGAGTAAGATTAAAAAAAATCTTGTGATCTGATGTAAGCTGAACCAGCTCAGTCAACATAGTAACCAGGATATGGGCTGAGCGACAGGGATACTGAGGTTCAGTTCCTGGCAGAGGCCAGAGTTCATGCGAATGTTAAGAATAAGTAGAGCTATGCCTCCACTCCCTCGCAAGTCTTCGTGAAGTACTTAATTACGCACAGAAACTTTACCATATTTATGATAATTCGATGATCTCAAAATTTGGATAGTCAGTAACAACAGCCTGTTGCTCTAAGCTATTAACACGGAATTAACATTATATTGATGGTATAACGGCAACATTTAATCAAAATGAAGTAAAACCAAACCGTCGCTTTCTTCATGATTACGCCAGCAACCGAAACTCACCAGCAAAATCAACGAAATCACAGGCCACAGCACAAATAATCCGAATTACCCGACCCTTAGTATGACTGATTACTTACTACAAGTTCTAAATTATACTTATTCAAATTCAAATTTGTAATTCGTTCAATTACATTCGAAAGACTAGCCTATGGACCACAGACGATATGTTGCAAGGATTAGTTACCAGAAGTAAGACATTCGGAAATGTAACTCTGAAGACGTTTACCGTAGGAAACGATCTGCCATCTCGCGATCCGTGCCGAGCCGTGCTACCAACCTACCAACTACATCATCACCTTGCAACATGTCATCGACGTCGTTGAAGAAAAGCACCCCATTCAATTTCTCGAAGATCGATTTGGATATTATCTACCCACCTACGTCTTGGTCTACCTAGCGATATATTTCCTTCTTGCTTTCCTACCTCTTTTTTTTTCCAATTCGCGCTGCATTGTCTTACTTGTCCTATGTTATATTTTAATGTCCTGTTACACTGATTCATGTCCATGGTTTATGCTGACCGTCTTACAGTGTATACACTTTTTCACCTTATTCTTCACTTCCACACTACATGTTTCAGCACTAATGTGCCATCTTCAGGTGTCTTTATGCTACTTGTCCTATATCATGTAACAGTGATCTATAGAGACGAAATAAATAAATTCCCTGTCTAACTATTCCTCCTTTAGGCCGCGCCATAGCTCAAGCGGTTAGTCGCTGGCTTCCCACCGCGGCGGTCCGGGATCGATCCTGGATCTGGTCAAGTGGGATTTGTGGTGGACAAAGTGGCCATGGGGCAGGTATTCTCCGAATACGTCGGTTTCCCCTGCAAATCTTCATTCCACCAATTGCTTCACAATGTTCACAATCACCCTCACCTATCATCTGGGGCTTGTACAATAGGCCAAAAGTAGCCGTAGTACAAGGGACTTAGTCCCACCCCACTAGCAATAAAAAAATATTCCTCCTATACTTGATCATTCAAATTAGAATTGACGAAGAGAACAAGTCATGAACGTCATGAAGCTCCACATTATGCGGAGACTCGTAAAATTTCGATTGCTTGCAAGCAGCATGTTGCCCTTGGTTTTGCACGTACAACGATATATAGTGATTCACATCGTATTTCCGTCACGAATCACTAAATATGAATGCATATCATGTTTAAATCCCACTGTAAATTTTTTAACACATTACATAGAAAGTCAAAATTGTTGTTAAGGGTTCGTGATCGTCCTGGTTTATCAAGACGATCAAGACGCATCGTGACAAGGTACCGTCAGTGGTCTGTGAGCCATAGATTCTCACTATAAAATATCAATCTCTATACGTATTTCCTCGATTTGAAAAGTTGCTGTAGAATGTACACGTATGTGTTGGCTTATTAGAACAATTAGTAATGTGCAAGGGACGAATTGTTTCATTATGATAATATGAATAAAATAGAATGGGAGCGAGTAAAAAATGGATGTCAATTGTTGCGAGGAATGGACGATATGAATTTCGGCTGGTCAAGCTCTTGTGAATTTATTTAAGGCTTTACAAATTGTGTCGGTTTTCACCAAAAATAAGAAAGAATGGAACAATTTGTTCGTGGACAATTTGGGTGTGTATAAAATTGAAACTTTCTTTTTATTACCCATCAAATATTCTGTAAGTGTATATCTCGCACTCTCTCATGCTTAGTTAATGCGAATTTAGATTAATATTTCGTACTATTTGGTTACAGGTTGTAATTGTATATATTCGTTGCTCAGCGATGGACGACATATTACAGGCCACAATATATATGATTTGTTTTACATTTCGTCTTTAGACGAATTTAATATAGGTTAATAGTTTTGGTATGTTCTATAATACACTTGCCAGTTGTCTTATGTGAATTAGATCATTCTGTGGTCGAACTAATATGAAATCGAATTTCAGTAGCAGGGTAGAAGAGTTAGACAGGTTGGATTGGCTTGTGGTAGATCTGGTAACTGTTAATAGAGCCAGTATGTAGCTGCAGGTATTTACAATCAGCATATAAGTTCTTGCATAATTATAAGTTGTAGTAGCACTCTTCATGTGCAGAAGGTAAAGGAGTTTTCACCTTTTCTCAATACTATGATGTCATAAACAGGACATGTGTGAGGAATTGAGACATCTTTCCCATTTGCTCTGCTAGTTGTTGCATGTCATTTGCTGGGCAGTAACGATGTTACCCTGAAAACTGGATAACCTTCATTTATTTATTTATTTATTTATATTGTCTCTTTAGATCATTGTTACATGATACAGGACAAGTCAGTTACTGTACATTGGCAGATAACAATAAGACAGTAAAGTTACAGTACTTACAATTGTTTACAATAGATTAAAGTAGATTACAATAGTCAGAGTTTGTATAGTGTGAGGTGGAATCCATATTAGGTCCCCTCGGCACGTTGGCTTCCATATGTCCTATTGTACCTGTACTGGTGATTATGCTTATGGAGAATTTGATGGAATGAGGATTGGCAGGGGAAACCGAAGTACTCGGAGAAGGTTTGTTGCTGGAAACATCTTGTTGAATGAAGGTTCTGTGGGAACTGTCCACATTAAAGCAAACATTACAGTGACAGCTCAGGTACCATTGCTTGACAACAGTGAGTAAACAGTAGTTGCTATGTAAGGTCTGCAACAATATGTGACTATGCGAAGCACGCACAGTGGATCAAGTGCTAGCCAATTGCAAGCTGGAAACCATTTGCTGCCTAACAGTGGCTGAATAAACAGCTGGTGCTAGGCAAAGCCAGCAACGATACAGACAGTGACATGTTTTCTATAGGTCCGTCTTGTGTACAGAACACTGCATATGAATGTGGTAAACCACAGCCCGTGTGAAGGCGGGGTCGAATACCTCCACCGTGACCCTGCGAGTTGTAGGAGGCGACGAAAAGGGTAGTCTCAAATTTGAGACAGTGAACTATGGTTACAAGGCCTAAGGGACTCGGACCTGAGAAAGACTGCGCTGGCAAGGACCAGCAGCATATACAAAAGACAGACCCGTCCTCTCATCAGAGAGGGTGCCCCACAAAAACAAGACTGTAACTGTCAGACAGTAATAAATATCTGGTAATGAGCCCCAGGTGGGGCTCAGCACCAAGACTTACTGACTGACTGACCATCAGTCGCAATGTGACTTTGACCTTTTTGGTAAACCACCAGTCGTAAAGTAACTCTGACTCTCTTTAACATTCTAGTGAGAGTTGTTAACACGAAAGGACCGACTATGAAACGACTTGTTCAACATTTGTGTTATAGTTATGTTGAAATGTAGTTAACATCGTTAAGTAATAAAGTGACATCACAAGAATATGCCTCGAGTTGACAGTCAGTGAAGATGAGTGCTATGTGAGTTTTCTTATCTGTCTATACTCAGAAGAACATACAGTGGATCTGGTCAGGTACACTAAATAATATTAGGATTGCAGGATATGTATAGGTTGGTCTAAAGTATCACCCTCACTTCCTTTCACAATGCAGCTGGAACTGCTGCCCCACTGTTTCTTGCCATACTTCTCACATGCTACCCAGAGGTCAGGTTTAGAAGCATTACCTGTTCACTTTTTAAATCTTAAAAGAAGGTGATATGTTCATAATGACTATTTCAAACTGTAGATACATATCATAGCAATTGATCAGGTTTGTATGACCTCTCCAACGTAGTATATTTCATGTGCATTGTTGAAGCCTGGAATTATATCAGAATTTTATCTTTTGGATTGAATGAAGAATGATTATAAATTGAGGTTTTGCTTTCAGACGTGGATTGCTGCTTGTGATGAGGGGCTGCCAGCAATTACCATTGCCCAAACCTTACAAGGCAGAAAGATATGGGCTTCTAATTCCATTGAAACGAAGCACCTTATTTTCCCGCCGTGAAATAAGCCATTCGGTGTTACACAGTATTCTGAAGCCTGAGTCAGTCTTGTTCTGTAGGAATCCTGCATTCCAGCACACTATTCCATCTCGTGGTTATGCAATGGTTGTTGCACGGATTTTAAGAGGGGCCCTTAAAATTCGGTACTTAATCTTAGGTGGTGCCCTGGGTGGAGGAATGACATTGCAAAAGGTAATATATGTTTACAATATGTGGCAGCCTTTGTTTGAGATCTGAAATTTTCATGGCACTGAAGATTCATGTTGTGGTTTCCTTAGCAGAAGACTGTGAAGACAGTATGTTCCTCCAAAATGTTGAAGAATACTGTGTGAGCTGAGAAGACCACAGTATGACACACTTATTCATTTGTGTATTGTTTCAAAGTTGCTCAGAATAACACTTTCATGTGTGTACAGGAATTTGTAACAAGTAGTGTCTTGACATAATGCATATCCAACTTTTACACAACTTTAACACATAAAATTGACTGATCCTCCTCGGCTACATTTGCAGTGCTAAATGCTTCATTTAAGTGAGGGAACATTTGAAAATGCACATGTTAGTCCACAGTGAAAAGGTTAATTTCTTTGAATAGATGAGAAGTGAATTTGTATAATTTGCATATTGGGTGGCTAGAGGAGGAAAAAGATTTTTTTGGGGATGGGGTGTTAACGTGATGGGCCATGTGGATTTTAATGACACTTGTATAAGTTGTGTAGTTAACAGCTCATCCCTTTTTTATCCTTACAGTAAGGGGGACTATTGCTGTGTTTGTCTCTGGTTCAGTCGTGTCTGAGTGCTTCCCAGATGGACTTGGGTGTCCAAGCTTAGCTTTAGTAAGAAAAGTCTTGATTTCCAAAATGAGTATTTAATAACAGTTAATAACAATAAAAAATGAATAAGACTTAAACCACTAAATCTGTACTCCAAATATGCACATGAATCTATACCCTCAACCACCTTGGTCAGTCCAGATTACAACCCAGCAAAAGAAAAATGCACATAAGGTAGGCACCTGGAACTGTTTCTTTGCCCCATACCTAGAAAATGACCAGATTCACTTAACATTTTGAGACGGCCCAAATTGCGATGTTACTCCATTATCTAGTCATACAACAACACTAAATGGGGCAGCAGCAAGCCCCCAAAAATAATATAAAATCAAACAGAACTCTCATCTACATCCCAAAATTAAATATCTTACATACCTTTGAAACGAGGAGACCACTTGTCCTCAACGGCCAGAGTGAAGGGGACAAACACAATTTGGAAATCCCAGCCAAAACAGAATTTAGTGACCTACTTCGCCCAACTGCTAGAAAGCAAAGACTGCTCTCTAAGTTTTCAAACTCAGTCACACAAAATGGGATTGTACAAGCCCAACCACATAATAAAATAAAAGCCTAGCAGAACCCTTGTTGCAACATGGTGGTCACTTGCCCTCGGTGGCCAGAACAAGGATCCAAACAGAATTTAGAACATGCCACTTAAAAAAATTTTACCATCTATCTCACTGACCACTGGCAAGTGAAAGACAAACTTTCAAATCTGCATGCTTAGATGGAGGGTTTTCTTTCTAAACAGCTGGAGAAAGGGGAAATCACATGGTGCATGGAATTATGGGATAACAGTAAATGAGTGACGACATGGATGCCAGAGGGGGCATGAAGGAAGGGAGGATACTGGACTGAAAAAGGCAACTTCTGACCCAGCCAATCATTGAACATGGTTCAGTTGGACACATGGAAGTGTGTGTACAGAAAGATTTATTTTCATATCTGCTACCAGATCAGGGGTTGTATATAATTTCCTCACCTCTTGGTTGGTTCCTTACTGTTTGCTTGGTTACTCGTTCATGCACCTTGAAACTTTCCTCTGTCAGATATTTGACATAACTTATCCTCTTTGGTTGTAATTATGTTTCACCATGAATACATCACAGCTGGTATTAATATTATTTTGTGTATTTTAATATTTCATATTCTGCTCTCAGTTCTAGACTTAAACTTATGTTATAAATCACAGTAACAAGTGCTAGCATCAATTTTCATTTTGATTTCTTCACTTGTTTACTATTACTTATTATCAAAGTACATGATTATTTTCACATTCTAACCTCGTCAACAATATGTGTGCCAATATTAAAATCACACTGTACAGATTGGTGTGGCAGTAACACTGATCTTATGTTTAGGAGATGCCTGGTTTGAATCTCAACTGGGACACCAGGTATTCTGACTAAAATTTTTCTTTGTTTTCATTGCTTCCTCCAGGCGAGTGCTGGTGTAGTACCTCAGTTATGCAATGTTGCTTCCTTTCAAATCCTTCCTGAATCATCTTGTCATCCTACCATACTGCAATATGAGAGAATTGCAGAATAGCTCACCAAAAAAAAAATCATATCCTGTTTCGCCTCTCATTCAGCCTTTAATACTTAAGTGTTCATCTATGCTGAACTTCTTCAGTCATTGTCACTGGGCATTCAAGTATCATGTCATCTGCATACTTCCAGTATTGTCTTATTCTATTAAGAATGGTTACATTGGGGTTAATTTATACATTTCTTATTGCTGTTCATAATATTATATTTCAGCATCCTTTTGTATTTAAGTATAACTTGCTTTCTGTCTGTAATGCAAAACTTTTTATTTCAGATGACACCAAACTTACATTTCTTTTAGCTCACTAAAGTGTCAGTTAAAATATTTTTAAAATGTCGTTAAAATATATTCTGTGTCTGGCTACATGTTTCAGCCTGACAGGGCCATCTTCAGGCAACACATTTTGTTGGAACCAATTGCACTGTGCTCACTTCTGTCAGTAGTAGTTGTTGATGTGCGTCGTAATCATTCTCAATTTTGGTATTCTGAGAATGTTTTCTTTTCCCATCTTCGTATTGCAACTTCTTTGTGCCCCTTTGTGTGTTCTGCTCCCCTGGTAATGTGTACAAAGATTGCTGTTTTAACATACTGGTATGTATCCTCACTGTAATTCTTCTCCTGTTCCCCACACTCCATTAGTAAATTTCCTGTTGGTGTAACTTTTCAGACATATGAACACTGGAAGGAATCCCTTCCGGATATGAAATGGCTGAATGAATATCTCCCAGACTCAGAGCAGTGGGACTCCTTCAGAGGAGTGCTTGTTGGAATGAAGGACAAAGTTAAGGACAGCATTAACATAGGTACAGTCAATATCCATTACTCTTTGCTTACATATTTATTCAATCACGGTTCATGAAGGACAGCTTCTTAGTATGTTAGGTGATTAATCATCAGATAAATGTCATAAGATTTGGTTTGGATGTTGGTGATCTGTGAAATATGCAAACGCATTTCTCTGTCTTGTAGTGGGATGGTTGATACTGTTCTTCCTTCTGTTAGATATTAGTAAATCCCTTGAATTATCAAATATTTGCAGATCATTACAACTGCAATTATTCTGGCAAACTCTGGTTCCACAAGCTGAAAAAAGTAAGCTAGTGAAGTGTGTTCAGATCTTAATACAGATTATACTATATTTAAGCATCCTGTTCACTATACACTTCTATATGTAATAATACAAATGCCGTCGTGAATGCAACAATTTATTTGGTTGTCGATCTTTGTCTTTTCTTCCTCTACACTACATGTTTCGGCTGTAATTGGCCATCATCAGGTGTATTTTTCACTACATAAGTGTCACACTGTACACAGTCCAAAATCTAAAACATCAGCCTGTCAGTTTTGTTTTGAAATCTTGCCAACACACCCTCATCAATTTGATTTTAGAATTACAGCTTAAAATTTAAAATTTCCAAAATTTAAAGTTTTAAATTTTCCAGGACACCGTGTATTCTTAACCATTACAAATATGGATAAGAGCAAACCAATGAAATTGAAATAACTCAAAAAGTTTCCATCACAAAATATCCACATGCGATACATTGGATTGTACTACCTCACATTCCCATCCAGGAATCCTCTCATTGATTGCATCTCTGCTTTAATAAGGCAGTACATCATCTTACTGAAAATTTTAAACATTTTCTTTCTCCAATTGTGGAAAGGCAGAGTTTTCCAGAATACTGAGATAATCATTTCCAGCAAACTTCATCTCATCAAAGGAAGAAGGTCTGACGACTTTGCCATGTGTAGGCTTCACAACACAATTGTTTCCAATATGGGAACACATTAATTTTCTCATTATTTTGTTTTTTTAATATGTATGGCAGTAGACTCTTGAAGCCTTGAAGTGACTTTCCAGACACTCATAATACATGATATTAAAACAGAATAAGACAAATAAAAGGACAAGACAGATGGTGCTAGAAATATGTGCTACACTCCTTACCATTTCTTGCTCTTTGATACATTTTCATGGTTGAGGCAGCGGCAGTTTTGATCATGAAATTCCGAATTTTATTTAAATATGATTATTCTCAGCTTACTTTAAAGATATTAGGATCTTTAGGATTCTGACGATGGTGTATAACACACAGAGATGCTGGGTTTTTGGACTTTATCCANTTCTGATTGTCCACAGTTTGGCTAGTGGTTTCAAAACCAAAAATAATTAACTGAACTTGGAGCCAGGCAAAAGATTGAAGGAGGGTTTACTTCCCTGGTATGTCTCCCAGAACAGTGCCATTCTCTGTACTAGTTCAATTTAATATACACATATTGCAGTGTAGAACATGTTATGGGGAGGTCATATGCATTTGTGAGGCAGATTTTGATGAGATCTAATGTTGGAAAATTTCATGCCCAGAGTAATGCTTTCACACATTTTCTCCCAAACATGACTGCCACTTTACGTGGGGTTAAATAGGTGAACGCTGATAGATATATCAGATGTGGGAATTTATTTACTATGACACAAGTGAAATTTAAGCAATATCAGTTGAGCTGTTAAAAAAGTCACTGTGTTTTTGCTTCCCCATTCATATAAAATTCTCTTGAATATTACATTATTGGTTTCATATTAATAGATCATCTCTGTAGAATGAAAATGCTGATCAATATCATTGAGCATTTTGGTACAGCAGTAAGAAATATGACTTGTATTTAAGTGTTCATTTTCAGTCTCAGCATTTCTTCTGCCATTCTGTGAATATGAAAAGTTTGTACAATGTATTTTAGTTCCAGTAATAGTGGAATATTTAACAGATAGAAATTGGGATTGCTATGGAAAAATGAAGTAGCAACTCATTTTGCAGGGAATTTTCACTGTAATTTTCCTGGTAGTATAATTGTGGTACATGCTCGACTGCAATCATGACTGGCCATCAATGTGGTGATGCTAATATCTGTAGAATAAGAACTTTCTCTTCAGCTTGCTATTAGTGTAGAAACTGTGTTGCAGATCCTAGATTGAAAACATATGGAGAAGTAAAGTACAGGAATTTCCGAGACTGGTTCGACGAGCGATTAGATGCTGCCATTGAAGCAGCTGAGAAGTCAGAGCTTGATTCCACGTTTTCCCACAGTAAGTAAGGTTATGCTTCAGCCTATATGTTAATTGCTTGTAATCTATAATCTCTGGTGATACTGTATTATATAGTGCACAAGTGTGGGTCTCGTCTTCTGGGTTATGACTTCGTCTAGTATAATAGGCGGGTACCTACATTTTGGAGGAATATGATATCTCAATCTTCAGGGTGGAAGTGAGTCATTTTGGGAAAAGTCATTGGCACCGGAAAGGTGAAGGAAAGAGATCTCTGAGGACAGGGATGGCAAGTCAGAGCCAAGGATGAAAAGACAGGATCTCAGATCCTATATGCCATGAAAAGGATAACCATTCCAGAACAGGAGGAAGGATGGGCTAACTGAGGGAGCAATGAGTCTTGGAAAGTGCAATTATTAAAATCATTTACATGCAGAGAAAATCCAAGTTAGACTTGTGCTTTGAAAGAGCCTTCTTGCATTCCTTCAGGGTGTGAAGTAGAGGATTCCATGACATGCATGGAGTAATGTTTTCCCTATTCATGTTATTATGATGGAGCTCAGTCTGTGTCACTTGTGTGGTGGTCTGGTCCGTGCATTTGGTCGCTGGACCAGGACACTTGCATTATGTAGCAAGATGTAACCCATATTTATGCTGTGTTCTGCTATGGCTGACTTGGATGACAAGGTGGATTTGCTGATATTGTTCTTTGATATTAGCCTCAATGAAACATTCAGTCTAACCAATGTAAACCATTCTGAAACAGTGCCTACAGTGCATTAAGTTGAAAGCAAGCTCAGGACATGTTATTTGGGAAACCTAGATATAGATGGGAACTCAATTTTGGAATCAGTATTGAAGAAATTCATTGTAAAAATGTGAACCGGGTTGAACGTGTAGAATACAATCCAATAACTGACCTTTAGATTCTACAGCAATGGGAAACTTATTGATCAGCTGCTCAAGAAAGGCCACATATTTCTGTATTTAATTAGTGCATGTGGTTATTAAATTTTATGTGGCTATTTTGAACAGACTTTGTTCTTTATATGTGGGAGAACATTAGATGCATATGTGAAGATTATGTTTGGTAATTTTCTTTAATTGTGCAGGTAGCCTTTAATGTTTATCGTGGTATATTCAGGATATGTTTCAGAGCTATTGAACTTTGTGAGATAAATTTTGTGTGATGTACATGTGTGGCATAGAGTAAATTGTTTTAAAGAATTTTTTGTAATGTGTGTTACAGTGTGTATAGGTAGTGATGAACTGTGCATTTCATGCATGCATTGCAATAATAATTATAATTGAGAACTATCATTGTAATACAGGGCAAGAATTATTATTTTGAACCATTTTGGAAGAATCGGCTGCTGCTCTTTTTGAATGATTTTAGAAACCATTGAAAAGTGAGGATACAGATGCAGAATGTGTGACTGTGATAGCAGTCAGTGTTGGCATTATATTTACATTTGTTATTAGAGTGAAATTAACTGCACTCCTAGTTTCAGTCACCAAACATTTGCATGAATGTCGCATTCAGATGCTACTTTTGTGTCTTTTAATTTCTTCTTCATGCTTCAGGTCTCCAAAGCTTGTCAGCGATAGTTGAAAGCCTTTATCCAGGTGTGTAGCTCACATTTCAAACAAGTTTACTAATAAAAGCATTTACTTACTAACTTTATCATCTGTACTTTGTGTTTTGAATGCCGAAAGCTTGAGAAGTGTGAAAACATTAACCATGAGACAGATGGGTGGTCAAGGGATATTTCATGAACTGTTCATATTAGCAGTATGTCTGATCTCATGTTTTTGTTTTCTACACATTTATGCATTTATCCAGGATTGCCATGGCAAAAGCTGCATTTAGCAAGAAGAAGAATCTTTTTACCAGCAAATTGGACTTAAATTTGAGGAAGAAACTAGTGAAATGCTACATTTGGAGCATAGCTCTGTATGGGGCTGAAACATGGACACT